TATAATTATTAGTGAATTACATTTCCCTGAAAACATAAAATTTGTTAATTTATGATAAATTATTTGTCCAATTTGTCTCACTAACGACTAATATAGTGTTGGCTTTCCATTTTTAGACGACGCTACCATTTCAATTGCAAAGATTATACAGACATTAAAGGAAAGGTTGCTCAAAGATCTTTATAAATGATACAAGACTTTAACAAAATAAGATTTACACAACATTTTGTTATGTACATTGCTGAGGAGCTAGTGGGAGATTAGAGAGCCCTGGGTCAAAAGTTGGCGATACGAACTTTAGAATTGGACAGGATGCACGTTGATTAGAATTGTATGAATGAGAATGCATCTTAAATGCTTTTACAATGAAGGGGTAAAAGGATAGCCACAAATAATGAGTCTTTACTATGTAAGACAAAGTCTAACAATAGATTTCAATCATTGAGAGGAGTGACTTAAATTGTTGCATTGTAATGCAGAGTAAAAAGAATACTTATAGAAAGGTTTCTTACTATAGGTTTCACATTTAACTGGTTTCACATTTAACTGGTGAAGAGTAATGAAATTTGACGATTTGAGTTTTAAATCTGCCTACTCAGTCTGCAATCATACTTAACAGCTGACAACGTCACAAAAGGTTGCGAAGAACAGAATTGTAGGTTTATAGAGGACAGAACAAAATCTTCATAAACACTGTTGCCTGTACGAATTAAAATTTTGGTATCAGACATGACATTTTAGTAGGCTTTTGTCACATAGCAGCTCTAGCCAATAAGACTTTATATCATACCAATCAAAGTTCTAAACGTCGAACTTTAACATTTCGAGTTCATAGCTTGTTGACATAAAGTTCTAACTTTCGAATTGCGTATACTAAAAAAAATCTACGGGAATTAATATAATTCCGCGTTTTACCGATAAAATGTTAGTTTGCTATGGTTACGTGGGTGTTAAACAAAACAACGGTAGCTGCGTGACACAAAATAATTTGTATAACTCGCCTAACCTGTTATATAGTATTTCTTGTATAGCTGTCATTTTTCAAAATTTTAGTTTTAAATCGTTTTCAATTAGCTACATTCAGAGACGCCGGAACAGCAAAAAGGCAGGAGGGGCAAGCATTTGTGGAAGGGCACATTAGTGAAATATACTAAAAATAATCTAATAGTGATAAACAGCAAAGAGATGTGCTACATGCAATACACTGTACAGAAGCACATGTCCGCAGTGTTGGTCGATGAATATTAACGATAATATAACTATCAAACGATGTAACGTCACTAATTTACAATTTGTCATGTATTGTATTTTCCAAAATATTTAATTCTTCTTTTATTTCTCTGTGAAAACTCTTTGGAAATTACGTCTATTTCAACCATATTCATGTGTTGCTTCTGAATGTTGGAGAACATAATATCATTAAGATGATTTCCTTCAGTGCTTGACCGCAGCCATGTTTTGAGACGACGCATTACGCTGAATGTGCGTTCGCACGAGGCAGATGAGAGTGGCACTGTTTAGTATAGTATAATTAGTTTGTGGATCTCTGAGCACCTTTTCTTTGCTGACGGCATGGCATTGAATATCTCTGCTATTGTTGAAATACGCGTGACTTCTGTTATTTTTTTTCTTCTGATCCGCGTTGTAAAGCCCAAGAATGGTAGGAAGACCATCAAGCTGCATTCTAAGAACATCTTTATCAATCAAAAATTGCTTAATCCATCTAAAGATACTCCTCTTTCTTTCATAGAGTTAAGTAACAGTTCCTCGATACATTTGATCTGGAAAAGATCGTCTTGTTCAAATCGCGATCCTAGACCTGAGATGATTGCATCAATGGCTTGGTAGTACGAGCTTTGCATTGGTGTTATATTCGCACTGTTGTAAACTGAGGCATCTGTGACGTGAAGGCTTTCTGTTATTAACATTTCTTCATTCATCCATCTTGGAACGTTTCTTAGTCTAGTGCCAGTGCCAAAATTTTCACTATATTCCAGTGGAAACGACTTCATAACACGAAAAACTTTCTTAGCGTCATCAAGTGTACGCTCAAACTCTTCTTCGCTTCTCATCTCATGAAGACGTTGCAGGACATGTCTTATTGAAAATAGAGCGTACTCAGCTGAAATATCAACCGCTTGGAGCTCTTTAGAAAGCTTCTCGAGTAAAGCCAATAGCCTTCTTGTAGCGTTTAAATTAAAGATGACGATTAAGGAAGACAGCTGTGCCTTAATATTCCTCTAATCTTTGCTTTTGTGTCTGCCGAAATGCTAGGATTTTCCTGCAATTTTTCAAGGGTTGCATGTAGTTCAGCCAATTTCTCGAAGATGACGTCAGCAGCCTTTACTCTTGTTGTCCATCTCGTTGTAGAAAGACTTTGGAGTCGTAGAACTTTGTAATCGTTTGTTCCTGTTTCATTTCTAAAATCTGCCTGTATTTTTTCGAACAATAAAATACGTTTTGGATGGGCACCTACGATTGCATACGGGGATTGGCATAAATCTAGTGACGTAGATAATAAATTAGATTGCTTAGCTGCATCCTGTATAATAAGTTCATTGCAGTGACTGAAACAATGAACATAAATTGCGTTTGGTGCAATATCTTCCTTGAGCTTTCTTGTGAGGGATTTCATTGCTGAAGCCCATCAAAGCCCATAGCTGCCATTTTGTGACCTTCCATACCACATCTGAGAAGGATATCTTTGGTGTAGTACAGTAATGCATCAGATGAAAGCCCTTTCAAACATTCATAAATTCCAACAAAATCTTCCGATACTTCGTAATTATCATCACAGGTCCTTACAGAGAAAGACAACTGTCCCTTCTTAGATACGTCTGATGATTCGTCAGCTAGAATTGAAAATGATTCTCTCACTAGAATTTTAACAATCAAATGTCTTCGCGCATTCAATACAATCATCTGTTTCTACTCGTCCTGGATGTCGTGTGCAGTTACGTATCGGTTCTCGTCCAGTAAAAGTTTTAGTGCCTTGTCGTTGATAGCTTTATCAAGATTGAACTGATAAATATTAGATTCAAAATCTGTTCTACCTCTAATCGCTATACCTTGGTTTGAAGATGTGAAATTAACCTTTTCCGCCTTAACTGTTGCGTTTCAAGAGCAAGCGAACGCAGGCTATGCTAAAAGACAATTGCCCTTTGTCTGATGTAGCACAAGCTTCTTTATGATCGTAACTGTTTTCATGTTCGTTGAATTTCTCACGGCCTTTTTTCCAGTTATCAAATCCAATTTCATAACTGCCAAACACTCCCTTTATCTTAAAGTGAGTAGAACAAATTTCGCAAAAAGCCTTATTTTTTTCTCGATTGCACACTAGCCACTCATAATTTCGTAACCAATGACCTTGGAAATATCGACCATGCTTCACACTACTTTCCTTGTCTTCACTTGTAAAGTCTTTCTCATGTTTTACCCATGTCGTTTTCATGTATATCTTTTCTGTTTCACCAATCAGACTTTTCGGTTTGGACCATTTTTGTGACTCACAGTCTGAGGCTTTTTAAGTGTTGACAGATATAAGAGTGTCAATTCCGCTTGTTGAAGCAGAATCAAAATCATGACCTGTGTTTCCTTTTTCAAACAGCGATGTTATTTTAGATTGACCCAGTTTAGCAGCTGCTTTCGCTAATGCTTTTGCTGAATCTTTTTTATATCTTTCTGCTCTTGGCATTGCAGAAAAAGCGATAAGATGCAAAAAATATCCCTTTCAAAGTCATCAGTGTTTAGGTGACTGAGCCATTTATGCCAGCAGATGTTTACTATTAATAATATCTTTGCTATACGTCATTTTCCTGGTTCTTTTTTTGAATTTAATAATAATGAAAGGAATTTGCAAAGGTATTGTGATTTTTAGTTGTTTACATTTAAAAAATGACGTTTCACGGTTGTCGAGGAATTCGCTCCTCAGCTGGTTCACTAACACTCTTCGTTTTGAACCTTCTATTTTACAAGCCAAACAATCTACAAGTACATCACCTGAGTAATCTTACGCTATCTATTAGAGTTAATTATTTACATGTTATTTATACTATCGGTAATTACATAAGTCGAGCTTTCCTTTACGTCATTAGCAGTACTCACTCTTTCATTGCGTTTTAAGTTCTCGCGCGTAGCAACAAAAAAGAACTAACTAAACAAATAAAGAACTTACAAAACGTACTTAAAACAAAGAAATATTAAAGGAAAACTAACATAGTTACGACAATTTCATTGCTAAGCTAAAAAGAATGCAATATCCCACAACGGTTAAGTAGTCTTTATCTTGGATTAAAAACAATAAATTTTCAACCTGTAGGGCACTTTTGCCCCCCTGCCAATCTCCAGAAAGGCAAGGGGGGCCGTTGCCCCCCTCGCCCCCCAGTTCCGGCGTCCCTGGCTATATTGATGTTCTTAGTAATTTAAAATTACATGACTGATAAACATTTGAACAATTAGATTAACGCATTGACGTGCCTGTCAGACTATATAGAGCCATAAATATTTGTAGGTCTTTGCAATGCAATTTCAGTGCAAAGCTACACCTGCTTTACGCCATTTTCTGATCGTGACTAAGTCAGTTCACTTTCAACTGTTTTTCTTAAATAAACTTCACCGGTCACTTTTCATAACTTTCGTAGCTTTAATGCGTATATTCTTACTCGGGTTTATAAATGTATTTATAATGTATTTCCCGATAAAATGTTAGTTTGCCAAGGTCGTGGGTGTGAAACATAACAATTGTTGCTTGCGTGCACCATACTATTTATATAATATTTTAACATTTTAAAGCATTTCTAGTACATCATTGTCTATTTTTAAAATTTTAACTCCATATCATTATCATATTGTTCAGATATTATGCTCTTATGGCGAGCAAAAATTATGACTGCTAAATATTTGGACGAAAAGTATTTTAGATCGATACAATGACTACAGCAAGAATGAATGATTTTTATGTATTTGCAATGCAAATTCCATTATAGAACAACACTTGCGTGACGCCTTTGTCTGGTGACTCAGTTCATAACTTTCGAAAGTTCGTTTCTTGCCACGTATGTGCGAATTTTTGGTTTAACTTTGGTGTTCATCTTCATATGCTTTAGTAGCTTTAAAAAGACGTTATATTCTTTTGGTACATTTAGCTTCTCTTTGAGCGTAACTTCGTGATGAAAGCAATAATAAAATCAGCTTTAAGCATAGTTGTGGATGTCGGGGAAGGCCAAAATGGAATGCATTTTTTGGATGCATTTATCAATAAATTAAAGATAATATACGATGGATTGGTAAATGATCTTCGTGACAGTTTCATTCACTTTGAAGAAGGAGTAAAAGAGCTTAAATGCATGCAAGAGTCGACTGAAAGTGAAACATCGTCATCGACACAAGTACCAACAATAAACTTATCTCAATCATGTCGAATGCGTTTTAAATTAGCTGGAGAGAAAGCGAAAGAGACGTTTGAAATTGACTCGTCGAGCACTGAAGAGAAAATAAAAGCAAGCAAGATACGTATTGCAAGCGCTATTCTTGAACGCTTAGATAACTGCGGGCAAGCAGCAAGATATTTCATGTTTTGTCTAAAAGATTTAAACTCCTTGATTGTCGCGGGAAAAAAAGCCAAATCTCACAACTACATGGGGACTAAAGACCTTCACAAAATAATAGATATCAACGTGGCGTTGGCCAATTTCATCTTTAATCACACAAACAAAAGAATGCCTGTTTTGGAATGGCCCCAGATTCAATATAAAGGGCAGCTGATTCATCCTTTCTATTACAAGAAGATTGAAGAAAACATGACTACCTCATTACCTTGGTACTCAGCTCACTTTACTAAGAATACTGACCTCTTTAATGAGGAAATGGTCGTAAACAAAGAAGGAGAATTACTAATATTTGATGGAAATGAACTCCAAAAATTTAACAACAAAACCGAAGTGTTTGAAACCTGGTGTACGTTTCAAAGGTCAGATGTTCAAAATAGGCAAGTAAAATGCATGAACGTTGATGAAAATGGCGTAGTATATCTACTTTTGGGTTGCAAAGACAAATCACATAGCGATTATACATTGTTGCTTTGTTTGGAAGACAAAATTGTTCAAAAATGTTCCTTGTCCTTTCCTGAAGAAATACAATTTAGTAAGATTTTTCTTGCTGTAGCACCAAATGGCAATATTATCATTGCTGTCAAGAAGAATCAAAACTACGTCATGCATGTGTGTGACAGTAAAGGCAACCTTAATACGCCATTTGTAGCAAAGGGTAAACGTAAACCAATTGATGATGAAATGAAATATTTGTCCATTTCCTCCGACGACAACATAGTCATTTTGACTTATAAATCACCCAAAACTTACCGAATTATCATTAGTACGATGGACGGAAAATTTGTTAAAAAAAAGAAATTTCAACCACACAAAGACGAAATCCATTCATACAATCAAGTCATTTATACTCCCGTCACCAACAGTGTCATAGGTTTTTTTTTTGACAACTCAGAGCTGGTGATTGAGACTTATTCTGTTCAAACCGAAGAATTTATGTTGCCTATAATCCTGATAAACAGAGGATATGACTCGGAAATTTTTGACGCTTCATTACGCATCGTTCAGCATGCTGGCGAAAACGTGGCATTAGTGTCTAGAAAAAACGGTGTAGCTCGTTTTATTATAGGAAACCATAGGTGCGAAGACGTGGACAAGACGTTGAAGTGGAAGAACATGGAATTGAAGACAGATTTAGACTCGGTTCCAGGTGTTGAAAAAGGTTTGAGTGATTGGTCGATTTCAATATCATGTTTATTAACCTATTCTAACATTGCATCAACCATATTCAGTTCATAAAAGTATTAGAGCTTGAACTCAATTTTTCACATTAAATTTTAAAAACGATGTCTATGACCTCTGTAAAAACTTTTTTGATTAAAAAACTTACTGGTCATTTAATGTTGTAACTATAAGGCTTCCTATTGGCTTTAGCAAAAAGCCAAAATAATTTTTGTTACCTGCAAAAGATCACTTACTTAATCTTACCGCCTTACAGCATGCAAGCATACAGAAAGAAATTCTTGACATTAGAATAAATTATTTATGTTTAATCAACGAAAAAAATTTTTAAGTGTAATTGAAGATCATTTCCAATGACGTTACAGTATTGCACTCATGGCATTTTAAATATCAGGATATTTTTGATACAAAGAATTAAATTACATTGGCATGAAGTAAAACTGATGTTTATGCTATACCCTATACTAACTCAATTTTAAACTGCATAGTTGTAAGATGCTGTTCTGTTTCTTTTGTTCTAGTGGTAAAATTTCTGTTATTTTATTTATAATTTGTCAGAAAACCTGTCTTCAAATGCCAACACATCGTCCACTGCTTTAATCAATTCAAAGCCATCTGGTAAGTCATCGCATAACATTGCAAACAACTGAATCTTGGAGAGCTTGCTATCTGACATTTTATGTTTTTTGAGACCAGGGACGTCGGAAGTGGGGAAGCAGGGGGCTAACCCCCACTTTTCTCATAAGGGGGATGTGCCCCCCCACTTTGCTTTGAGATAGGAAATTTACTACCTAGGAGAGTGTTTACTAATAGTCTATTTTGACAATAAAACACACATATTAACAGTGCAGTGAGTCGACTATAAAGAAACACGTAGAATTCTTTTGCAGTTTTTTTTTCATTAGTTTATTATGTTCGCAATTAAACGACCGGTGTTGCTAAAATTCTAAATGGCGACTATTAGACAACATGTTGCAGACATCGGTACTCATAATTTTTAAAATATACCCCCTCTCTTTTTATGTTCCTTCCGACGCGCCTCTATGGCACACTTAATAAGGAACAAATTAAAAAGTTCCTTTGAATGTTAAAGCAGTGATGAATAACATGAATTCTGTTTAATGCAATGAACCTTAAATGCAATAAAATGAAAATGGTCAACATAAAGCTTGCATTACTCAAACGCTATGGCAAAATTTTGAGCCTTTTTAGAACTGTTTACTTTTTTGATACACTCTACAGAAAGCAGCGATGCTACAGGAGAGAACAATCGCCATCAAGATGATACAAAACAAGGTATACCAGTCCACTTTCGTTTTCGTTTAAAAAAAAAAGCTCGACACCACTAAATTGAGGAGAATTTTAATAGGTTATGATTAATTGATTTAATTTAGTTTTACGTACAACATGTGAGTTCAGAGCACTACAAATACGCAAAATCCAAACCCTAACCTTAACCATTGTAAAGTAGGCTACGAGGCTATTGCTGTGTTTTTGTAGAACACGCGTGTTACTGAGTTTTACGTGTAAAGTACTCAGGGATAGTTACAAAAATAAGACACCTAATAAGTAAGTATTCGTTAAAGCTAGTTTACAACACATAAGACTCTTATATCTCAATACCGATAAAAACGGAACACAAAAAATATGAAGAATTTAAAACAATTGTATGCCTTTTCAAAATTTACCGGAAAAACTTTGAAACAAACAATGAAATTCCTAACTATAATACAAGAAATTTAACCAAGTTACAAAAAACTTGTAAAAAACCAACTATAATATAATGCATAGAATACATTAGAGGTAACGCACAAATGAGTTAACTCTTACAATATTTATATGCCAACGATTAATAAAACAACATTTTTGTAATTGTTGATCGTCCAGATTGTTTACTTTAAAACAACATTTGATAAACATTGACTGTTCTTTACTTAAACAAATTATTTGGATGGAATAGTACAAATGTGTACATAAAAATGAATATAACCAGTTACCCATTATATGTATATTAGTTATAATAAATACTAGCGTTAAAATTTCTTGTATCTGAGTCTTAATAAGGAAATATGCTTCATTTATAATTAAATTTTATGTGTCGCAAATAATAGCTACAATAATTATTCTTTACTGAAAACATGCAGACAGTTCTGTTTTACAAACCTAACAAGTTTCCTACATTAAGTCTGTCGAGGTTTTTATTAGGTCTCTATAGCCCAACACCTTCATATATTGTTCGTATAGTTATAATTTTAAAAATTGAAACAGTAAACAAGATTTTTCAGCGTGGTATGTCATTATTACTCATTAAAATAGATTTTTTGAAAGCTTAAAAACTTTTTTTGCTTGCTAAGCAAGTGTGGACAATCTCCTTCCTGTAATAATATCAATTTTCTAAATTCAAATGTTCTCATTGACTTACAAATCCATATAAAACAAACTTTGTAAGAATACCACAGATTAGTTAAATTGCGTCCAACTTGATAGCATATTTAAATTTTGCAACGATCAGTTGTATGAAGTATTAAATTATATATACACGAAGTAAAACTGATGCTCTACCGTACACTAAGTCAGTTTCCAAACTGATTATGTCTCTATTCTGTTTATTTGTGTTCAATTGGTAAAATTTCCTATTGTTTTCTTGAATTTAGAAACCTCGTCTTCAAATACTAGCACATTGGCCACTACTTTTATCAATTTGGAGACATCCGGTAGGTCATCACAAAACAGCGCAAACAGATGAATCGTGGAGAACTTGCTAACTGACATTTTATGTACTCTATATAAGATAATTAATATGATGTAGTGCACAATTTTCAGGTATAAATTTTTGGTAATAATTGTATTATTATAAATAACTCGATAATCAACATTCTTCAATCCTGCAAAAATAGCCTTTAGGAACCGACGTTGAGGGCTGTAGGGTGAGCTTTCGAAGACTTTCTCCTCCACTATAAAGCTCATTCGTTTTTGACATGATTTTTAGCAAATCCAGCGTTCGTCAAAATAATATTAAATTCAATGTGCATTCAGAAAAACACTATTGGCTTTGAATTTATATAGAATTCACCAATTGATTTGACTCCAAGAGGCTTTATGCCAAAATGTGCTGCGATAATTTATTTTGACGTACCCTAGATCCGCCACTGGACATTACCTCTGTATTGTCCCCTTTATGTTTCCATTTATAGATACAGAGTCTGCGGTTGGCTTGATACACCAGTTATCAACCGTGTGTAACCTAGAAACAACTTACTCTGAACTACCAAATCATGTTCGAAGAAAGGTAGAAGAACGTTTAAACAAAGAACATGAGATATTAAAGAATGACTGGAGAAGGTAATTGTAAAAAAACTTAAGGTTTTAACCTAACATTTCACTGTATGATGTTTATTTTGTCATGCACTAATGATTATGTTGGTGCATTTTCGAACTAGAATCTAAAATTGCTTGTTTTTCAAGCCTATACAAAGTACTAAAGTTGCCAGAAGGTGGAGAAGATACGATTGCTGAAAAATTCTCTGACAACCCCACACGATATGTGTTGAAAACTTGGTTTGATAGTGATGGACAACATGCCAATGTAAAAGCACTGCTCCTAGCATTGAAAGAGTGTAAGCAGGGAGGTTTAGTTCATGAGATAGAAAGGGTGTTGGATGTTAAACTACCTGATCAAGTTCCGCAAAACACCGTTGATGGAATCCGTGACATGCAATTAAATGAAAACGAGAAAAGAACCGGTAAGTGAAGTTGGAATGAGTGGTTGTCTAATTTTTCAAAGCAAAGCATGGTGGTTGAGCAGTTGCATCAAACAGCCAGCCCACACATTTTGTCTATGCTATGTAAACTTCAGATCATTATTGTTCTTTTCCCATCTGTTTTATTCACAGTAAGTTAACACATTAAAATTTACATAGCAGGACTAAATTTGTGGGATAGCAACGCCACTCCTCACCTGCAAGGATTAGTTTTCGAATAATAACTCCAAGCTCTTGAGGTTTGGTCTGACACGTTTTACTTTCATGTCCAAAAGTAAGGTTGGAGGTAAACTTTAAAGTTTGCTTTGCTTTGCTTTGCTTTGGAGGTAAACTTTAAAGTTTGTTTTGCTTTGCTTTGCTTTGGAGGTAAACTTTAAAGTTTGTTTTGCTTTAAATGTATTATTGTGTAAGGTGTAAATGCAATAACGTAGCCAGCTCGACTTTTTACTCGTTTTACTCGTTTTACTCGTTTTACTTTCATGTCCAGCTCGTTTTACTTCCATGTCCAAAAGTAAGGTTGGAGGTAAACTTTAAAGTTTGCTTTGCTTTGCTTTGCTTTGGAGGTAAACTTTAAAGTTTGTTTTGCTTTAAATGTATTATTGTGTAAGGTGTAAATGCAGTAACGTAGCCAGCTCGACTTTTTACTCCCGCTTGTTTTCAAATATTTTTGTGTTTACTAGCTGTGAGAAGAATAGATTTATAAAAAGATGAATAATGGTTATCCATGAGAATTTATATTACCATAGGAAATCAACAGGCTGGCTACGTTAAGGTGTAAATGTTAAATCAATATTTCAATTTGGTTTATCTTAAGATATCCTAATTTAGTCTCCATCTTAATTAAGCTCTGAGGTTCGTGAAGGAGATACGGGGAAAATTAAAAGCTGAGTTGATAAATCAATTGAACCAAGTTAGTGTTGATGTTCTCTCAGAAATTGCGACAAAAATCTTGGAGGTGCGATGTTACGTGGTCGACAGTACTGATTTCATGGATAAATTGAAAGATAAGAAAATAAGATTTCTCTTTCGGGAACTTCGAAGAGAAGATCAGACGAGGGATGTTGCTCTTTGGATGAGAAATAAATTTCCTGTTGGCAGCACAGGTTGGTAGCCTACGTGTGTTAAACTAGTATTGTAACCATTTGAATAAATGAATTGATTCCATTGGTTTGAATTAGGGTAAGTTAAATAAATCTGCTTTCAGTGTAGGTTACGTTCAACTTCCAGCAAAAGAATATTTGGTGTACATTACGTTGATATTGTGATAAATGATTTTTGTTTTTGAACTTCCTGCAGGTCCTGTGAAATGCGATGATAACGTGAAAACTGAGAACATGAACTATGGCGTTAGAAAGGAAGTGACTGAACATTTATCTTGTGAGTTCCATCATACTTCGAATTTCAATGATAATAAAATATATTGTTACATGTTTGTAAATGTAGTTCGTCCAGGTTGGTATAGTCCTGAGAAGGACTGTTTTTGTTATTGGTAACTGACCTTTCGACAAACTTAGCGGTAGTCATCTTCAGAGTCAAACCTTAGCGGTAGTCATCTTCATCATCATCATTTTCCTCTTTTGACTCTGAAGAAGACTACCGCTAAGGTTGTCGAAACGTCAGTCAACAACAACAAAAACAGTCCTTCTCAGGACTATACCAACCTGGACGATCTACATTTACAGACATGTAACGATACTCCCGGGCTCAAACCATTTACTTTAAAATATATTGTATCAATTAATTAAATGTACGCGATACACCTTTTTTTTCATACACAGTGCAAGATTGGGAAATTCTCGCCAGTCACAGGGACATAGATTTGAAAAAATTGGACATCGGTATGATCAAGATAAGGTCGGCGGATAATCCTGCTGAAGCTGTCATTTCTCGATGGGAAGCAATGAACAACTCTTCTGTTGGCATGATGTACGATCTACTGGTTGACTGTAAATTCTACACAATTGCCGATCGCTTATGATGGTATAATAAACATGTTTAAATACGTAGGTCTTGAATACAGTAGTAAAGCTCTTGAATATGCACCTAGTGCAGTAGTGTATGGCGAACTGTAAGAATTTTCGAATGGCACTGATTACTAAAAGTCTGTGAACTCCATGTTTGAAACACTTTTTTGTCCAAGAAACAGCGGTAAAGTAAACTGTTTCACTATCTCTGTAATCAGAAATTTTTTTAAAAAACTGCTACTGTTGAATGTGAGCAGGATAAACACTATACCATACTTATTTTATAGCGAGATTAAAACACGTCAGTTTATGCATACATTGTGTAAGGTAAGTTGATGTCAGCTGTGCCTTACGTCGTTTTTTCTCGTGAAACGTTAGTCTTATCGTGAATTACGAACAATTTGTAATAATTTGTTTACTTATTTCTATTCCCGCGCATTTTAAATGTAAGCAATTAAGTATGAAACAGGTATGAAAATATGTGTGTTAATTGCTGTATGAAATAAAGTCTATCAAATTTAGTAGACTAAGGAACGACTCGCAAAACTGTGTTTTTTCATCTCTTACTTATTGAAATTTGAGAGTTAGAAAATGACGTCATTTAAGATTTCAAGGTCAGACGTTCGGAACACAACGGAATGTTATCGTAGGTGATCGTACGTATCTTGGCACTACAATCTTTTCAAAATGTAAAGACAATATATGATCGAAACGCTTATCTTTGTTGCAAGGTACACAAATTTTAAGCTTTTCGCATGAAAACTGGAGAATGCTGTGTAGCCCACTGAACTTAATCATGCAGAAGCGCTGCAGCGGAAACCCAAAAAATAATTCAATACTTCACTAGAACTGTTCTTCAACCTTACCAAATCCGTAGAGACAGAATGAATGTATCCGACTTGCTCTCTCTTGTGTTATAAAATGCTGTCATCTTATGCCTTTATGGTAATTGGTGGGTTGGTTTAGAATATTCATAGTGTGTGAATGGAATTTGAGTTTGATGTCAACAAAATTTTGCCAAATCCAATCACCTTTGTCGACAGCAAAATGTGCACGTTTGGAAAACATGCGAGAGAGTAAGTTTCTATTTCATACTTCACTTGCGTAACGTGGAAATTTCAGAATTTGCTTTTGTTTTCACAGTTACTGATTATTTGCATAGCTTGATAACATAGGCGTTAAAAGTGCTGGCTACAGGCTATACCATTAAGTTTTTTGTTTGTCGTTAAATCCTATTTCGTATTGATATGACAGCAAGGAAACGGCATACTGTGTATAGCTACAAAACACTACAAACATGGCAAAAACCAGGTTGTGTCAGGTTCCATTGTTCCCCTGTACTGTGGAAAAAAATAACAAGCCCTTTTATAAAGTTTATTGTTCAAGAGGTCCAAAGTTAGCCAAGTTTCATGAGAGGATGTTGTATTGGCAGCAAAGGGGAGTTCGCTCAACAAAATTAAATTATCTCACCATGGTACTTAATGTGATTTGCTCTAGTGCAAAGTTGCTCAATCAACATTTACATAAAATCATTGATGCTCTTGGTGCCGCATCGAGCAAGGTAAGAATATCGAAGTAAGTTACTAAATGACCTAGCACATCATATATGCAATTTTACCCATATTTCCAATCATTTACGTAGGCACAAGGATTGCATACTATCATCACAACTGCATCGAAGCTCAAGTATTCAGATCATGAACTTTATATTCTCAAAGATGCTGCTAGTAACAAGTGAGTACTTGGCAATTCAAGACAAGGGCATCTGAAATGGGGGGAGGGTGGGTAATATCTTAGAGGGACAATACCTCATTTCCCAAAAAATATTGGAAAATGACAGGTCTTGCATTTTACAATAATATGAAACATGTTACTCATGCCAAATTGGTATTCCCCACTTTTATTGTCCATCCAACACCTCTGATTCAATATTAACTGTCTGCTCTTTCACAATTTTTAGTTAAAGACACAATTTTTAGTTATACATTAATGTGATTGCCATAAATATATAAGTTCTTACATGAGTATTTGCTTTAACAACGCTTATTTTTGAAGAGGCCAAGGTACAGTTATTGGCATTATTAAAGTTGGCCGAAAAAATCTTTTCTTGTTGGTATGTTTGTTTTTCCTACAGTGTTCTAACAAGTATATAGTTTTCTTTTCCATGAACCTGGTAGACAAACTTTCCTCTGCAAAGTAAATGGTTTGAACCGGGAGTATAATTACATGTTTGTAGGTGTAGACTATCAAGGCTATTTGAGTCCAGGGAAGGTCTACTGTTGTTGATGTTGACTGAAAATTCCACATCCTTAATAGGTAATCATCTTCAGAGTCAAGTGAGGAATAGCATTTTGGTCAACCATATGACTAATACCTCAAACCTGACATTTACTGGTCACGTGACTCCAAAGATGATTACCACTATGGTTGTTGAAACATCACTCAAAATAAACAATTCTTATCAAGACTACACCAACTTGGACAAACTACATCTAAAAACACGTTTCCTCCATAAAGTTATGTATTTAATTCATCCCAGTGATAGTTAAAAGCTATTCTTCTCCACGTATACCCCATATACTTTATTCTTTCCCGGCAAAATGTTGTGTGGGAAGAAGTCAATACGCTGCACATGTTTACACACAGTCGCATGCAAAAGTCTCTTTCCTCGTAGGACATGCATGGCGTTCAGCACGAAGTTGTGCCGCTCTGCGTGATGGATTTTTATGTGCATCATACAAAACAAAGAAACGGCTGTGGAAAGATGTTGTTTGAACACATGTTGAAGGTGGAATAAATGCTATAAAGAATTTTTAATACGGATTTCCGATTGACCTGTCGTGATTTTCAGTCTAGGGAAGTTTTGTAAATCACTGGAGTATTTTTAACTTTTCTTTCATTACGAATTCTCAGATTCATAATCTTCAACCATTTCATGTGGCGATTGATCGTCCTTCGCACAAGTTTCTTTCCTTCTTGAAGAAACATTATGGTCTTTACAATGCCATATCTCAGGTAAGCTATGTGCGAAGACATTTAAGAAATGTGACTTTCTTGTAAAAACTTGCTCTATTACATTATTGTGATAAAACATAATTTCGCTTTTTGATGAGATTAGGGTGCTGATTACATGAGCCCGGGTAGCCTGGATTTAGCGAAGCTTTAAATGATTTTGGCAAATGGAAACGATTTAATTTTTATCATCAAATAAATCTTCTCGAGCAATTTCATGATATTTTGGTTTAATAACGAAGCAAAACATTTAAAGTTAAAACAACCAAGTTGGCCTTATTTGATAATTACAACAGGGATGACTTATGGCGCTTAAGGAACAGTTGTAATTTTTAACCTTGAAGTTTTGGTCCCTTTCAATCCCTCGAAATCATTGCACACCTCACTGAATCTCGGCTAGCCGGGAACATGTAAACAGCCGCTGACCAATGCAATGTAAGCCATCTCATTGTACTGAAAGCACGAGAGGTGTTCCAGTAATCTTGATCGTCAATATTCCTTTTTCTCTGATCATTAAAAGCCAACATATTGCTGCTTTTACAGCCGAACAAGTTTTTGGTTTTTGATCAGTTTTTTCGCGACATGAGCGGTACGTTTCAAGGCCATTTCTAGACTGTATTATGAATGAATTTTTAATTTTTACGGGAATTTATCGTGTTTTTGTTTTCATATTTCAGCTGTTGGTTTTGTACCCAGGAGAAGTCAAAGGTTGAAATTTGGAAGTGAAGTAAAAAAAGATCGTTCTCCTGTCCATCATCATCGACGTACTTCTAGTGAGTTTTAGTTGAAAACGGTTTAAACTGCATTATCTTTTATCAACATAACTCAACTTTACACCACGTAGCCCAATTTTACACGATGTCGCCCAACTTTACACGACGTCGCCCAACTTTACACGATGTCGCCCAACTTTACACAACGTCGCCCAACTTTACACGACGTCGCCTAACTTTACACGATGTCGCTCAACTTTACACCACGTAGCAATTCATTACATCACATAGCCCAACTTTACGTCCCATAGCAAAACTTTACACGACGTACCACAACTTTACATTACGTCGCTCAACCTTTTAGACATCCTTTGTGGTCCTTAAACTGTACTAGGGTTATTAGGTAACAAAACTTTTATCTCCGTAAGATGGACATTATATTCCTTTTTTGTTATCTATATTTTATGCATAAGTAATCCTGTATTTTAGGATTAGCCAGCAATAACTGGCCGTCAACGTCACAGCGCGAACAAAATCTTAGCGCTAAGGGAAGCTCTGAAAAAGCGCAGATAATGGATGTGAACGGCAATAACGATTCAGAAATTTCTGAAACACCTTTGTCTGGGCTGCCATCAATTACTCGACCAACGTTTGGCAGAGAGCAGTCCACGCTCCTTATGGGGTCGGATGATATTAAAGGCAATAGGTTAGTTATTAACGATCAATAAACCTTTTAATATAAAACAATTTAGCATTTACGTAATTTTTTTCTGGTCGTTTGCTAAGTGTTCCAGGAACAGATCGTCAAAAATAAAAAAAAGTATATATACGTACTGAGAAATTGCACATACGTTATATTAACCAATATATATTATATATTGGTTAATATAACGTATGTACTAAACAGCACTGATGTAGATGTAGTCCATATTAGGTACCTGGGCCGTTGGAAGATCGAGAATTAAGAGAGGGGGGAAGGGTTTCATCTTCACATGCGCATGCGTGATATGTAAAAATGAGTTCCTTTGAAATTCTTTTTTTACTGCAAAGGCATAGCACTGGGGTTTATTGCAACTCAATTTTCAAAAATCATTTAATTGACGACATGAACATAGCTAAAGCATATAAGATTACAAAATCCTATTGAAGACGATACAGTATAGTACGCAAGGAATCATGTTTTTACACCAATTCATTCCTAAAAGATTTCTTAAATAGGACCGTTCGGGAAATATGCTTTCGCTTTCGCGAGGACATAAATAAATTTTTTTATAAATAAACAGTTGTAATGCAACAAAGATAACGATTTCATCGACGTGAACTTTTACAGGCTAAATTCCGGATATAATGGTCGAGGACTCGCTGCTCAAGCAAGTCTTTACAGTCGACATAATTCAGCAGACGTAGCTATGCAAAATAGGCGCGAATCGACACCGAATCAGAAGTGGCAACGGAATACTGTATCAGCTGGCACAAGGTCGCTTCATGCATGCTCAGACGATAACCCTCTTGCAGTTGGTATGCACCACAATAATAGGTAATAAAAGTTTGATTACATACTTTGACGTCATGAAAGATTTATTACATACTATGACGTAATACAACTTTGATTACACTTTGTGACGTAAGAAAAGTTTGATTACACAATGTGACGTAATAAAAGTTTGATTACATACTGTGCCGTAATACAAGTTTTTTTACATAATGTGACGTAAGAAAAGTTTGATTACACAATGTGACGTAATAAAAGTTTTATTACATACTGTGCCTTAATAAAAGTTTTCTTACATAATGTGACGTCATAAAAGTTTGATACATATTGTGACGTAATAAAAGTTTGATACATATTGTGACGTAATAAAAGTTGGAACACATACGTACTGTGACTGTAACAAACAGTAAAGAGCAGCTGCGCATGAGCTAACATTGTGCAGATCCACTTATAGGTGAAGTATTAAGTTATCAACTTATATTTGCATTGCAACGATTGCGCAAGCCTAGTACGAAATTCTAACTTATACCACATCAATCATAGTTTTGCAATACTTATTCTGAACTTTTCTTCAAGATTTTCAACTAAAGATCCAATAAAAGGAAGACTTTCGACTTTTAATGATGGAAGTGTCGCAAGGCCATATGGTTTATCTTCTACAGGAAATTACACAATTTCGTCTGTTGTTAACACACGTCATGATGTAAATTTGTCCAACCAATGTTCTTCATGGAATATATTTGGCATACCACGTGTTGAGACGAGTCCAAGACGGACTAAACTAGATAAGGCCAGGACATTGCCATTTTGAGTAATGTATATGTATATAACACTTAACCATTTACATTCAGTAAAACAGTCTTAGATATTCTTCAAGACTTTATTAGAATTGCTGAAGGTTTTCATGTCCAAATGTGATGCAAAATTTTAAAGACTTGAAGCAGCTTTGATTCCTCCAATTTTTACTGTGACTTTAATCCCCTTAGGACAACAGGGAAGACAGACAGAACACTAATATAAAGTTTCTTTCCAGTTATTTTTTGTGGGAATGACCTTCTGTTTGTTAGATACAAAGTATTCAGAGTTAGCAGGTGGTCTAGACAGCTAAAAAAGCCGTGAACTATAGAGCTAAAGAATTATGTGCAGATATATAAGTTACTGTTATTTTGTAAATTACATCTGCTTCTTTGTACGTTTGGTTGCAATTGGAGGGGAGACAATATTAAGTCTTTTCCTTAGCAGATCTATGGGTTCTTCAAAATATTTTTCCACATACAAGTTCATGAGAAACCTTGCACGATACCCTGCATACAGAGCCCATGGTATATAAGTGTTCACCAATCTCTCTTGTTGGCTAAGAAACACACAAGGAGAAATTGTCTTCTAGTTACACATGATTTGAATGCTAACAATTTTTACCTGCGCTTGAGCCTCAGCGGTGCAAGCAATGATCCAAATGTGCACATAGGAAGGCGAGTTTGAACCATTTCAAACCATTTTACAGTTATTTCACCAACTATGCTGCAGAAAAAATGAAAACCCAAATCCTTCTTTCTCATTTTGATCATGCTGAAATTTGCATCCAACATTGTAACAGTGTTGTTGAACAAGTAAAATTACAATACCATAGCAACTATACAACAAAATAACTAAGTTGCAAGCCCTTTCAAAGTTTTGCCAACTACAGATTTGAAAATGTTAATCTTCACAGTGTTTTGTACTGTATTTCTTACTTGGTAGGCATGCCGAGAAGAGCATGGTTGAAGTCATGAACCTCTCGATATCTTTGCATGACATATGCCAGTTCGGGATCATCAATAAATCTTACCTAATAAAGATGATATTCTTCTGTTAAACATTTAACTAGGGTAAATGCATTTCAAGGAAAACAGGAAAAATAGAAAATGATCTTCTTTACCGGAAGTCGGCTATCAGGAGTAACTTTCTGAAGTAAAAGGAAATTGACAATATAACACATTAGAACAAAATCAAATCATTAACTGGTTATTATAATTATCATCCTTACATTTCTATCTAGAAAGTTTGTGTATTCTTTTCCAAATGTGCCTTCGGGAAGTTCTCGCAATGCAGGCACATTAATGGTAGCTGAAGTTATTCTTGGCCTTTCTCTAATGAAAGAAATCTAACAGTGAAATGCAATAAAATTTGTGTAAGGGTGAATGACTATTAATGCAATAGTTTTAACTGCATTCACACAAGTAACCTTAAGATCTTTTGGCCTTCCTTGTCTAGTTGCATTAGCCTTCGAATTTTTTTCAAAGCATAGTATCCGGTACTTTCACCCAACACAGCAATCATGTCTAGTCAAATACATTCATATTTAAATTGGATATTGCATGAAAATACGACACTTCACAGGAATACCATAGGAGAAACCTGCACTACTAACCATCCCTTGTCGGATCAAAGAATGCAGCAACACCGGAACCAACAGCTAACAAACCCTTTTGTAAAAGGCTAGTTGGAATATGATGCTCATACAAAATCCCAGATTCTTTATACGCATGCCTTGTGAAATCATCCTCTATTTGTGAGTTTGTCAGTTCTAAAACAGCGTAGCGTTATGTCACGTACAAATACTTTCATAAAAATAGCAACATGCAAAAATTATTCCAGTCAAGTAAAACTCTGTATTTAATGCAGTAAACTCTTACATAATGCAGTTACATTCTAGATCAATAATAAGCACAACTGCAGCACGAGCGTAAGTATTACCTAGTGAAGTCAAAGACCTTGCCAACAATCTCTCACAGCACGACTTTTTGGAAGTGAAACGATTCGATATCCGAGTCAAAAATATCATTTCTAATATTCAAAATATCGTTTTTGTTTCACCTCCAACAGAAAGACTACTGTGAAATTGGCACTACAATGGGCACCACACTCAACACAACATTCATCACAACATTCATCACCACATTCAACTAAAATTTATCATTCAAAATGATAAATTGAAAAATCGTCTTTAAAACACGTTTTCCATCAAATACAACATTAAAAAAACAATTCTTAACTAGTTATTACTATTTTACTTTCCTTAAACATCACAAAAAAGTATAAAAGGCAAGAAGTTGAAGAAAACACTAAGCTTTATGATACAGTGTACTTTTAATTTCTCTTATTTAGCGTATAATTTAAAAACAACACGGTAGAATTTTTTTAAACTTGGCCATATTCTAGATATTTATATTGTCTAAAATATATCCAAAATAAGGAGAGTGCACCAAAAAATAATGTGTAGAAAATTATCGACAAAATCGTATGACACGAATGCGCGTAATATAATCTTATATAATTAACTTCCTATATCCGTGTAATTTTGCAAACAAAGGCCTATAAATAAAAACTACACGGTAGAATTTTTTAAACTTGGTCATTGTGTAGACATTTTTATTGTCTATAACATATCCAAAATCTGGAGAGTGCAAAAAAAATAAGTTGTAAAAAATCATCGACGAAATTAGGTGACAAAATGCGCGTAATATAATCTTATATAATTAACTTCCAAAATCCATGTATTTTTCAAACAAAGGCCTATAAATAAAAAACTACAAGGTAGAATGTTTTTGTAAATATTGTAGATATTTTTATTGTCTAAAATATATCCGAAATCTGGAGAGTGCACAAGAAATAAGTTGTGGAAAATCATGGACAAAATCGGATGACACAAATGCGCGTAAAATAATCTTGCATAATTAAGTTAAGAATTCCTGTTCTTTAACAAACAAAGCCCTATAAATAAAAAACTACAAACTAGAAATTTTTAAACTTTTGCATATTGTATATATTTATATTGTCTAAAATATATCCAAAATCTGGAGAGTGCACAAGAAAATAAGTTGTAGAAAATCATCGACAAACTTAGGTGACACGAATGCGCGTAATATAATCTTATATAATTAACTTCCGATATCTATGTATTTTTCAAACAAAGGCTTATAAATAAAAAACTACATGGTAGAATTTTTTTAAACTTGCCTACATTGTATATATTTTTATTGTCTGTAACATATCCAATATCTAGAGAGTGCACATAAAAGAAATAGTAGAAAATTAGCGACAAATTTAGACGACTTAATTGTTGGGGATGGTGTTAAGATATGCTCTGATACTCTTCCTGTAATTAGTAAATAATTAATAGTTAAACAAATTATTCTAACTAACAAAGAGTATGGAAGGACTATAAAACTTTTAAACATCATGAATTTTCCCATTTTTTTAAACATCTCTAAGATCTTAAAGTAATACTAAAAACTGGAATTATCGAAAATCATCTATAATGCGTAATATGTAAATAAGGAGCGGTTCCGGTTCTATTGCGAACAAAGGCGTCTAACTTGTAAATCAAACGACATGCGTATTTTAATGACAACAGCATTGTTAGTTTTTATTCATTTTGAATTCATTAACATTAATATATATTAATGACTTTTTTCGTCCACCCTCTTCTTCCCCGTGGCTTTCTTCTGTTGTTTTGTGGGCATCTCCACTTTTTGTGGCCAAGCTGCCCACAAATAAAGCATCTCACATCTGTAAAAAGTGTTCGCACTCATTTTATTTGAATAGTTCTAGCGTTAGTTTCTATAAAAGATGAATTACCTCTTAAAAATGGGTTTTCATTGGCGTGAATCGAGGGCTGAATCGAGAGCTGAATCAGAGGCTGAGAAGAGGTCTGATGTGATGGCTCCTGATGCTCAATAGATGGAGCTAAAATTAAAATGGAAGAGAATTGTTTATCGGCTAAGAAAAATGAGGTTTTTCAAACATTTATTTTCAATATAAACCTGCACCTTCAGTACATTTTGGCTTGAGATAAGATTACAACAACATAGCCAATGACGGCACTGCAATTTTTGGATGATTTGCATATCTCAATAGAACATTAACAGTTCCCTATTTTCATTAATTGAAGTATATTCAAAAGCATTTCATCGGTTGTAGCTACTTTTGAAAATTACATTGCTGATTAACATACCTTTTTAAATAGGTAAGCAGTGGGCCTTTTTTGATTTTTTGCCAACGAAATAACCAAACCGTTTTGATTTACTTACTTTATTTTAATTTGCAATTAGCATTCATACATTACAGAATTTTTTAATTTCATTGCTTTTATAAAAATGTCGGTATGTACCAATTTTCGTTTATTTGAATGAATTGTTAAGGACAATTTGTTATCTTTAATTTCGTAAAAGCACTATTGCTAATGCACATTTAATATACACAACGACTTTTTTAGAATGTTTTTGATTTTGAATGATGTGAAAATTAGTCGAATGTCAATACCTGTACAGAAGCGTTTCATAATGTTTTTAAGTCTGCGTTGTGTGTGTCTTGAGGAATTCCTAATTCGACTAATTTTCACATCATTCAAAGAGCCAATCCCTGATTCAATTAAATCTATGGTGGTATATGAATTCAATTGCGCGGGAAGTAATTCCCGATACATTGGCGAAACTTCGCGCCATTTATCCACCAGAATCAGGGAACATACCACAATCTCATATCTACCGACACCTTCTTAAATCTCACTCATGTAAAACCAACTATTCACCCTCTTGCTTCAAAATCATCGACACTGCCGACACCTCATTCACCCTTAAAATCAAAGCGGCACTCCACATTAACAAAACTAACCCTGACCACAATGTTCAAGTTTTTAAATTCAGTACAATATTTAGTTTATAATACGTTCGGACGCTCCTCATTAATTTATCTTATTTCCTTTTTATTGTTGTAATTTCTGTATCATGTTACTTTTATATAAACCTTGTACCACTTATTATTTCACTCATACTGAAGATAGCATCATGAGATGTCGAAACATGTCTATTTTCAAAAAAGTTGTCGTTTATATTAAATGTGATTGGCAATAATGCTTTTACGAAATTATGGAAACATATATATATAATTAACTCCCTATATCCATGTATTTTTCAAACAAATGCCTATAAATAAAAAACTACACGATAGAATTTTTTTAAACTTGGCTACATTGTAGATATATTTATTGTCTATAACATATCCAAAATCTGGAGAGTGCACAAGGAAGAAATGGTAGAAAATTAGCGACAAATTTAGACGATACGAATTCGCGTAATAGAGGATGGCAAATAACTGTCGTGGCTATAATCTTACGTAATAACTTCTTAATTCTTGGTGGGGTTAAGCAAACTATTCTAACTAGAAAAGCGTATGGAAGGACTTTAAAACTTTTAAACATCATGCATTTTTTCATTTTTTTAAACTTCTCTAAAATCCTAAAGTAATACTAAAAACTTGAATGATCGAAAATCATCTATAATGCGTAATATGTAAATAAGTAGCGGTTCCGGTTCTAATGCAAACAAAGGCGTCTAACTTGTAAATCAAACGACATGCGTATTTGGATGACAACAGTATTTTAGTTTTTATTCATTTTGAATTGATACATATTAATATATATTAATGACTTTTTTCGCCCCCCTCTTCTTCCCCGTGGCTTTCTTTTGTTGTTTTGTGGGCATCTCCACTTTTTATGCCCAAGCTGCCCACAAATAAAGCATCTCACATCTGTAAAAAGTGTTCGCACTCATTTTATTTGAATAGTTCTAGCGTTAGTTTCCATAAAAGATGAATTACCTCTTAAAAATGGGTTTTCATTTGGCTGATATGAGGGCTGAATCGATGGCTGAATCAAGGGCTGAGTAGAGGGCTGATGCATGGGCTGATGTAATGGCTCCTGATGCTTAATAGATGGAGCTAAAATTAAAATGGAAGAGAATTGTTTATCGGCTAAGAAAAATGAGGTTTTTCGAACGTTTATTTTCAATATAAACCTGCACCTTGGGTACGTGGAGCTTGTTGTACGGTCGGCAAAACTTCTCCATTTTTCCGCAAAAATTCTTCAAACACTGTAAAATTATAGAATATAACTATTTTATAAAGCATTAGATTGACTTCAAAGGATATTTTTATTTACAGCGAAATCTTTCGAACATTTGGTGGTCCATCGTTATGTTATGTTTCCCACTGTTTGGGGAATCCACTTGTCGTATTGCCTCCTCATTTTTGTCATTATCTATAATTAGAATTACATCTTGCTGTTAGAAGAAAATATAAAAATATTGATGAACTTTTCTTTCTTCGATTCAAAAATATTACCCATTGGCGAAGACATTTTATTTTTTGAACTTCAACTCAACTGTGCAGATTTCAACGTACTGGCTGGTCTGTTAGCTGTGAACGGTGAATAGGATGTTATGTTGTAGGATGCTTTGGTGTTAGTATTTTGAGACGAGATGACATTTTGGCTTGAGATAAGATTACAACAACATAGCCAATGACGGCACTGCAATTTTTGGATGATTTGCGTATCTCAATAGAACATTAAAAGCTCCATATTTTCATTAATTGAAGTATATTCAAAAGCATTTCATCGGTTGTAGCTAACTTTTGAAAATTTAATTGCTGATTAACATACCTTTTTTGAATAGGTAAGCAGTGGGCCTTTTTTGATTTTTTGGCAACGAAATAACCAAACCGTTCTGATTTACTAACTTTATTTTAATGTCAATACCTGTACAGAAGCGTTTCATAATGTTTTTAAGTCTGCGTTGTGTGTGTCGTGAGTAATTACTAATTCGACTAATTTTCACATCATTCAAAATCAAAAACCTTTTCTCATTAAAACACCCAATCCCTGATTCAATTAAATCTATGGTGGTATATGAATTCAATAGCGCGGGATGTAATTCCCGATACATTGGCGAAACTTCCCGCCATTTATCCACCAGAATCAGGGAACATACCACAATAGACAAAAACTCTCATATCTACCGACACCTTCTTAAATCTCACTCATGTAAAACCAACTATTCACCCTCTTGCTTCAAAATCATCGACACTGCCGACACATCATTCTCCCTTAAAATCAAAGAAGCACTCCACATTAACAAAACTAACCCTGACCTCAATGTTCAAGTTTTTAAATTCAATACAATATTTAGTTTATAATACGCTCGGACGCTCTCCATTAATTTATCTTATTTCCTTTTTATTGTTGTAATTTCTGTATCATATTACTTGTATATAAACCTTGTATCATTTATTATCTCACTCATACAGAAGATGGCATCATGAAATGTCGAAACATGTCTATTTTAAAAAAAGTCGTCGTTTATATTAAATGCGAATTTGTTATCTATTTATAGACACGATTTCAAAAAGCAAAAGTCGCAGGATGTTTTCCTCTAAAGGAGAACATTAAAGAAATTGCATCCATAATGTATCGTTGAATTGTGCCAACATACATGCACGTAAGTGGTGGAAAATTAATGGTTTTTGGGCTAAAGTTTTGGAGGAGTGTGGACATCCAAACTAGTAAATTCACGCAAATACCTCTATATGTTGTGGCGACGAAATTAGGGAGGGTTTCAGAATGCATACGAGAGTAAACAGAAAAGGCAAACAAACATCGCTAACAAGGAGGTAATTTATTGTGAATAAGACATTAATACATTCTTTGTATAATTAATCCTTATTGTACAATGACGATGCAATCTTGATTGTGCATGCAAACAGTAAACTCAATATTTAAATAACTGGAATGATGCCTGAAAGCAAAAATTGAAGCCAAAAAATCTTTGTCGTCATCACTCGTGTTTCTCGCGCGTTCATAATAATATGTATTTTTTTTTGGACTTCAATTCAACCTCAGTTGATTTCATTTTACTAGTCTGTTTTATCATCATCAAGAAAATATTTTGAACAAAATTTATTTCAGTTCTACGTTATCCACAGTGCAAAAGTTTTATTACGTTTTTCAAATAAATTAAAGGGATTTGTTCGTATTAATTTTTATTCGATAAAATTTACATATAGAATGAAAACATCTTATAGCTGCTATATATTTTTGTTATACACAGTCAATCTACTCTTAAGCTGCGGTTCTCCTTTAAAACATATTAAAGTCTTTAAGGATATTCAATTATTGATATCGAGATGGCAACCATTTAGTATTTCAAGCATTATCAAAATCGTTGAAATGGCAAAAAATTGTTCTCTGTAAAAAGTAAAAGTGCGAGTTATAGACTCAATACAAACCGCGTGAATATTCATCTTTGAAGGACTGGAACTGAAGTACAAACCGCGCAAGAGACTAGGACTTTGGCCTCAATTTTATATCCTTCGGTATTTAACAAATAGGTAACATTTAACCGTTATCTATACAGTTATTGGTACACGGGTATGACGTCATTTGTGATAAAAACGCAAACAGTGAGCACGAGCCGCCGGCTGGGGCGAGTATCTATACCTGTATAGACAACGGTTGAATGTTATCTATTTGTTTTACATAACAAAATAAAAAAAAATTCCCAAATTAAACGGTCAAACAGTTTGTTTTCGTTGTATCCCAACACTTGGAACATTGAAAATATCACGCTTACGTGATCTACAGGATTGAAGAAATGCTATTGGCTAGTTTAATCACGTGATGAAATGTGATTGGCTAAAAAAGTAAACAAGCAATGGCTGATCAATTTTGTTTAAATTTCTGCTCAAATACCTCTACTGCTTCAACTAGGCATTCGTAATTTCTTTATATGCCTATTCAGGCATTAATTCAGGTAAATATTCAAATAAATTTGCCCTTTGTTTGTCATTTAAAACAAGAAATTTTCTGTGACGTCACTTTCGTGCGTCTGTCCTCTTATAGCTCTATATGACCTATCACAGCTCTCAACAATGCAATTGCTCAAATTCTTCTGGTTATTATATAAAAATATATGGTATTCACTGCTTGCAAATTGTCACCAGTCTCCTGCTTAGTAACTGCAGGGAGTTTCCCCAAGGAGGTGTCCGCTTGATAGAGATTTCATTACTCCGAATTGCACACGAGATTTAATTCACGACTTTGCAAAGTGTCCGTTTTAATACAGTTAGGCGCTTAATAGGATTAACTGTATAATTTCTTTTTCTTATTAAAAACGTATTACATGCATGAGTGATTGTTTGAATGACGTAGCTAACAGTAAAGACTTCATTTAAATAAATGAGGAAAACGTGTAAAATCTTGACTTCCGTTATAAAGTCATGTGATTAAATGAGGCTAAAAAATATGTTTAACCACATTACGTAAAATGCTGTTATATGCACATATTTGTTCGTAAGGTTTTTTTTTATATTTGTTGACAAAAGCCTTCTTACAGCTAATGCATGGTCGTTTACAAATTTGTAGACACCCCCATTTAGTGAAAAATTGTAGAATCGGGACAAAAAAAAGTCCTATGGAGCAATAAAGTGAGCAGATTTTTTCTTATATTATTGTCAAAGCTAATTTACAAGCAAGGCATGAAAATAAAGAACGCAAGTCGATTGTAAAACTCCTGTCATAATCTTTATATATTTGTAGGTTGTTGGCTCTAGCATTCCGGGAAGTCGTATGCATGCACATGAGAAACGGGAAAAAGAAATGCAGATGAAAGCTCCTATATCATGTGATAAGAACGTATTTATTGACATAAATGACTTTCCACTATTGACATGTTTAGGGGAGAATGATAAGTCTGCAAGAATACAAGTCAATAAAGACGAAAATATGCAAGTAGAAGTGAAGACCTTTGAAATTGTCTCCAAGATAAAAAGTCAGCATGTGCAACACCCTCTAGTCATATTCGTGTTTCTACTCGGCAGCGTCGTGCCCCCAAAGTGTACACTGCAACGAAAAAGCTGTTTATTGCTTTTACCAACGAGAAGACATTCGCCGGTATTTAGTGTGTAATTTTGAGAAGGCAGGATGCATGAAGTACTATCATCCTAGATGCGTTGGTTTGGAGCATTTGAAAAATAGAGAAGATGAGAATGTTTTGCCAACTGTCTTGATGGTGTTTCATTCATGCGTCCTGTATGCATAAAGAAAACGGATGAGGAAACAAGTGGCTGAATAAAAAACAAGAGTGTACCATATGTGCAAAATAGTTTGAAACAAACAAACCGAGCCAATGCACATTTGTTGACTGAAGAAAATTAATTTACGGTCATACAAGAAGTTAGCAGACTTAACAGCCCAAATGTGCCAACAATTGACGAAGTATTTACTCTGGAGAATAAAGATACTGCGATTGAAGGTGCTTGGAAAGAAGAAAATATAGTTTGCTCTTATTTATCAGATGACGTGAATTACGAGGACATGCCAGATGACGTGAATTACAAGAACATGGCAGATGATGTGAAGCATGACGATATGCCAGATGACGCATCAATAACGTTCAGAGAAATAGGCGACGACGATCTGATACAGAATTGTAAATCAACAGCTTAGAAAAGAGTGATTTGACGTATGTTTCCAAAGACAAAGAAGCCATTGGGAATGAGAACGGGAGTGACAAAAAACCATTTGTTGCAAAATATGCTGTTCATATAAGACAACCAACTGTCAAAATTTTGTCAATTCCTCATGACACCTTAGGTCACATAATGGATTGTCCAAAACTAACATTTGATTCAATCTTCACTACCGAATGCTCATCAGAAGTATCGTTTACACTAAGTCAGGATGAATGGTGGCAGATGGTACCCACGTATTTATCACCAAATCGCCTTCAAAACAATTGGACAAAGATAATTGCCAAACACCTGCAACTATCTAATCCATTTTGCAGTTTCATCTTCGACAGGCATTATGTTCAGAAACAAAACTCACGAAAGCGATGTTACAAAATCTATTTCAAAGCTAATGGTCGATGTATATTTGAAAACTGTTCGTGCCGCTTTACTCTCGCAATGAGCAAAGATGATTTTCATCAAAAAATTGTTCATGTGAAATACACTTGTAGCATCAAACATACAAATTGTGAAAGAAAATCTCGTGCCATTAAAGGAGAAAAACGCGCTCAATTCAGGGAAGAATTCTGCAGTGGCCCTCTTAAGCCATCCGTTATGTATCAGAAGAGAAAACTGGACGTTTTCCCTGATGCAATGGCATCTGGAAATACAACAGGCTGTGGCAATAAACCTGAAACAATGAGAAAAATTGCAAGTGAAGGAAAACAGTTGTTGCAACAAGATAAAGACCTTTCATGCTCTCTGGAAAAAATAAGAAGAACGCTTCTTGGAAAGGAAACTACACGCGAATTTCCAAAATCAAAAGCCCACGACGGTTTCGTACATACTATTGCAATGCATCCTCTCATCGTTCCCATGGGATTAGAGAATGAAGTGCGTTTGTGGCACGGTGGATGCAAGAATGATATTTCTTATCTTGACGCAACTGGAACATTGGTTGCTGATCACAACGGGAAGCGCGTCCTTTATTATGCATTAGTAATACGCCATCCAGTAGAAAATGAACCATCGTTTCCAGTCGCAGAAATGATTACTTCGGATCATACAACGGGAAATATTCACTCATTTTTAGAAAGATTTCGGCGAGACGAATCAAAGTTATATAGAGGGAATCTATCATCTCCAAGACAGGTAAACACTGACTATTCAAGGGCTTTATTAATGGCAGTTTTGCAGGAATCCAATAACGAATCAAGGGCAGCATTCTTCAAGAGAGCTTTCAGGATAGTCAATGGTAGAAGTCTTGACAATGATTTAGCTCTTATAGTACCTCATGTTGGATGTAGTCACTTCATGCACATTGTTCACAGGTATCTCAAAAAATAGGATTCTGTCGAAAATTTGGTACGGCCTGGAGAAACTAGAACGTCCATTGGGGAGGGGGGTAGTGCGGTGGTAAATATTCATATATTCAGATCTGCTCGACTGATTTTGTTTGTTAGCGATCTTTAACGTTCTAGTTTCGGCCCTGTTCTCAAATCTTAATCCATTTTTCAAAAACAATGAGAGAAATGCGGTATGCAGTTTTTCAATAAAGACTAAATATGCAATGCCCGTATTTCTCTCTAAACAGATTTATCACAAACCGATTTTTTTATCCAGGCATGTACGATTTAAGGCACAAAATGCCTCAAACGAAAAAAAGGACAAAGAAATAGTGTGGCTACTTTAAAATTGATTTTTAAACGCGCAGATGGCTAAACATCTATCTCACTAAAAGTTATTGCTTTTGTATGACCATCAGTAGCACATCCAGCAAAAGTCAAAATATATTATTAGTGCTTAATTTCTGAAGACTAAAATTTTACCAATCACCAAGTTGAGTCTAACATCGCACCGTAAAATGTAGTAATTTTGCTAAAATTTATGTAAATAACATTTAGGTATATTCAATATAGGCCACCGGCAGCAATATTTATTGCATGCAAAATAAATAACAAAATCTAACACAGCTTTTCTTTCAGCGTTGTGAAGATGAGCATGTTATTGCCATTCACTTAAAATCAAGGAAAAGCACAAAAAAAATTGTAATTATAAATTCTAAATGAATGAAAACAACTTTTTACTTTCGCCTACAAACAATTTCGCCAACAAACTGGAATTGAGCTGTCGCATTTTTGCTGATTACATATCTATTGTTTGTATTCTGACCATTGAAATGCAAGCATCGATTGGAAAAGCAAAAATAAGCAAAGTACGTATTCGTAACGAATGTTTAAAACACGCTCGGTTATTTAACAAACACCTTATGGTAAAATCTTTTCAGATTTCGACGTTCGTTGATGTCATGATCAGCACAAAATAGCCGCTTCCACTTGTGCCTCAAACTACTGGTATGTACCTGTAAAAGTACATTAATTAAGCCAAGTACGTAATTGCTAAAATCTGCCGAAAACCAAATTCAATTCTCCAACAATTATTGCAATAACGTATTTTGATTTACTTTCAGTATACATAAATAAAATTTTCAGAAAAAAATCTCTCCATGGATATTCCAATTGTAACCGTTGTTAACACAATTAAATTCTTCAAAATCAACAAAAACATACTGTGGAAGACAAAAATGAAGACTTGTGCTGATAAACTGTAAGTGTTGATTTGTAATTGTAAAATAATATACTAAAACATTATAAACCTGTCAGAATACATTGTGAATACTGAATCATCTATGAATAACTGCATTTCTATTTAGCTACAAGTGACGTGTTAAGAAAGCGGAGCGTAGTAACTAAAATCTGCCAAAAATCACGTTCAATTCTCTATCAATTGTCAAAATAAGTAACTTCATATAATTTCAGTATGTGACAGGAACATTTTCAGAAAAATTGAAATTGTTAATCGATATTCTGATCGTGTTAACAACGTAAAAAAAATGCGATAGAAAGAAAAATACTGTGGTAAATAAAAGCTGATTTGTAATTATAAGATAAGAAAGTAAACTAATTATCTATTAAGGCTATAAAACTACAAAATAAATAATACATGTCTAATTATACAGTGACGTAAAGGTCCTGGATTAAAGTAATAACTAGTCCAAAAACAAGTCATTTACTTCACTAGATTCACAAAATTTTGAAAAAATGAAAGCGATGAGCAACTAGAACAAAACTTTCAAGAAAGATAACCAGCACTGTTACGTCACTGCATAATTAATTTGGTATAAACAACCAACGGAGTTTACTACTTTTAAACAAATTTGTAAAAGGTAAATTGTATTAATAATTTTTCGTTCACTCTCTAGATTTTGGATATATTTTTTACAATATAAATATGTGTAATACGCAAAAGTTTAAAAAAATTCTACCTTAAAGTTTTTTGTTTATAGGGCTTTGTTTTGCAAAATACATGGATATCGGAAGTTAATTATATAAGATTTTTCAATTGATCATTTTTAATGATAAATTATAGTTGAATGTGGTGATGAGTGTGGTGCCAAATGTGGTCTTTCTGTTGTCACAGTAGTCTTTCTGTTGGAGGTGAAACAAAAACGATATTTTGAATATTAGAAATGATATTTTTGATTCGGATATCGAATCGTTTCACTTCCAAAAAGTCGTGCTGTGAGAGATTGCTGGCAAGGTCTTTGACTTCACTAGGTAATACTTACGCTCGTGCTGCAGTTGTGCTTATTATTGATCTGAAGTCTGTCAGCGTGTAGCTCTGTGTCTGTCCTGGGTTGTCGGTCACTGTTGTTGTGATAGTGCTGATTACAATGAAAACTTCCTAACAGAATATGCAACGAATAACGGATATCGAACATCAGACTTAATCCCCGGAAACGCTGACTTGGATTTGCAATTATACCAATTTGTTAACTCGTCTGGCAATCCAATACGAACGGATTTCGAAGTGAATCTGTTTGGAAATCGTTCAGGATTCCGTACAATCAATCAAAATCAAAACTTCTCATATAGCATGACAAACACTGACGACCATTGGATGCATACAGCAATGCCGTGGCAAAATCAATGGAATCCTGAATACACATATGCTGCTAGTGAAGACACAGCCGTTTGCATGTCATCTGGAGGATACTGGGAACCTAACAGTGCTTCAGATGGTATACCGACAAAAGCAAGCGAAAATTTCAACACACTCGCTCATGAAGCAAAATATGGAAAAATCAAACGTTCAAAAACAGAAAATACAAGGGGTAATACTATGATCAACCGATACTTAGACGCAACATCTGACCAGATGACCAGGTTACCGTATGTACCTAAACAAGCACCACTGATCTTAATACGTGCAAACAACCGCTCTAGCAACGGTGAAGCTCAGGTAATTTCTTTCATTTGTCCATCCAGTAAGGTCGGTCGCATTTAGAGGCTTTTCTTAATTAATATTCAAAATTTTAGGTTGATTTCATATGCAAGTATTGGGTAAAAATAGAAGGAATAAGAAATGAATTGGGATACAAGCCAATAGTACAATCCAAAAACATGGCAAATCAATGGCGTGGTACAGGCAACTTTAACTTCAAAACAGTATCTAGTGCAACTCGTTTCACCTACTTGAAAACCAATCAAACTGACTTCAGATACAAACCATATGACAATCCTTATGGTGGTCCAGACACACTAGGGAAAGGTGTGAAAAGAAAAGAAATTGACAACGATACAAATCCAAAACCACCAAAGAAAAAAAAAACAGGAAAAGACGCAACAGACTTAACAAAACCAGTTGTAGACAGTGGCGATTTATGGATGGATATATACACCTTGATGGACTCCGTTCTAAAGTTTTAAACTATATAACTTATGACGTAGAATACAAAGCAAGATGGCAAGATTGGAATAACAAAAACAAATCATCGTGGACTAGACAACGAAAAATAGAACAATACATAAAGTATTGGGATCCAAAAAATACATAACTTCAAAGTACCAGATAGTGGAATAATAACCTCACCTACACATAGATATCACATTGGTAGATGGGGACAGTCAATTTGGGAATTTACAAAAAAAAAACTGTAAACAAATCATAATTTAAAATAAACATTTTTTCAATTTCAAATTGTTTATTGTTCTTCAATACATATATACACATAACATTACATCATCATACATCGGTACACGGTGCATAACTAGGACTATAATAAATGAGAGTCTTAAGTTCATCAATAGTTTTCACCATCTCTCGTACACACGTACAAATTACATCATAATTATCACAATAACACATTCTGTTTAATTCTTCTGCTTCGGCGCATAACCCGCAACATGTCTTATCAAAAGGACCACGGATGTCACCGCCAGAGAACTAAATAGCAACTTTCGTCTTGTCTCCGGCTGCGGAAACTTCAACCGTTTTCTTACACTTAACAACCGCTGTACGTCCTTCTGCTTCTTCGGCGTCTCCATTATCTCTACCAACAAAGAACGCGTGAAAGACGTCTCTGGCGTTTGGTAGGATTGAGGGGTACTTGCATTCACCTGAGTCAATTGACTCTGAATCACTATCTATAACGTCATCAACCACGTGAATTTCGGTAGGGCTAGAACATGGGGTATGGAAACCATGACAGTCAAAACAATGCTCATGCGCAGGTTTCTTGCATAAAATTACCTCTCCATCAACTTCGTCGACTTCATCAACTTTACGTTTGTCCGACCTTATGGGCCGGTCGTTTTCTATCCTTTTCTTAATGTCGCCCATCGTATTAGGAAAAAAATTGTCCAACCCTTTAGGTAGGTCGTTTTCTAATGCCTTCTTAAACTGTGAACTGTTCATGTTCTCACAACGTAATGCCAAACTGACTTATTTATTTCACGTGTACTACCTTTATACTATATACAGTTTTACAGTTTTTTTTTTGTAAATTCCCAAATTGACTGTCCCCATCTACCAATGTGATATCTATGTGTAGGTGAGGTTATTATTCCACTATCTGGTACTTTGAAGTTATGTATTTTTTGGATCCCAATACTTTATGTATTGTTCTATTTTTCTTTGTCTAGTCCACGATGATTTGTTTTTGTTATTCCAATCTTGCCATCTTGCTTTGTATTCTACGTCATAAGTTATATAGTTTAAAACTTTAGAACGGAGTCCATCAAGGTGTATATATCCATCCCATAATTCGCCACTGTCTACAATTGTCTTTGCTAAGTCAGTTTGCTTGCACGTATTAAGATCAGTGGTGCTTGTTTAGGTACATACGGTAACCCGATCATCTGGTCAGATGTTGCGTCTAAGTATCGGTTGATCATAGTATTACCCCCTGTATTTTCTGTTTTTGAACGTTTGACTTTTCCATATTTTGCTTCATGAGCGAGTGTGTCGAAATTGTCGCTTCCTTTTGTCGGTATACCAAAACGGAAACACCGAACCACACGACCGTCCAACAAGGACAGGATATCTATAAGTATACAACCAAGCGCAAAGCAAAACTAAGCATAGATATTCATATAGAGGCCTGGAAGGACGGATAGGCCTTGGGTCGGCTTAAGCTGACCACGTGCCTATCCGTCCATCTAGGACTCTATATGACTATCTATGCTTAGTTTTAGACCTTAAACCGGAAACACCGAAACAAACCGACCGTCCGACAAGGACAGGACATCTATAAGTTTACAACCAAGCGCAAAGCAGAACTAAGCATAGATAGTTATATAGAGGCCTAGAAGGACGGATAGGCACGTGGTCGGCTTGATTGTTATTGGTTACCTAGGTAACTACATGAGTTTTTGCATATGAACCTAGAGATATCTTTAAAACCTAGAACACATTACCTGATGTAATGGCTGTGTCACAATAAACATCGGAAGAACTCGTCTTAGATCTTACTTGTCTTGAAGAACTCGTTTTAGAGCTCGTCGTAAGTTCCCACTTGTGCCGCTTGCAGCTTTTGATTTATGATCATCTAAAGGTTTAAAAAAAATGGTCAACTTAAATGATATTTTTGTATGTGTTTACTCATGTGGCTAATCTGCTTACCATCGGCACAAATGCTCAACGTTCGAGACAGCAATCAACCCATCGATTTAACACATAAAATTTTAAAAAGATATTCTAATACAACACGACAAATAATTAACGTGAACGCTGTCCAAAGGAATTGCTAATTGGAAAAATAATGGCTCCCCATTTTAAAGATAGCCGCACCTTTTCATCTAGCGAACGTCACTTATCTGATAAATCAAAAAATGCAAACAGATCTAGGAAACTGAATTGACAAGAAAAAGCTTGAACTCCAAGATTATTACTCATGCATCAAACGAAATCAATCGACATCTGAGTTTATATACTTCTTAGGATGTCAATGTTGTCAAAAACGTAAGATGTAACAATTAGTCAATTAATAAATTTTAAGCGCATGTGTAGTGTCATTGCCGCATTCGGAGAAGCAAGTTGGATAAAAGGATAAAAGCTCACGCACAAAACTTATTTCTGTCATTAGAAACCTAACTTCTAGATCTTCACACCCACATCAATCAAGTACATGTGGATGTGATGAATTACCGAATCAAAACTATCAACTACGAACTTGAAATTCTTCCAAGTCATCCTCTTCATTCGTTCATTCTCAACTGTCAGCTTTCAACACACCGTTTTACACCTGTGATGTCACCATTGTAACCTTATCCTCAGTACACATTGCCATTGCCCGTATCACGGCCATTGAGGATTACGTAGTAAACTTTGTCTTTACAAAGATAGCAGTTCAAACCATAAAGAGTCTCCATAAGTTGTTCGCAGCAGTCTATGGTCTTGGTGTGCATTGCTTTTCACTGTCCGACCTTCATTTTGTACAGTTTAATGTTGAAACAACGTACACATACTGTCATGTGAACCGTAGCCACACTGTCATCTGAACTGTATTACTGTAGCCACAACCAAGCCACAATGTCGCATCAAGCAAAGCTCGTCTATCGCATTTCTCGCGAAAAATGTTGAGGACACGTCCTCTGATCGTAGTGAGGTCAAAAATGCATTGAAAGTTTACAGACTTCATCCACAAATCCAGTTTCTCCCGATGGTTTCATTTCGATAAAACGTTTGCTTTAGAATGAATTCAAAGTGAATACAGCCGACCGTACTTATAATAGTGGGGCCCTTCACTGTCATTTGCACGGGAAACTGCATTCCGCAAGGAATCAAAACGACAGACAAACATTTTCCACGCCCAATGCTTTGTAAATCCAGAAGAACTCCCTTTTAAGTTATCTATATGAAGTGGCCTGTTGGTTCTTCATCAAATAATCTACACTTACATTGTTGCAACCTCTTCCAAGTGATTCTCTTGAGTTTATGACTGCAAATGAAAAGTTCAACACCTATAAATCAGTACATACGTTCTAGTTAGCCACACTTTGATTTACGTCAAACAAAGTCGAGTTTTGATTTGCAGAGGGAAGTAAGTCGATAGATTTGTTAGGAACAATGCAGGGTGCATTCAAAGAAAGCAGAACCTCGAGTTAGAACCTTTTGTAAAATTTCAATGCCGAATCACTGTGCAAATACCACAGATGCAATGTTCTACATGTTTTGATGTCAAGCCTGGTTTTTACTATGGGCATAAAGATAAGGACAAGCAGGTACGAAAGAAAATATAAAACAATGCAATAAGGTTCTAGCACAATCATCGACATGAGTATAAGCTAAGGTACAGCAACTTGACATAGCTTAAGATAAACAAAAGCAAATTGAGAAGAAAATCCTTTTGTTTTGTTTCTTCCAATCTCTGGAGAATATTGTTTGCTTTATTTTCTCGCTTGTGCTTATATCGTTAGGCTTTAGACGTCAAATTCCCAAGTGCAGAAAAGCTTTGGTGTTTAAATGAACTGACAATGGCCGGTTGTACAAATGCCGAATAGTGCTATTCACTGGAATAACATTTTTTCTCAACGTTTAAAAAATCTCTTATAAGCGTAAAATGTACGATTTAAACTGTGCAATCACTGAAATAAAATATTGCTTCAAAGATTACAAAATTTCTTTGTCGTAAGAAAAATAAAACAACCTTTTTTTACTAGTTTGAATTTTTTTGCTATCCAATGGATAACGCTTTTTGAGGCTTCGCGCAACCGGCCCCAGAATTTTTTGCACCGTTGTGCTTAGCACCATTGAAATGAATATAACTGGAACGCGCCCTTCAGATTGTTTTGATGAAGCCAAAATTTGCGGGACTTTACCTCCTGACACGCGTTTCTGGAGGTAAAATACCGCAAAATTTCGCTTCATGCGGGACTGACTCGCGGGAGTGTCATGCGTTTTGGTTGCATTTTACAAAATGAATTAAAAGAAAGTTCTTGTTTAGTGAATGGTTTTGAGTTAAAAGTTTGTGATTGGGACTGTAATAATGGGACGTGTTTTCACACAAACACAATTTGATGTTGAGCTAAAGAAGTCGTCGATTGACTGGAAATGGGAATCAAATGCCACTAACCGAAAAAACATTGGCGGCGTGAATAGTGAATACTTTCCTAGAGAAGATTTTATCATATCAAGCTGTTTGCAAATTTAAAACCTAAAATTTCATAGCAAAACTTGTGTAACTTTTTCATGTGTATGATTTTCTATTTGTTGTTTTCATATCTCTAAATGAAAACAGCGAAAAGTTTTGTCGAAATGTTTAGATTATTAAAATGTTTACTTTTTACGGAGTGTCTATTGTGTTGTTCTGTACATTTTTTTGTCAAAGAAATAGACCTTTCTTTCTGCATTTCCAAACGATGAGTCATTATCAAACCAAAAATACTTAACCTTGGTTAATAAATTTAAAAAATGATTGATTTTTTCTAAAGTAAAGTTTTTGTTTCTTTGCGTGAAAAGACTGGGGAAAAGCGGCTTCAATATCACAGGGACAGGTAGCGTTCCAGTTATACTCATTTTAATGGCTTAGCACAGTGATAGGAAATTAAATCATCAGAATACGTCAATTTCTAAAGGCTTTTTTTGATACAACCTGTATAGAAGCTTTTTTGGTTGGGGGGAAGGAGGGGGGAGGGAGGGCAATCGAATGCAAATATTGACTGTGTCACTGTTCCACTGCACTGTACTCAATATAGTGGTCTGGTGACTAGTAAAGTTTTCCCGCCAATTTTCAAGGTAAACGTTCCGTACGGAAAATTCTACCAAAACATAAAACAAGACGAAGCGACGAAGATTTCAGATATTTCTACTTTGTTTGTTTGCATTACAAACAAATTATTGTACTACAACGTAAAAAAGATTTCCATATTAACATTATGCTTGTATTTTTAACGGAGAAATATAATGACGGCAACTCGACAAAATACAATTCCACCAGCATGGATGCAAGCTGATGGCGACCTCCAAGAAGTGATTTTAAAAGCTGTCGTATCCTTTTTTGCCAAGTTTCTTTCTGTGTAGTTATTTCTTGGCTATGTTTCTTTACGGTTATTTGGTGTGAAACGAATGAACTGATTTATAAATAGAGGTTTTCTTGAACAAAATGTAGACATCCTTTAAAGAAACTACGAAACATCAAGAAAAACTTGGTACGGGAAGCTTGAGCGAAAAGACGGAAAAGTTATTCTAAATTGCCGTCATTGTAAACGATATGTTTTTGCTGCTTTTACTGTAGATATTCTGCTATGTCTCTGCAATGAAATTTTCCCCAAAATATCTTTGGTTACGCTTGAAGAGGATTTTCTCAATCACATCTTTCCAGAAGTAAGCAGAAAAAGTAGTATTTTGGCTAACTCATCCTTTGATTAAACGTAATCTTTTGTATATATCATAGTACACATCACAGATTGTACCATTAAATAAGAATCATATCAATGCACCATACTTAAATATAATCACTGTTATTTTAGACACACCTGTCTATTGCAATCAAATCTATGTATGGCAAGTTGTAGAGCGCAACCAAGATCTTGCATATGCAATTTTGACAAAACTAGGCCTTTATGCATGCAAATTTCAAATCTTGGATGCGCCATTTACAAACTTTCCAGTTTGGTATGTACTGTATATTTGACACTGAACTTTTCTTCATCATAGCTTCCTGCTTATGTGGAGAAACTCCTGACTGAAATTGAGGAGACAGTTTGTCTGAAAAACAGTGGTGATGAAGCAATATCAGTCACGTTTCAGAAGGAAAATTTGCACAATCTTCTTCTGGTAGGCTTGTGTTTTTTAGTTTATTTTGTACCACATTAAATTGTATGTCTTGAACAACAACTAAAGGTTGGAGACTTGGAGGAGTGTGTGTGTTTGTGCAATACAAGTTTTTTCAGTGATATTTAATTTTTGAGGCATGGGGCTTCAGCAAGTTGTGCTTGTCTTATGCAAATGTTTAAAAATGTATTGGGTTTTCAAATTAAGAAGGATTTGCAATCTCACTAACCGTTTTCTTAGCGCAGTTGTGGATGGGAATAACCACTTTAATGTAATTTTAATAAAGGATTTAGAGCTATACTCATTCTTTAAGGCAAAATTTGTTTTGGATTTTTATTTTGATGTTATATTAATTTTTGTCTTAGTTTTAATGTTAGATCAAAGGATGTCAAATTGTTGGAATATTTTTACAAAATGAAATAAAAAATGTTTATGTACTGTGTTTGCACAGGCTTATGCAAACTGAGAAGAACTTGAGAGCATAGGTACCAGCTTGCGACCTAAGGTTGAGGACTTGCATTTGGTTTAGAGTTCTCAAAAACATCTATGAGGTTTACATACGCCAGTGCCAGTATGAAAAACATTGTCTATTTCTTTTATAAAATAATGCAGAATGTGATAATGTTTCCTCTTACATATATTTATGACTGATTAGCAAATTCTCTTTGATGGATTTTATTGACTTAGCTCAGATCAGTTTGCACAGGCTAATGCAATCTGAGTTGTAGACTTATCAGCGCACATGTTGTATTGTTGTTATTTTAAAGGTGGTACTACAATTCCTGGAATGCCTAGAATCATGTGTAAGATGTGTTGGTGAGAAGTTTCAATGCATCAGGATTTCTGAAGTCAGTTCATTACCATTACCTTTGTTGATGGTCATAAAATCAACTTTTTCCCATTGTCAGGTTTGTTATGTGCATCTAATGAATCTTTTATGATTGATCATCTACGTTATTTCTTGCTTTGATCATTTACTCTTCTGCTTTTACTATTCAATTTACACAATCTGTGAACTGGAAATCATTTCCTTCTAATGATCATTGCAAATACCACTTCTTTGGGAGTTCATACCACCCCTAACAACCATCATCCACCTTTAACCACCTGCACACCACCCCCTAACAACACTAATATCACCCATAACCACCAGCATTACACTCCCTAACCACCCTCATATTAACCCCTAACCACCTTCATATCAACCCCTAACCACCTTCATACCCCCCCCATAACCATCCTCATACCACCCTTAACCATCCTCATACTACCCCGTAACAATCCTTGTACCAACCTTAACCACCCTCATACCACCCCAATATATTCAAGATCTTTTCCAACTTGCTGCATGGTCTTAAAGATTCCTTTCACACACGACACTTTTTTCAAGATCCCCTCAAACAAAATGCATGAACTTAGAGATCCCTTGTGATCCTTATATCTGATCTTAAAGATCCCTTCTCACGCACTGCATGGTGCATGGTCTTCAACTGTGACGCACTTCATCCAAAAACCACTATTGTTTCTGATTCGATTATGTGCTTGCTCTTGGCATTATCATAAGAACTGTTGGACTATTTATTTCAAATTGCACCATACGATATCTTATCACTTTAGCGATAACGTTGCAATTTCACTTCCTCTAGAGAAGTGAAGCTTTGTATGGAAGTATTTTTGGTGAAGTATCCCAAGATCTTTCATTAGTTTTCAAGAAGTCTTTTGATTTACAGAAGGTAAAACTGCAAGAACTCGTATTTGTCTTATACATTCACCACTTGTTTTGATTCGTATAGGTTCTACTGTGTGAAGCTGTAGCTTGACGCTCGACTGCAGATTTGAGTGATGAATCGCTAAGGCTTTTTAATTCGTTGTGTGATTTTAGAAAATGCCCAACCGTTGAGGTTCGGCTTGGGTAAAATGACAATGATGACCTTTAGGGTTGTGTTTTATCCTAGGTCATTTTTCGTATAAATTTGTCTGATGTTAAACTCATAATAAATGACTACTTTTAGCAATGCCGAAGTACCCAACTTCAAAGCTGTAACGAAGAGTGTTCATGCAGTTTTGACCTTTAATGGGGTGCATTTAATAAAACATGCGAATTGTCTTTTACCGATTTGCATTTTTTTATGAATTGTCTCACCCATTTTCACTGTTCTCCATTTAAGTCTGCTTTAAACTTTGATTGATTGCAATAAAACGAACAATGGAAACTTGATAAATTATCGAGTTTTAGTTGAACTAAAATCATTTGTGTTAGGAATGATTCACTTTTCTATATATTACTGTATATGCCAATTCCGATGTTACAGGAATGATTAAGTTTTCTATAGATAACTGTGTTGCACAACTACGATGTTACAGGAATGATTAAGTTTTCTATAGATAACTGTGTTGCACAACTACGATGTTACAGGAATGATTAAGTTTTCTATAGACTACTGTGTTGCACAACTACGATGTTACAGGAATGATTAAGTTTTCTATAGACTACTGTGTTGCACAACTACGATGTTACAGGAATGATTAAGTTTTCTATAGATGACTGTGTTGCACAACTACGATGTTACAGGAATGATTAAGTTTTCTATAGATGACTGTGTTGCACAACTACGATGTTACAGGAATGATTAAGTTTTCTATAGATGACTGTGTTGCACAACTACGATGTTACAGGAATGATTCAGTTTTCTATAGACTACTGTGTTGCACAACTACGATGTTACAGGAATGATTAAGTTTTCTAAAGATAACTGTGTTGCACAACTACGATGTTACAGGAATGATTAAGTTTTCTATAGATGACTGTGTTGCACAACTACGATGTTACAGGAATGATTCAGTTTTCTATAGACTACTGTGTTGCACAACTACGATGTTACAGGAATGATTCAGTTTTCTATAGACTACTGTGTTGCACAACTACACTCCACGCACACATGTTGTTATTCCACGTATCTACGTATTTAGATGTTACTGGAGTTCTTATGTTCAAACGTGGAAGCTGTCAACAGCATAAATTCCGAGGATGATTTAAAAGTCATTATGTCAGGTACTATAAGATAGCCAATTTTTAAGAATTTTTGCATAAAGTTGTTCAGTCATGTTGATTGGTGTTGAAACTTTTTTCATTTTCTTGTGATGTTGGTGGTAAACAAATTTTCTAAAATGATCTGTGTTTTCTATTTATAGTTCATGAAAATTTGTTGGATCTCTGTGATGTCACTGAAAGATTTGACGGAAATATGTCACCCAGCTTGTGGAAGTATTTGATTAAGTAAGCATTGTTAACAATAAGGTGTCGCTTGCCTTTCAAAATTTCCTGAATGGAAGGTTCAAAACAAACGCATATTCCAATTATTCTTCACCACTCGATGTTTACTCAAACTCAGCAATTTCACGCTTTTATTTACTTGTTTTAGTTTTTAGAGGGTCAATTTTTGCCTGTTGTGCATTTTAAAGAGTTGCTTTTCATTGCCCAACTTTTTCGTGAAGATTTTTTTCAGTGTTTTTTTTTTTACCTTGTCTTGTCACATTTTGATGACTCTGTTTGTCATTGGATTGAAACTTTTACTTATATATGTTATAAAAAGACCAAACTGCTTTGTAAAAACTTCGGCAGAACACACGACAACGTTTCTCAAAATATACGTATTTACTAAGTATAATACGAACTCCCTCCATAGAGGAGAGAGTGAAGAGTAGACCAAATGTTTCGTTGATAGCAGCGCTTTTTTTCTTTAGACTTGCCGTGAAGAACAAAGAAGCTGTTAAAAATAACTTGGAGGTACAAGACGTAGAGAATAAGTGTCTGTTTACATGAACGATAAGAAGTTGAAACGATTCACAGATTCATTTGAACATCTTCTCTGTACTCTCACTTGAACATCTTCTCTGTACTCTCACTTGAACATCTTCTCTGTACTCTCACTCAAGCATCTCTGTACTCTTACTTGAACATTTTCTCTGTACTCTCACTTGAACATCTTCTCTGTACTCTCACTTGAACATCTTCTCTGTACTCTCTTGAACATCTTCTCTGTACTCTTGAACATCTTCTCTGTACTCTCCTTGAACATCTTCTCTGTACTCTCACTTAAACTTCTCTCTCTACTTGAACATCTTCTCTGTACTCTCACTTGAACATCTTCTCTGTACTCTCTTAAACATCTTCTCTGTACTCTCCCCATCTTCTCTGTACTCTCACTTGAACATCTTCTCTGTACTACTCTCACTTGAACATCTTCTTAACTTCTCTGTACTCTCTTGAATCTTCTCTGTACTCTCACTTGAACATCTTCTCTGTACTCTCACTTGAACATCTTCTCTGTACTCTCTCATCTTCTCTGTACTCTTTTCTTCTCTGTACTCTCACTTGAACATCTTCTCTGTACTCTTTGAACATCTTCTCTGTACTCTCACTTGAACATCTTCTCTGTAACTCCTTGAACATCTTCTCTGTACTCTCGAACATCTTCTCTGTAAACATCTTCTCTGTACTCTCTTTAATCTTCTCTGTACTCTCCTTGAACATCTTCTCTGTCACTTCATCTTCTCTTCTCTTACTCTGACTCTTGAACATCTTCTCTCTCTCTTGAACATCTTCTCTGTACTCTTAACATCTTCTCTGTACTCTTTCATCTTCTCTGTACTCTTTGAACATCTTCTCTGTACTCTTTGAACATCTTCTCTGTACTCTCACTTGACATCTTCTCTGTACTCTCACTTGAACATCTTCTCTGTACTTGAACATCTTCTCTGTACTCTCACTTGAACATCTTCTCTGTACTCTCCCATCTCACTCTCTGAACATCTTCTGTACTCTTTACTCTCTGAACATCTTCTCTGTACTCTCCTTGAACATCTTCTCTGTACTCTCCTTGAACATCTTCTCTCTCACTTGAACATCTTCTCTGTACTCTCTAACATCTTCTCTGTACTCTCACCATCTTCTCTGTACTCTCTCTTCTCTGTACTCTTACTTGAACATCTTCTCTGTACTTCCTTTCTACTCTCTTAAACATCTTCTCTGTACTCTCTTGAACATCTACTCTCCTCTCTTGAACATCTTCTCTGTACTCTCCTTGAACTCTTGTACTCTCACTTGAACATCTTCTCTGTACTCTCTTGAACATCTTCTCTGTACTCTCTTGAACATCTTCTCTGTACTCTCACTTGAACATCTTCTCTGTACTCTCACTTGAACATCTTCTCTGTACTCTTACTTGAACATCTTCTCTGTACTCTCACTTGAACATCTTCTCTGTACTCTTACTTAAACATCTTCTCTGTACTCTCACTTGAACATCTTCTCTGTACTCTCACTTGAACATCTTCTCTGTACTCTTACTTGATAGAGAAACATAACTTTAACTATATCAGTTGCAACAACTTCAGTTATAGCAAAATGCAGTATTGTAATTTTTATGGCTGAAGTAGTGATTTTATTCAGTTGTCTGAAGATCGTTTCTCCTTCAGTATATACCGCGGGCTCGTGTTGACAGCTTGGGAGAAAGTAATTTCAATTGTACACTCTGCATTGAAAAGCATTCTATGTTTTATAATGCTTAGTAGAATTACAAAGCACAAAGTTTTGTCGTAAACTAGGAGAACAAAGTAAAGTACATATGCGCAATTTGATTTTTTTACGACTAGGAAACGTTTGTCCTTTCAGAGTGAAACGGTAGTCTTAAAAATGTGTAGTGCAATCGAGAGCAAGATACAGAGTTTACAAAACATCGACGTTTCTCCATCGTCTGAATCGTTGGTTCGTACTTTATACTTGTGTATTTAAGGCTCTTCTGTTTTCAACATTGAACTAAAATACATGGAGCGCTAACTGTAATAGTAAAGCCTAATAATTTTTTGAAGTCAAATTTTACACCCAGACATGCGTGTGTAGTTCAATGAATTTTCACTCGCGAGAGAATCTCGAAAGACTACACACGCGTGTCTGGGTGTAAGATTTGGCTTCAATTAATTGCTTCAGACAGCGTTCCATGTATTTTAGTTCAATGGTTATCAACGTTTGCACATTGAACTATATATAACTGGAGTGCTACCTCTATATAAACATTCATCGTGTACTTGCTTGATGGCAAATTTTACCTCCAGACATGCGTGTCGGAGATCGAATCCGCATTCTAGCTTATCGTCGTTAATGAATTTTCTTTGGGCCGCGAATGGAAAGATTGGGACTAGTTTGATTTCTGGATTTAAATATTGGCTGAAGCTAATCTTCCAGTTGTATTTATAGTTAAAAGCGTTTTCACGTACGTTTTTTCCTGCATTGGCGTTGCCAGCCTGTATATTTAGTTTTGCTGTATGCAATTTTCTCTGTTCTCTTAATGAAAACAACAACAAGAGATTTCTAAAGACACGAATGATGGTATGCGCCGAAATTTACATAGCATGACTTGCGGGCTGACTATGTTATTGTTTTATTGATCACGTGATGAGTTTTTTATAATGCACTGCATTGTACAGATTTTTCAATAATTTCTTTTAGCAGAACGAATCGCCGAGATTGAAACAAACAAAACTTTTAAAATTTTTGATCAAGCTTTTGATGAGCTTTGTCCAGGTAAAGAAAGAAGTAAAATTGATCGATGCACCTTTAAAATATCCTCGTGAAATTTTGCCAAAAATAGTTGGATTAGTAATGCAACCAATCGATTAGGCTAGCATGTAACCCTTCAATTAGGCTAGTATGTAACCAATTTGTAAGTTTACATCTAACCCTTGAATTAGGCTAGTATGTAACCAATTGATAAGTTTACATGTGATCCTGTGTTTTTACGATAGGATTTGGCGGCATTTTAGAGTACGTTTTGAATTTCGAAGCTCTACGAAAGAAATTGCTTTATCTTAGAAATTTAGAAATCTGGAAATAATTCGAATGTCCAAAACCACCGTATTTGAGCACAGTTGTTTAGATCAGTGATTTAATGTATTTGTTGTTGTAGGCTTTTCAAGATTATATTTTACCTTCAACGATGAAGTCTGTCATTGCACTTATATTTTCAATCATCAAGTATGTACATGTATATGAATGCATTCCTCTTTATGTGAATTTCTTCTTCAAAAAAAACAACAAAAAGTATTTGACTTGCCTCGGTGTTAATGTTTTGTGTCAGTTCATTCTTCGTATCAATGTAACGGCTCATATGATTATTTGGGTACTGGGTAATCTTCATGCGAAATCTCCGAGAGTAGTACACTCCAACAGAGATATTTGGGTACTGGGTAGTCTTCATGCGAAATCTCCGAGAGTAGTACACTCCACCCGAGATATTTGGGTACTGGGTAGTCTTCATGCGAAATCTCCGAGAGTAGTACACTCCACCCGAGATATTTGGGTACTGGGTAGTCTTCATGCGAAATCTCCGACAGTAATACACTCCACCCGAGATATTTGGGTACTGGGTAGTCTTCATGCGAAATCTCCGAGAGTAGTACGCTCCACCCGTGGGCAAATGACCAATTTTTCCATCTTTTTTTTCTTGTCTATCTTCTGTCTTCAATCTGACTTCTTTTCTCTTATTTGACCGTTCTCTCTTCTTTGAGAGTGTTGGAGTCTTTGCCATCTTAGTGTCTATATTTCCCTCAGTTTCTGCATCCCACTGAACTCTTTGGCTCTATTTATCCATTAATGTCCCCAGCGGTTGCTATTCTTGTCTTATTCCAAACCCCCCATTTCACTTCTATTTAACTTAGCTACAGCCATTTTATGTCAGTGAGCAGTGGTTAGTTTCTCGTAAACATTTACTGATTAATAAAAGGTCGTGACATGTTTTAAGTTTTTCCTTAAGAACTATGTGATTGTTTACTAACTGTCTTGAAAATTCATTTCAGCGTATCCTGTTTCAATGCCAGCTCCTGTCAAGAAACACAGAGATCTGTTCCACGTGCTACTCTCGATGTCTGCCGATCACTTATTGTCATGGTATGTTTATCTGCTGCTTAGCATTATTACTTGTGCTACCGTGACTAATCCCAAATTCGTTTTGATTTTGCTGTCATTTTGCTAGATTGCAAAAAGCATGCGTCACTTACACGAAGTCCTTGAACCGATGAAAATCTTTCTTGTATCGTTTCATGCGTGATTGTTTCTAATCGCATAATATATCGTGTTACCACAGAATAATGATTATACAGAAGGGTCACTCAGGTGTACAACGTGTCCTCATGTCGGCCATTATTCCAGCCAGATGATTAAGATTTCTCACTTGTTTCCAACCATTAAAATTACATCACCTCAATACTTAAAAATGAATTCAAGTGTATTTTTAGTTAAGAAATGACTTCGGATCATTTTATAGGTTTGGTAAAAGTCAAAACCCCTAATCATCTGGCTGGAATAATTGCGGCCACCATGCGCGAGGACAAAAATATCAAAGGTTCCGACATGAGTGACTCTTCTGTATATTCTTATTCTGTGGTGTTACTAACTTTTATGCCGAAGTCATTTTTGGGACTTTTGAGAAACAGAGAAAAGAATTAATATAATATTAAAAACAGTCAAACTTTTTTTCCAGCATATAATATATTAAACAATTTTTAATTTGTTTTTATTGGTCAACGTAGTAGTTTTAGACGAAAATTCCTAAATTGAAAAAAATATGACTTTTTGACCAAAAATTTAGTAACGTGACGATATTGGCACATGTAAGTGTGACAATATTGCATTGCCGCGAATTTCGTTTTGATATTTGAGGAATATTATATTACGCAAATATAATCGAACACTGCTCTCCAGAAACCCGAGTGAACGCCTGATAGGTGTCTTGTCTAAACTATTATTATACCAGTGGTAGTCCGTTGCGCAGCCAGCCTGCAGATTTACACCTGGGGCGGATTGCACGAAGCCTCGATATCGCTATCGATTGGATAGTGAAATTTTCAAATGTAAGAAAAAGATGGTTATATTTTCGTTGCGATAATGAAACTTTGTAATCGTGGAAGCACTATTTTATTTCAGAGATTGCTCAGTTCAAATAGTTTATTTTCTCCTTTTTAAGAGATTTTTTAAACGTACGAAAAAGTTTGCTATACAGTGGATAGCGCTATCTGGCCTTATTGCAACCGCCACCAGCTATGGAAATATTGGATAACTATAGATAACTTCATGTCTTGAACTGCATGTTGAACATTATATAAATTATTATTTTACTTACGTAGAGCAACGAGGGATTTGTCTCTTTTGCTGTAAATCACACAAGCGCTTATGAATGTCATGTTGGCATTATTTCTTGGATTTTATATTTTTTAATACTTACACGTCACAGGTTGAACCATTTCTCAGAATTTTAGTGGACGACAAGAAATTTGCTGACTTGCTAACTCGTTTTTATCCAGGTTTGTTCCACTATCAATACCTCTGTGATGTGTTTATATAGAATAAGGCTATAAGGTCATTGAGACCCCACTTGTCAATGTTTTTATTCTGTGAAACTATTTTTCCGTCAATGTACACGAGTTGCTATGTTACACCATGCATGGGGAAATTTACTGAAGAAATGTGCTGTCAATTGCAATCGCACACTAAAACTTCACACTTAACATTGACACAAGGGGTGTCCAAAATTTGATGAGGGGATTGACTTAATTAGTATGTGTATTTATGTAGCCTGTGAATCTATGTGTGTTCATGTAGCCATGCAGTGTATCCATGTGTATCCCCATGTATATTCATGTAGCCAGAAATCATGACCAGCCGATAATTTAAAGAAATATAGTATAAAACAAATTCCGAAGAAGCATGACATCTTGAGATTGCAAAATATGCATCAAGACAAGACGAGAAGTGTATTCATGCAGCCAGTGTATCCATGTGTACCCATGTATATTCATGTAGCTACTGTATCCATTTGTACCATGTGTATCCATGTGTATTCATATAACCAGTGTATACATGTGTATGCATGTCACAAAGAAGCGTATCTTAACACCTCGATTACGAAAAACTTCATTAAGCCGCTGTGTTTAATTTGTGCATTCCCTTACCTTTCTCATACCGCCGTGATTTGATTTTCAAAACTTTTTATAGATGAATTTTTAGAAAATGGTTTTCCTCGTTGCTACACTTTGACAAATATTGCTGTGATGTTGCCCATAATATCAGGTGAAATATTGTATTTAAGTAGAACGCTTGCGAGTTTCTACGCTTTTAGCATCTTTTTTCTAGGATAGCGGTTGGCCTTTCGATTAAAACGACACTACAGTACATGGCCATTTGTCTTGAAAATATACAGATCGTACACGTGTATTAATTGAGCGAACGCTTCTTTTTCAGATGAAATGCTGTTGTATTGGTTGGAACCAGAAAATGATCATCAGGTAATCGTATGGAATTCTAATTTAAAAGAGAACTCGCTGAATCTATCATTTCACTAAACCATTTGCCGTTTGTGAAAACTTTTTTGTTCTAGCCAGATCTCCTGCTCTGAAGGAAACTTTCCAGTTTTAGTTTAGGGGGAGCTTTCCTGTGCTAGTAGGAACTTTCCTGATAGTGAAAACCTGCGTGTGCTAGGTAAAACTATGCTGTGTTGGTACATAGGAGCTTTCCTGTGCTAGTAGGAACTTTCCTGATAGTGAAAACTTGCGTGTGTTAGGTAAAACTATGCTGTGTTGGTACATAGGAGCTTTCTGTGTTAGTAGGAACTTTCCTGATAGTGAAAACTTGCGTGTGTTAGGTAAAACTTTGCTGTGTTGATACATAGGAGCTTTCTGTGTTAGTAGGAACTTTCCTTATAGTGAAAACTTGCGTGTGTTAGGTAAAACTATGCTGTGTTGGTACATAGGAGCTTTCTGTGTTAGTAGGAACTTTCCTGATAGTGGAAACTTGCGTTTGTTAGGTAAAACTATGCTGTGTTGGTACACAGGAGCTTTCTGTGTTAGTAGGAACTTTCCTGATAGTTGAAACTTGCGTTTGTTAGGTAAAACTTTGCTGTGTTGGTACATAGGAGCTTTCTGTGTTAGTAGGAACTTTCCTGATAGTGAAAACTTGCGTGTGTTAGATAAAACTTTGCTGTGTTGGTACACAGGAGCTTTCTGTGTTAATAGGAACTTTCCTGATAGTGGAAACTTGCGTTTGTTAGGTAAAACTTTGCTGTGTTGGTACATAGGAGCTTTCTGTTTTAGTAGGAACTTTCCTCTGTAAACGTTCGTGGAAACTTCCTGTGTTAGTTTAATGAGAACTTTTCTGTGTTAGTTTAAGCATTCCTGGCTTGAAGTTAAACTATTTAATATGTCCTGTTCGGCATTATACGTACGTGTACTGTTATGTGTAACTAGACCAACAAGTATTTTTTATGTTAAGCCTTTATTGAAACACCATGCATTGTTCTTCGTAGGCGGAGTCACGTGTTTCCATTTACGAAGCCCTGTTAACTTCGTGTGATCTCTGTAAGTACCTAAAACTGAATGCAATTTCACACGACAAAACATGAACTTGCTGCAAAACCGAGTCAATCATATTTCACTTAACATTTGAAAACAAATACTATAGGGATATAATGAAGTACGTACATGTAGTTTCAACAATACTAGTGCGGTGAGTTTTCAACTGACAACCTTATCTTATTTTTGAAACAAGATCGTCGCAAGAAGGCAAATAGTTATCACAAAGCAGACTTTTACAAAAGAGTTTTCCAAAGTCCGATCGTTCACTGCCTTCCCTGCTCGAATATTTATCAAGTTTGTTTTGCCGTTCACTTATTATGTCGCTTTTTCGCAAAATACACGAAGTTTAAATTTTTTCATTTATATTTCATGCATGTTAAGTGGCGAACACTTCAGTTATACTTTCCATATTTTTGTATTTAATTATTAGGTTTTGTTGAAGTCTCGCTTCCTTTACTTCTGCCTGGAACAATGTCGAATGGAAAAGCGCAGAGGTATGCTTATTGAAGTGTATTATATTGTATAACAAGATTTTGTCAAGATTTTGCTAAGATCTTACTCATGCAAGATTTTGGAAGATATTAGGCAAGATTTTATCAATATCTTCCAAATTTTACGCTTGCAAGATGTTGCAAGATTTTAGGCAATATCTTCTCATCATCTTGCAAGATTTTACTTTTGCAAGCTGTTGCAACATATTAGGCAAGATCTTGTCAAGATTTTGCAAGATTTTGTCAAGATTTTCACGTGTATTCTGTAGCAGAGTTTCTCTATATTTGTATAGTAAAATAAAGATTTTGTCAAGATTTTTACGTGTATTATGTAGCAGAGTTTCTCTATATTTGTATAGCAAATAAAAGATTTTGTCGTGGTGACAAGTCTAAAAATTGTTTTAAAAATATCAAACACCATGGAGAATGGTCAAAAATAATAAAATTGTTGGGTTAGTGTTATGGTTTGAAACAGTTCTTATAAGAAATATTACGTTATTACTTTCACCATTCTTTACCATGCTATTTACTATTTTTAAAATAATTTTTATGTTTGTGTCCTTGAAGAGAGCACGTGTACTACTTTGATCGTCATCAGACAGAACGATTGTGATATAAAACATGTTTGTGTCCTTGAAGAGAGCACGTGTACTACTTTGATCGTCATCAGACAGAACGATTGTGATATAAAACATGTTTGTGTCCTTGAAGAGAGCACGTGTACTACTTTGACTGTCATCAGACAGAACGATTGTGATATAAAACAGAAATATTACAGTTTAAAATTATCTTGGTTGACTTAATTCGAGTTTACACAATGTATTTTTTTTCAGATTGTGTTTTATTTTATATTTTGTGTTTATAGGATGATCAGTTTTTATGAATACGTCGTTGCACGTCTATCAGCATCAATATCGGCTATTCCTTATCAACAATTTCACATCGTGGTAAGTAGAAGATCATTGTCTATCAGCATCAATATTAGCTATTCCTTATCAACAATTTCACATCGTGGTAAGTAGAAGATCAGGAAGAGATACAAGCTGTTGACTTAAAGTGCACCTAACCCCGATGTTTTTCTTTAACGAATTTGATAAGCTGTAGACGTAGGATAATATTCGTGAAAGAATTATATGAATTGGATGAAAAACCCTGCCTTGTGTGACACAGGTCATATTTGGTAAATGACCGCATGAGTACTTTGACGTTAATTCCGGACAACACTTGCCAAATAAAAATGACATTATTTTACCGAACCATTCTAATGATACTGCAACCATATACCATACTCCTTTCGGGTATGCTTTCCAATTTGGAGCAAGAAAAAATAGCGGCAGATAGATAGGATTGTGATTTTGTCCGGAATTTACGTCATATTTTAGGTACCAGACTCCAAATGCCAGTACTTCGTTCTTAGCCAAAATTGTGGCATTTTCACAAGACCTAGCGTCAAGATTTTATAGCCTTCTCAAACAATGCTTTCACTGTCATTGTTATAAGTTTTCATTTTATCGAATTCATTATGAAAGATATCAGAGGTTAGGTGCACTTTAAAGGTGGACAAAAGGATAGAAAGAAAGTTGTGCAATCTTCGTGCTAAAAAGTATGCAAAAAGGTAGACAACGGCGAGTTACCAACAAGTTTCTTACGAGTTACCAAACAAGTTCTGTCTTGTTACGAACGAGTTTCTTACGAGTTACCAACAAGTTATTCGTATTTACGTTTGTTTCCTTTTGTGTATTTTTCTTTTTGTTTACACCTAGTCTTTAATACAAGTGTAATTGTGATTCTTGCACTTTAGAACAGGACGTACGTTCGTTGGAATAATATACGTAGTAGAGCTCATTGAGAGAATAGAGAGCTATATAAACTAGATCTTATGTTGAAATTTATAGTTATATATATTGACTTATAAAACCTCGACAATGTATTTAGGAAAGGGTTCTTTTGAAAAAACTGTTTCATGGTGGTATTGTCAGTTCATCCATTGCTGCTGATGTTTGGTGCTTCATGGCAAGGTTGTACAACCATGCAATTTTTGTTATCGTGATACAATTTTTTTACCTTAGAAGGGAAATCCACCTTCTTTACGCAGAGAGGTAATCAACAACTAACGCTGTGATGGGGAGTCTACACTTCCCACGCAGAGATAAAGGAGGGGGGGGGGGAATTATGCAACTCATAGAGCGTAGAAAAAGATTACCATTCATCATCGCACTCTGATGGACTGTTCAGTGGATGATGTATTATCTTTGTATAGATGGATGACTGCTGAGCTTTGTTACAACCACGTGAAGCTGTTTATTCTTTGGGTTTGTACATATTTAAACTTTAATTTTTTATGCAAAGGAATCCAGCCAATTTGTACATTTACAAAGCTTTCTTTTAACTAAACGATCGCAAAATACGATCTGCACGATTTTTCGTCTGCCAACCGTTGTATTATTGGTGTTATCGTTTACAAATATTTAGACACGATAACATTTCAATCTGGATCCTAAAAACAAAAACTCCAACAACCATATGTGTATGTATAAGAAAAGAAGAGGTTGATTTTCAGATGCAAATGTGAAAAAAAACTGTAAAAGAAGAATACTTACTTCTTATGTAAAAAAACAATTTCTTATCTAAAAATAAAAATCCTGGAATACTTTATGAAAAGGTTAATTTTTAGGCGAAAATGGGAAAGTGTGACGTAAAAAATCTAGGAATACTTTATGAAAAGGTTAATTTTTAGGTGAAAATGGGAAAATGTGAAATAAAAATCTAGGAATACTTTATGAAAAGGTTAATTTTCAGGTGAAAGTGTGAAAAAAACTGTAAAAGACGAATACTTCCTTTGTATATAAAAACATTGTGTTATCTAAAGTGGAAATAAAAATCTAGGAATACTTTATGCGTGCAATCATCATTACTTTTTAGCTAGTTTAGAGCTTATTACAATTTTGGATTGTGTTTGGTGATCTGGTATTAATTTTATGCCGCCGATAGCGATCGGCTCAATGTTATATAGAATTTTAAATGCTTCTCCCAAATTCTTACCCAATCGTGAGGCCATGTATTTGATTGACGTAATTTGTTTAACCTTAACGCCCTTAGACCATGTAACAGCATCTGACAGCGAAGTTCAGTAATGGGTTAATCTGAAGAAAATGACAAAGTCGTTTGCATGTGATAAAAAGCCATGTTGAAATTATCTCGTGTCAAAGCTGTCGTTCAAGTTTTGTGACCATATTCCAAAAGCTCACTCTCACTCTTACTGAGTGATGCCTCAAAATCATCTGAAATTATTCAAAAATGACATTTTCACTTTACTGCTTGCTATATTTCAAATATTTTAGCAAAATTTTTGTATCAATAAAAAAAAGAGTTTACCACTGATTGGTGGGTTTTTGATTTCCTAGTCGCACTCAATGAGCATTGATTGGTGGGTTTGTGATTTCCTAGTCGCACTCAATGAGCATTGATTGGTGGGTTTATGATTTCCTAGTCGCACTCAATGAGCATTGATTGGTGGGTTTATGATTTCCTAGTCGCACTCAATGAGCATTGATTGGTGGGTTTATGATTTTCTAGTCGCACTCAATGAGCATTGATTGGTGGGTTTATGATTTCCCAGTCGCACTCAATGAGTGTAAGTGAGCTTTTAGAATACACGCGTTAGTCTCTCGCGGTTCTTAGAATGTACTTCATTTAAAGCAATGAACATGTTTTTATATATTTTCAGCTGTCCACAGTATCTTGGAGGAGTGAGTTTCATAAAAACAGACTATCCATTTTAGTCGGAAGACTTCTGCCTCTAGTCGCCCAACATCATCAGGTAATATTTATCTACTTAGCTTGCTAATAACTTTGTAATAAAGTCGAAATATTTGCTTTAAATCTTGTCTCTTGCTGTTATAACTCGAGTCTTGAGTTTACAATATGATGTTTTTTGAAGTGTGCTTTATTATTCATTTTTTGAGGTTGTCGGCTAGAAAAGGTTTTTAATACTTATCAACGTCAAAGATAACTTTTCGGAAATGAAAAACTTGGCTAGTCAATGTGTTTAGCAACAAACAATGTTTTATCTTCGTGCTTTCTATATTGCTGTCTCTGTAGGAAATGCTGCTGAAAGAGTACCCGATGCAATCCAAAGAATATTTTCCAGTGTGGTCCACCTTACCTATTTATAAAATATCAAAGCCATTACAGATACAGGTATCTATACCTGTAGGCATGAGGAAAATTACTATATTCATGGAAATTTGTGAGTTTTCTAACTTGCAAGGACAGTTTTCGTTGACGTATTCGCTGCTTCTCTTAACTTTAGGCAGTACAGGCTATGTTGTGTACTTCCACTAAGACTTTGGCGCAATGTATGGACAATCAAGATCTTCAAAATATTCACTTGGTAAAATTTTCACAGTTTTTTTCTGAAGGAATCATGTAATGGAGTTGAATTTTTTTTGTGAACTTTTCACTTCATTACTAAGCTGCAAGCTATCATGTTTCACTTTTATATTAAAAATTCCTGAATTCGATATCGTTCTAGAGTTTTTTGTAAAATGAATAATTTGCAGCCAATTCTAGTTTAAATCTAGTCTTACTGTTATTATAAAAACTCCTAGATTCAATATTCTCCCAGAGTGAGTTGTACAACGACCAATTTTCAACCAATGTGCTTGCTAAGTGTTCTCAATCGTTTATTTTGAATCATTGTTTACTTTACAATCTTTGCGCAGCTTTACATTGCTATCATTTTATCAGAAAGTCAGAAGTATCAGAAAGTCAGAAGTCAATTTCTTTACGTTTCAATTCACTCTGACTGCAGCATGACCCTATCTAGCCCCAGTCTCCTTTAGATCCCCAGCATGCTTCCCTTTTCCATATAATTATTTGTAAAAAATAAATTCATTTAAGGTAATGCTGATGAGGAACACGGTTGTATGTATATATTTTCTTTTATTTTGCAGGAGAAGAGTCTTCAATGCATCAAAAACATTATTACTCATTCCAAAAACTTTGAAAATTTGCCGAGCAATGTAGAATCAAATTTGATCCATGTGATGAAACGTTTGTTCGACGAATATTTTGTTTCTGCGCCTAGAGAGGTATACTGTATGTGACTTAGCCATTTTCAGTCGACTGTTAATTGAATCATTGTCAACTACAATGCAACGCGCGCTCAAATGATCTTCGTGGCCATTTTCTTGGCTAAATAAATATATAAACTTTGTATCAGTTTGTAATCCTCCGTGGATGTTCTATGCATCTTTTGTGGATGTACGAAAATTTTTGTCGTTTTTGGATCAAAACAGTATTTTTGGTAGCTTGCTAGTGATATTTTTCTTAAACGTATTGTTTGGGCGGGCAAATGACAAATCAAAACTATGGCAAGCTCAACGATTGAAAACATGCCTAAAAGAAGACGACCAAAACTTGATATTTAAATAAATACTTGATATTTGGAAACACACGCTTTTGACTAGTGTCGAAGTTGTGCGAAGAGTCTACGTAAGAGAAAGATCATCGTGTGATGGAACGAATTATCATATTCATCACGAATATAAACAACCAAGAGGCGCGCGTTGCATTGTGGTTGACAAAGATTCTTTAATAGCATAAAGTATACCGAAACATGTTGGCTTTGAAGAAATTTGTCGTTCATTTTAAATGTCTTATGGTTCTTTAATGTCTCGAAAAGCGTATTTGTTTTGCGAATAAAAATTATAACCTATTGGTAGTTCTGAAAATAGTGCTCGCTTGAGTTGTAACATTTTTTTTCAAAACTATCCAGGCTCAGTACAGAATAACAATTTGCGCAAACATTAAAGCTGTAGTCATATCGATGATTGGGGGGGGGAGGCAATCATTCATATGTGCATGTTACGCACTAATAAGTTCCTTTGAAATACATTGTTATTCACGGATTATAAAGATTATAACATGCAGATGTGAAGATGAGCCCCCCCAGTCATCGACTGGACTACAGCCTTTAACATGAATTATTTTTAACACTAAACGTGAATTAGTGAAAAACCTTAATTACAAATTGTTGTTGTGTAAAACCTTACGATTTTATACTTTTATCGTTCTAATCAACCCTGTTGATGAAAATGATCGCATATTTTAGATTTCAGAGAATTGTTGGGCGAGTTTCATTTGTATACTTGGCTCAATATTACCGCGTGTTCAATCACAACATGCCGAAGAGGTACACAGCCATCTTTTGCACGTAACGACTTTTTACATGCGATACCAGATTTGATTTGCGTCTGTTGTTCAAGATTCTGAGTACAGTCTTCAGGAAGATTGAAGAAGCAAATGACGACGTTTTTATTGTATATTTCGCATCACTTTTGGCCAAGTGTGGACATCTTTCATTGGGGCAGGTTAACTAAAAAAGATAGTATGTTTTTTAAATTCATCCTTGTTCATTCCGAGTTTCCAAATCTGCTGCAATTCCATTGGAAATAAGGCTCGAGGAATAGTTGTAAAGTTGATGAAATGTCTAGTGGAAATTATTCCAAGAGGTTTCCCTCGTTGGTAATACAAGACACCTATTTAATTGAGATAGAGATTTCCAAAAAATATTTTGATTAGAGATTCTTGTGTGTGTGTGTGTTTTTTTTTTGGTGAGGGAAGAATGCTTTTGACAAAATTTTTTTGATGTATTTTTACAGGCTGTACTTCATTAGCTTTTTTTTGGTGATATCTCTTTTTTCAGAATGAATCGTTGTTAATATCGAAGACTTTCCGTGTTTTGGTTTCATCAAAAAATTGGTTGGTGCAAAATGAGGCCTTTACTGCTCTTAAACAGTTTGCCGAGGTATCTTCGTTTGTGTTCGTTATCATTTTTCCCTGTAAATTCACCTTCAAGTTGACTCTCCAATTTCGTTAAACGATTTTCTTTTTCGGCAGTCGGTTGGCTTATTCTAATTCTATACACAAAATTTCCTTTTTTAATTTGCTATCCATTTCTTCTCAACTTTTAATGCGGACGTCATGTGTATAATTTCACTATGTTTTTCTTATATTTACGAAGCTCGTTTTTTTTTCAAGATCACTCCTTGTACATCGATCCTTGAACAATGTCTACCAGATGCGATGAAGGAAGATTTTCAAAAATTTATTTGTGCAGTACGTGTGTTTTTCTGAGAACTATTACATCAACTATGGTCTAAAGCTTTGTGTATTTTTTAGCTTTTGGTTTGCTGTCGTTTGAAAGAATATTTTCATTGTTTATTACATTACTTATTGTTTATTGCATATGTCTCCATTGTAGGAATTTCATGAATAGCTTCAAAAATGCTTATTTCAAACATTTTGCTTTTTCTAACTTTCGCAATTTCCGTCTAAAATATATGTTTTTGTTTTTCTTAGATACCTCACGGGCAAGATCAGTCCAAACCAGAATTAATGGTAAGTTTTTGATTAATGAAGTTTTTTTGATGAATCGAACATATCTGACTTCGCTTCGTGCGTGTTTCCGACATGAACATGTATTTCTTCTGCATCGTTTGTAGTTGCTTAATGTGCTGCAAAAGCAAGCAACGTTACAGAGGAGCGATGAGGTATAACAAAATGATGGTGTTTTTTTCTTTTATGATTACGTTCTTTAAGGTCGTATTTTGAAATTTTCTTTCTTGTGTACAAACTGGGTTATTCATAGTCTACGTTTTAGTCCTTTTTTGCTGTCAAGTGTCTGCATCCGAAATTATCGGATGTTTAAACTTCATTGTAGAGTATTCATTAAGAGTGATCTGATGAATAATTCATTTAGCGTCTTCATCAGAAGGGATCTGAGGTTGAAATTTGAGTATTTATATACTCCAATCTAGTGTCTTCATTAGAAGTGATCTGATGCTGAACCTTGAGTTTTTATATACTCCAGTCGAGTGTCTTCATCAAGAGTGATCTGATGCTGAAATTTGAGTATTTATATACTCCAATCTAGTGTCTTCATCAGGAGTGATCTGATGTTGAAACTTGAGTACTTATATACTCCAGTCTAGTGTCTTCATCAGGAGTGATTTGATGTTGAAACTAGAGTTCGTATATACTCCAGTCTAGTGTCTTCATCAGATGTGATCTGATGCTGAAACTTGAGTTCTTATATACTCCAGTCTTAGTGTCTTCAGCAGAAATAATCGGATGTTGAAACTTGAGTTCTTGTATTCTCCAGTCTTTTGTCTTTATCAGGAGTGATCGAAAGTTGAAACTTGAGCCTTTTATACTCCATTCTAGTATCTTCATCTTACGTAGCTGTTTTTCTGTTGTCTGGTCGTCGTTGGTGTGTGATATAATTTTCAGAATATATATTTTTGATAAACAATACTCGACTTTAATAGATTATGCCCGACAAAGCAACAGCTGCACACCAAGACCAACATGAAAAACGAAAACGTAGCGAACGTGAAGTTGAAGTAGGTTTTACTAATGTATATATTTTTGGAAAATAAGATTCATTTTCTACGAAATTAGATCGTTGTTTTGTGATTACAGATCGCCCGTAAGCACCAATAAATATACTAAAAATAAATTTTTATTTAAGACAATTGTCATTAGGTATTAAGTATACTTATATTCAAATCGTCCTGTCGTGAATTTAATAGCTGAACTCCAAAAGAAACAAGTTGGAACATATGAAACTCTCAAAAGAGGTATGCAATGCTAAGAAAGATGTCGGCACACAACATACTGCCGTTGTGTGGGATGATAGTAAGAACTGATTCTTTGCATGAGACAAAAATGTCGCTTTTATAAATAATTGACTTGGCGATCTTGTTGAACTGATCTTATTGAACTGGAGCGTTACCTTTCTCTGAAAGTTTTTGGAAGCAGTTGAACTAGTCCCTGTCTTTCAACCCATGACCGAAAGAAATTTCATTACGATGGCAAGCTAAAATGCGGGACTTTGCCTCCAGATTTGCCTTTCCAGTTATAATTTCGTATTTATTTTAGTTATACACTTTTGTAGAAAGAATTGAATCATAGTCATGTTTAACTATGATTGCAATGTATTCTCGAGAAATAACAATGTTAATGGTTAAGTATGAAAATAAAAACTTTCTACGTGTTTTCATCTTAAATATAAGGCAATCGCGAATACTTATAGTTTCTGACAGCAGGACGTTGAAGTTAATTAGATTTCCGGTATGATTTTCTGTTTTCTTTTTTTCTCAGGATGATGTAGTTCTGTCGACAAGTTTAATGGAAATATCAAGACACTTGACTGTTATTCAGGATCTTTACAACCGCACTTCCCAATGGCCTCCAGAAAGTGTACTAAAGTTGAAATCAATGAAAAAAGTAATGGACGAGATTTGCGATTTCGATCGATAATTGCTCATTTGTCACTTATTTTTTACACACAATTTATGCTAATTTTGGCCTTAGAAGAATTTTACGATATTGCATTCGAAACATTGTCCACATGTTGGATGCTTTACAGTATCCCATAGTTTGAAATTTCATTTTGTAAATATCTTTGACTGTATGAGATATATCCTTCGAGCCATCTGCCAGCCTGTTCTCGTTTCTTCACCATACGCTTAATTTCCAGTAAAGGAAAAGTGCTAGGAACTATAAAAAGTATTGCTGTGATTACATAAAAGTATCTCTCTAAAATAGTCATTTAATTACTTACACTTGTGTTGATTACTAATGACGGGAACAACATGAGCCAATACAATCTCTTTATTCTATTGACTATAGTTTACGAATGTTGGTCTATATATTCCTTTGCTTTATAGGTAGCATGTTTTCAATGTGGAAATTGCTGTCTTCTAATAAGTAAACTAAAATTACCTCCAAGACATGTAAGCGTGAAGATGAAAGATACGAATTGGGCAAGCTGAAAAATTAACCCGTGCCCAATGGAAGCAAAAAGAAAAAAATATTCAGAAATCAATGTGTTCATTATTGCTTGTGCGATGATCGCTCTGCAGCATGAAAAACATTTCATTTGATATACAAGTGCTGAACCATAGGTGGTAATTGTAACTTTGGAATGACTTTGAATGCCCAGCTATAGTGCCTTCTCATTTGACGGCCGTCTTTCGTTGGGCATTTTTGTTCGTCCTATAATAAACATTTCATTTGCAAAGTTTCATCTTGTTTACGAGTGCTGAACCATAGGTGGTAATCGTAACTTTGGATTGACTTTGAATGCCCAGCTATAGTGTTCATCCTTATAAGTAACATTTAATTGATCGTTGTAGTATCATAGGTGAAGTCCACGAATAATTTTTACAGATTTAAAATGGTAACTGAAACATGAAACATCAGTTTTAGTTCATGGAACTCTCGGACAAAGCCAATTATAGAAAACATTTGCATAATCACTTGCGTTATTAGCAGACACGTTCCTGACATTCATGAATAGATTCCTGTAAGATACAGTTTCTTATAATATATAAGTAGATAATCGCTCTTGACTTCTATGAGGTGATAAATAATTGGCTCATCACTTGTCTTCATATAGAGATGTTGAGTTCACTATCTGGTCATATGATCCGGTGGTGTCAATTGGAGACAAGCTTCCTTGATTGATCAAAATGCCTACGTTCTTTAAAATTTCTACTGAGAATAAGTGTATTAAGTCACTACTAAAGAAAAAGAAATAGATTCTGTTCGTTGAAAAGAAATTTCCCAGTAGGACTGCGCCGTGGGAAGCACGTACATTAGCATAAAAAGTTCGATGCTTGAAACAGACGTGGGATATAAAACGAACGATCTCAATCTCAGTGATAGTTGCCTATTTTAGGACATGAAAAAACACCGCTTTATGGAAAGGTGAAAATCTATCACCATGCACGTATATTTATCACTTCATTAAATCACTCCTTTTTACTGCATGTTTTGTGTGTTGGCTGGCTTTTGTTTTGAATACTTTCGCAGCGGGATGGCGAACGTAACCTTATCCCGAACGGATTAAAGTGCTTTTCAAATACATATTGTCAATTGTTGTCGGTACAATTTTACTGACTGTAAACATCGTCAATTGAAGTTAGCTCCGCTTATATTCAGTTTTGCCTTGAACAAATCAATTAGTAATATTCCATATATTTGCTTTTGTAGCCCAACATGTATGTCACGGACCTAAAAATTCTGGCCTCGCTGTTCATAACGTGTTTTGGCGTTATTTCGACAATCGGTAAGTCAATTCTGTCCATAATTTTGAATTGTTACAATTGAAATTAGTCAATGAAGAATATCGTAGTGCGGTCCCTCTAATGTATTTCTCTTCAATACCAAGTCTTAGGACAAAACTGATTATTTAAGCTCGCGAGGTCTTTGTATAAAAGCCTGGTGGTTATTAAAATTCTTAAAATTCTTCTTGCCCTCTACGTTGTAAAGTGCGCTGTTGTTGTGAGATATTTTTGACGCCGACAATTGCTTCGTTTTGCGGGATAAGATAAGACATCGGCTATACTTCTTCATGATCATTATGTCGATTTAATATACATGCTACAGGGCAGCAATGCGATGATGCAACTAGTCACTGTTCTCAGTGGCCGGGCAGTCACTGTCGAAAATATCGCATTTATATGAAGAAATACTGCCCCAAAAGATGTGGATATTGCGGTACAACAGGAGGTATGTGTTGATCCAACCTGACGCCATTTTGAATAAAATTGTCTATGGATGAAATTGCAATTTCTTTCGCCGTGAAAGTTATGATTTAAAGGTGTCGCTTTTTAGCAGTAGATTGCTCTGACAAACGGCGAAGTTGTCAAAAATGGAAGAGTTATGGGTATTGTAATCACGGTCATATTTATCACACTTACATGAAGATCAACTGTGCAAATACATGTGGATTTTGTGGTACAGTGGGCTCTTGCCTTTTTCATTCATCGATGTGTCATGTAGGGGAATGTTCTCTCATTACAATTCAGGGGCGTGTAGTATCTTTAGACAAGGCACTGCCGTAATATCAAGTCAAGTTTTTTTCGATTTATTCTTAGGGTCATGCTTTCTAACAAAGAAACTTAAGTCGTGTACTTTTGATTTGGATTCTTGCGACTTTGTGGATGTGCCCTTTACTGACGATCATGACTTCGTTTTAAAATCCAGTGGTGGACAGGATGGCAAAGGTATGATGCTTGACATTTTTGATCTTCTGTTTGTTTAAAGTGATGTCATTTGACGGTGAATTAGTTCGCGCTCATTGTAAAAAAGGGTAATGATAAATATGTTTTCAACTTTTCCACTTTTCTTTTCTCTTCTGCTTTTTTTTCATTCTCTTCACTTCCTGTCTTCTCTTCTGTCTCTTCCCTTTCTGTCTTCTCTTCACTTCCTGTCTTCTCTTCACTTTCTATCTTCTCTTCACTTCCTGTCTTCTCTTCCCTTTCTGTCTTCTCTTCTGTCTTCACTTTCTTCTCTTCATTTCTTCTTTTCTGTCTTCTCTCTTCCTTCTGACTTTGTCTCTTCACTGTTTCTCTTCCTTTTCACTTTGTCTTCACTTCCGATCTTATCTTCACTTCCGGTCTTATCTTCACTTCCATGTTCTCTTCACGTCCTATCACTGACGTAAAAATGCGATACTGAGTTTTGTGTGCTAACATCGTACATTAGGCTATTTGTCATCGTCTGGATATGGCTCTGCTGAACTCATAGTACCACTGGAGTTACTTGTCCCTTATAATGAAGATCTTGGTAATCTTTGCATGGAGTTTTATTACAGAATCAGACGGTAAGCTTGCATGTGATATTTGTTTTAATTTTTTGACTTGTTTGGTTTTTGATTTTTGAATTCTTCGTCGCCATATGCCTGCAGAGTTGAACTGTTGTAATACATGACCCTCCATAAAATGTTGAAACTTAGGTCCTCATGTACTCTGTACTCTAGTTTAGTATCTTTATCAGGAGCGATGTGACGTTGAAACTTGGGTATTTATGTACCCCAGTCTAGTTTTTTTATCAGGGGGATATGACGTTGAAGCTTGTGATCAGATTTTGAAACTTGAGTCTTTATATGCTCCAGTACTAGTGTCTTTATTAAATAGAACAAAATAAAAACAGATTCCGAAAACAGACATTTCGTTTTCTTGATATTCAAGATGATACATAAGTGTAGACAGCATTGTGTGTGTAATAATTCGTCTTTATTCCAATGACATCATCAGGGTAGTAGTTTACAAAGCAAGCTGTGAAACTTTTATACAATTATTTACAAACGGAAGTGACAGTTACGTTATGTGATCTTCCGTTAAAATGTACTTTTTCACACGCGGATATAGTCAGATTATTTCAAAGGTAACAGGCAAATTAATTGATTTTGCATTCAGAGGATCACTTAAAGTTTTCCAAGTCACCAATACTAAGAACTACGTAAAATCACTTAAACTCCATTTGACCGATACACGTGGATCATGGACAAAGGCGAGGATGTATTTCAGAGCATCTCAGAAATATCATGTAAGTTTTAAATGTTTTGATTGGCTCAGTGAGCCATCGCTTGACTTTGTCAGAAATATCGTGTAAGTTTTGGCTGTTAGAAGCAATAGTGATAAATATTTTACGCAGATGCGATACTTTTTGTGTGTTCAATAGTGGCTGAATATATCGTCGTTTCTTTGCAGCTCTTATTCAAGGCGACGCCAAAATCTGGATCTGTACACATTGACAACGTTCAATTCTGTGGTAAATGCAGCTAAACGCTGCATTGCTCGGACAGTTCGTACATACTTTCGATTTTGTTTTTGCTCTTAATTACAAGTATATGATATTATTATGGCTATGGCTAAAGATCTCTGATACACTGACTGTCTATAATAATATAGTTGGATTTCTTATGACGACACTGACGCAATCTTCGTTGAATTCGGCAAGAAAAATTTTTCTCGTTTAAAATTAAAATTTCCTCCAACATGGCGAAAATCTTTTTGTCCTTTTGACTCCAAGCCAACTATATTCGTTGCAAGCCAACTGTACTAATCACTTTGCACGTGAATTGAGTAGCAGAACTTCTGGATTGATTAACTCCACGAATGATTTTACGCCTGTCAAAAGAAATGCTATTGGTTTTTCAACTTGAGAATTGTATTCATTCCATTTAGGTATAAACATTTTAATGTAATTAATAATGGAAAATTTCAATCCAAATGACTGCCCGAAATAAATTATATCTGTACTTTATCTATACTTTATACTTTAGATAAACTTTAGGTATACTTTATCTATACTTTATATGCGCATCGAGCACTGTAATTACGGAAAATCAAAAATTCCTATACTTTGTTCTATGTATGCTATGTAGACTGATTAGACTCTATATGTTCCTAGCCTTTTGGGAGTCTCCGCGTTCTTTCTCTAACTTTCTTATTATCTTTTCAAACTTTTTTTTTTTGCCCGTCCCTACAACACCTCTATACTATTCTTTGCAACATAACATAGGCCTTACTTCAAGCATGTTGACAACGATAAAAGCTCTAGCGAGGATGAGGTCCCAATACAAAAACAGCTCATATTTTATTATTGCTTTTTTGGGCAACAATCGTCGTGGGCAAGCCACGTTGTTTGATGGTTCCCTGGAGGTTGGTTGCAGTTCAAGAATGATTGAAAGCAAGGTTCAATTTAGACGATACAAATTGCTTGGCTTATTAAATGTTATCTTTGTGGAAACTATTATAAAAATGTAGATAACCTCTTTTTTCTATGAAGCCCATGGATGCTTTCTTTCATAATGAGAGAGTCATATTGTATAAGGAGACTCTCGCTCATCACGAGAGAGTTACGACAAAGTTATATTGTTAAAGATAGCTAACAAGTGAAAAACGAATAAACATGCTTTTAGAGTTGGCTTAAATTGCAAGTCAAAAGGGCAAAAGTTGTTTGAACCTTTGCAGTATCCATGGATGTTCTAGTTTCTTTTATGAGAAAAATTTTTGTAAAGAAAAAAGACAAATTTTGAATTTGAAAAATCCCGTTTTCGGTCCATGCCTTCCGATACCCCGAGATAGTTGAGCACTAGAGCGTCGCATGTTAATGAAGGGAACCAGATAATCCTTGTTTGCCATGAAGCCCATGAATGGTTTGCTCGTGATGCATGAGAAACAGTAAATGAGAGAGTTAAATCAGAAAGATATAAATCAATATAATTTGTATAAAACATATTTAAGGTTGTATTAAACTATAATTAACAGAAAAATGCACGGTGTTAGAAGAAGTTAATTGAACACTGCTTGGTTTATTTTGTTTACAGGAAAATAACACTTGTAAACAAAACTATAAAATTCGAAAGCAAAAAACCCCGTTTTCGGTCCATGCTTCCCGATCCCCTCTTAAGCGTATGTTAACGCCGCATGTTAACGTTTCGGTTGGAGATTTCGGCTCCTCCACGCTATCCTACGCCCGTCAGACCCCGAGATCACCTGCGATTGGCTTTACTCGAGTACGCAGGGAGAGTGCGGGCGCAACCAAAGTCTGGGCTCCTAAGCCACTAGCCTACCTAATCGCACCCAGCTTCCACTGCTAGTTGACATCTACTACATATAGTATTTAGTTTATATATATATACAAAATTCAAAGGCTTACGAAAGTTGTGGTATGATTGACATCGTCACTGCGCATGCGCAAATGATTTCCTTGATAATTTGCGACTAAGTGAGCCAATTGCCACAAATGTAGTGCAAGTACATATAGTTAGTCTTTACCATGACCATGAACTTTTATTCGAGTGGACTGCGCATGCTCGAGCGCGTGCGCAGATGATTTCTATTAAATTGTTACAAAGCATACTATTTACTTCAAAATCGGTGCTAGTAGATGCAGTTGGTCGTTGTGTCATCACAATGTATCATAATGTATCACAATGCATCACAATGCATCACACTACATCACACTACATCACAATGTATCACAATGTATCACAATGCATCACAATGTATCACAATGTATCACAATGCATCACAATGCATCACACTACATCACACTACATCACAATGTATCACAATGTATCACACAACATCACAATGTATCACAATGCATCACAATATATCACAATGTATCACAATGCATCACACTACATCACAATGTATCACAATGCATCACACTACATCACAATGTATCATACTACATCAAAATACGTCACAATTTATCACAATGCATAACAACGCATCATCTTTATTATTGCAATGTATCACAACATTACAATGTATCGCATTACATCACAATGGACTGTAATAGCGCATCACATGAGAATACAATATTGTGACTGATCACAGAACCACACTCGAGTGTCGTAATGTCTTATCATGGAATAAGCATTGCGATAAATTCATAAAATAATTGACATATTTATTATCAGAAATCATAAAGATGGGAAACTACAGTCTCCTGCCTTTCTTCAACTAGACGAAATGTTCATGTTCTCTTATGTCAAAAGTTTTATATTAACTTTTGACATTGGAAATTGCTGGAACACGTCTGATTAACTCAGAAATTTTCAATGATTTTGGACCATTGTCGAGGTATAACAGTCCAGTCGTTAGAATAGAATACTTTTTTATTAAAAATTTCGTAAAATTTCAAATAAGCTCACTAAACTATAGTTCAGTGTTCGTCAAAAAAGTTCACTAATCTATGAACTTAATTTACGATCTGGCAACTGAACACCAATTGTCAACACTGCCTTACCAAAATGAAACCCCACATAGATCAATGGAAACATAATGGCTTTGACCAGGCGCGGATCCAGCTCCTTAGCTGACCGATGCATTGCGAGCGCCGAAGGCGCGAGCCACCGCTAGGGGTTTGGGGCATGCTCCCCAGAAAATTTTTGAATTTTCACTATCCGAGAAGCATTTTCCAGCGATTGTATTATATTACATATGAATACAAGTATAAGTGCTGCATAAGTAATATGACATCGTGTATATTTTATGATGATTGTTCGTCGTTCTGAAATGAGTACACTATTTACATTTAAAACATGTGCTAGATTATAGAATACCCGTCCACTCACTATCTACTTATATAATATGCCTTGTTGAAGGCTTAAGCCTGTATGGGTGCCTTTAAAAATGGACGGGTATTCTATAATCGCTCCAAAACATGCAAGCATAAAGGTAAATTTACTTACTTTAAAGCTCTTAGTTCTCCACTTTGCCAATGAATTGTCAAGTGCTTAGGTATTAACATTTCACTTGACATATCTCTCCCATTTTTACCCTTTGAAAAGGGATTCCAAGGAGAGGATTTTGAAATAAAAGTAGCAGCTCTCGTTTCATAGGTTCGACGCACTCCATTAATATCAAATGACTTCTCTTCTCGAAGCAGAGTACACAGATCGTGTTTGATATTCTCGACAGCCATGACTTCGATCGATGATTGCGAGTTATATCAAGTGATCAATAACAATGCATTCAACTTTGAAGTTCAAAGTTGAATGCATCGGTGCCATGTGCCCACAATCACAAAATTATGAAAAATGCATCGCTCAGCGGCAAAATCTACCGTGACGTGAGGCCCTAAAACAATGGTTTTGCTGATGTCACAGTAGATTTCACGCGGAAAAGGACTCGGGACCGATGCATCGACCGATGCATCGCAAATCTACTGTGACGTAGCGATGCCTCTTCCATCTACCGTGACGTGCTGGCAGAATACTATTAAATTACTTACTAATTATGTATTCACGACAAAATTTCGCTAAATTTTATCGACTTTTCTTTCGCTATTTGTGTCATGGAATACGACAAAATTATCGGAGAACACAAATGTTATTTCTAGAACAAATTTTAGCTTAAAACTGCTAAATCTATAAGTTAACTAAACAATATATCACTGTCAAATGTGCGTTTTAAATAATTCGAAAATAATATTTGCTATTTATTTCATTAAAATGCATTCGCATCGGTTGCATCGGTCTAGATCCGCCCCTGGTATGAACCAACCTAGTCTCTTCCTTAAATTAACTCTATTGAAACGTCCATTTAAACAACAGGCCTGGTGACTTGCCTGCCTGGTCACAGAATAGATGTTCATTGAGAAACTGTTAACACTCGATAAATGTTCATTGAGAAATTGCAAACTTGTGCAATTGTATTTAATGCCAATGCCATATTGTGTTGGGAAAATTCTTATATTGTATGATTGTAGCTAACTTCCAGATGCTCTTAACTATATGTTCCTTATATTTGTCATGTTTTAGATAATTTAAAGTATTGATTCCGTTGTAAGGAAATAAAATTGTCCTCTTCTTCTATTAATATATATATATATTGTTATTTTCGTTACATCGCTGTCGCTGCATTAATTTTCAGATTAATTTTCAAGTTAAATATGCTACACAAATATTCAGCCACACCGTTGCTGCATCGATTTGCACATATTCATCAATTGGAGCACTACCACCATCAGCCTTGGGTACAGCTGAGTTGCTTTTCAAATTTGATTCGCTTTTCGATTGCGTCAATAGTTCCACACTGGAATCAGCAAAAGAACAAAGAAGTGCAATAAGCAACAGCAATAATCACTAATTAAATGAAGATATGATCTTCATTTAATTTCAAAACACCGCACTGCGTAAAACATTCACACAGCAATAATCACATTGCTTTTCTCAAAGAAGCAATGTCCTTTATCCAGGGAATCAAAGTGGTAAAAGATGGTAAAAACATCACAGGCGGAATCAAATCACTGAAGGGATGGCTTATATCTATAAAGGCCATTATCTGTCTCTGGACCTATCTTCATGCCTCACATAAGTGTACTCTGCAAACTTTGTACATACAGATGGAGTATTGTGAGAAGAGTACTCTAAGGAATGCTATTGATGAGGCATAGTACAAGGACCAACAAAGAATTTGGTCGCTTCTCTGTGAGATTGTAGAAGGATTAGTTCACTTTCATTCACAGGTAGAAACTTTCGATTATTGTATGTGCTAGTTAACTGTATTTCTGTGTAACTAAACATGAAAAAAATGTGAACCATTTCGTTTAGCTCTATAAGTATATATAAAGACTTATTATTTGCTATTTTTCTCTACTTTTGCCAGTAGGGAAGTAAACGCGTTTTGACATTTTTTGTTTTCTATTTTTACATTTTCGGGTGTTTTCTTTAAAAAGTCAACTAATGTCATAGAAAAAGAGTTTGGTCTTTGGATAGATTGAAAAGCTCGCTTCAGGTCTCAATTAAGGTAACTTTTTATTACATAAATCGTTCAAATAGACGGTAATTTGGTCATGCGAAGGAAATTTTGTACGTTATTTGGAAATGCTCCATATATGCCTAGGTAATAATAATTTAGACGGCTGTCTCTATGCGATTAAAAGAATTCCTTTGAATCCGAAAAGTGTGCTGCTTAATCGCAAAATTACTCGAGAGAGAAGTTACTTTCTGGATTGAATCATGAAAATATAGTAAGGTAAAAAGAAATTTAGTATCCAAAATGAATCAAAATTTTATAACCTAATTGGTGGATTGCATGTTACGTCATGGCAGCCATGTTGGTTTTGTCAAATACAAAAGAATATTTTATTATTGCTTTTTGGGCTACAGTCGTCGTGGGCAAGCCACGTTGTTTGATGGCTCCCTTGAGGTTGGTTGCAGTTCAAGAATGATTGAAAGCAAGGTTCAATTTAGACGATACAAATTGCTTGGCTTATTAAATGTTATCTTTGTGGAAACTATTATAAAAATGTAGATAACCTCTTTTTTCTATGAAGCCCATGGATGCTTTCTTTCATAATGAGAGAGTCATATTATATAAGGAGACTCTCGCTCATCACGAGAGAGTTACGACATAGTTACATTGTTAAAGATAGAGTTGGCTTAAATTGCAAGTCAAAAGGGCAGAAGTTGTTTGAACCTTTGCAGTATCCTTGGGTGTTCTAGTTTCTTTTATGAGAAAAATTCTTGTAAAGAAAAAAGACAAATTTTGAATTTGAAAAATCCCGTTTTCGGTTCATACCTCCCGATACCCCGAGATAGTTGAGCACTAGAGCGTCGCATGTTAATGAAGGGAACTAGATAATCCTTGTTTGCCATGAAGCCCATGAATGGTTTGCTCGTGATGCATGAGAAACAGTAAATGAGAGAGTTAAATCAGAAAGATATAAATCAATAAAATTTCTTTAAAACATATTTAAGGTTGTATTAAATTATAATTGTCAGAAAAATGCACGGTGTTAGAAGAAGTTAATTGAACACTGCTTGGTTTATTTTGTTTACAGGAAAATAACACTTGCAAACAAAAATATAAAATTCGAAAGCAAAAAACCTCGTTTTCGGTCCATGCTTCCCGATACCCTATTAAGCGTATGACACTAGAGCGCCGCATGTTAACGTTTCGGTTGGAGATTTCGGCTCCTCCACGCTATCCTACGCCCGTCAGACCACGAGATCACCTGCGATAGGCAGGGAGAGTGCCGTCGAAACCAAAGTCTGGGCTCCTAAGCCTCTGCCTACCTAATCGCACCCAGCTTCCACTGCTAGTTGACATCTACTACATATAGTATTTAGTTTATATATATATATATACAAAAATTGAAAGGCTTACAAAAGTTGTGGTGTGATTGACATCGTCACTGCGCATGCGAAGATGATTTCCTTGATAATTTGCGACTAAGTGAGCCAATTGCCACAAATGTTGTGCAAGTACATATAGTTAGTCTTTACCATGACCATGAACATTTATTCGAGTGGAGTGCACATGCGCTCGAGGGCATGCACAGAGTATGTCTCTATTAAATTGTTACTAAGCATACTATTTACTTCAAAATCGGTGCTAGTAGATGCAGTTGGTCTTTGCCATGACCATGAACTTGGAGTTGACTACGCATGCTCAGATTAATTCTCAATTAATTTGTGACGGTGCGAACTCTGAAATTGGTGCTTGTATATGCGCTTAGAAAATTTTCAATTATATATTTTTGGCATGCTAATTGTCTCTTAAGCTTGTTTTGACAAAAGCATATCAATCTCATCAACACTTTGTTACGCCACTCGTAATACCCGTGACAATGTTGGAGATGTTTTTATTTTTCTCCATAACTTTGTATCTGCATATTTTGTGCATAAAAAATGCTCTAATATTTATGACAGATATTATAATTCGTGGATTGAAGTAGAAGAAATATTTGATAACGAAACTTCCAACTGTAAAACAAAATCAAGCATGATGGAGGAGAAAAAACGACGCCGGGTTGAAGATAGCTCGATGAAATTGAACGTAGTTGAAGCACCTAGCGTACGCTCAAGAGTTTTGGATGAGGACTTGTGGACCAATGAAAACACGAATGATTCCAAGCATTTTGATGACGACAAAAGCTCTAGGACAAGGTTCCAATACAAAAACAGTTCATTAATAACACCGAGTCTTCTGAAGATATATTCAAAAGAAATATCGATGAATCACATATACAGTCTGGAAGCTTCTTGTCTCACGTGGTATATAGTAGTGGGAACTGTTCATGATGCTGCTGAAGATATGTAAAAGTAACTACCAGCGTCTTTCCTTTAGGACGAGGAATCTGATTTCGAAAGTGAAGAGGAAGCCATAACCACAAAAGATTTGCAAGAAGATTAAAAGTGTACTTTGCAAACCCTTGTTATATACAGATGGAGTATTGTGAGAAGAGAACTCTAAGGAATGTTATTGACAAGGGATAGTACAAGGACCAACAGAGAATGTGGTCGCTTCTCTTTGAGATTGTAGAAGGATTAGTTCACGTTCATTCACAAGAAGAAACTTTCGATCATTGTATATGCTAACTATATGTATGTGTAACTAAACATAAAAAATATGAACAATTTTCGTTTAGCTCCATAAATATATATTAAGACATATTATTTGCTATATTTCTCTAATTTTTTCCAAAGGGTATGATTCAAGTAAACGCGTTTCGACATTTTTGGTTTTCTGTTGTTACATTTTTTTGGTGTTTTGTAAAAATATTTTGTTCTTGGGTCATCGAAAATTCGAAATGTGTATTAATGACACAAATCTCCAAATTTTTCATAGGAAAAGCCACTTTATGCCAATAAGGGGAAAACCAATGTACATATCAATGATTATTATCATTAAAGATGTTTGGGGTTTACAAAGATTATCAATGATTATTATCATTAAAGGTGCTTGGGGTTTTCAAAGATTATCAATGATTATCAATTATGAATTTATGATCCACTACACTGACCATAGCGCATCGCAGACGCACCCTGAATCTTTCCCATAGAAGACAATTATACTCGTGATTTCAAGTTTATATTTCTTTTTTATCTTCAAAAAGTCTTACTTCCTTTTGAAGTACTATTGTTTGAAAATATTAATATCGTGTTTTTACGATGGTATAACGAACTCGTGATTTTAAAATGGCGGACGACCGAGAAGTTTTGCGAATCCTCTGGGATGGTCGGATACCAGTATGTTTTTCTCTAAACTCCGACGAAGTGTTTACTCTTGAGCAGCCCGAACCATTCTATGTAAGTTTTAGTCTTGGTTGTTTAAGAGTAAATGTTTGCTTTAAAGAAATTTGTCGTCCATTTTAAATGTTTTATGACTATTGTGCTGTCACGAAATGTAGGAGTGAATGTATTATACCAATAGTTATAACCATATCGTGGGACTAAACTAGTTTTGGTTTACCGTTCAGACATTCACTCAAGTTTGGTCTACTCAACGAACAATATGATTATTCTTAAGTCAGTGTTGTCATAAAAGAAAGCTATTTACTGAGATTTTTTTTAATGATGTAGCTGTTGCTTCCAAGAGTGAGTTATCTTCCTGTTGTTACTGACAAAGTCACAAAACATTTTCAATCTGCAATCAAACCCGATAAGGATACCAGCAGTATTTGGTTTGACTTTAATGGACAATCTCTTAAATGGTAAATATACGGGGACTACTGCAGTTTAGCAGACATCTTGGACGCTGACCCAAACCCTAACCCTTATAATCTTAAGCAAATACAAGCCAGTGCTCCTCATATAAGCGCTTCAGGTGTCGACTAAACTGCAGTCTAGCCAAAACATCAATTTTTTCTTTATTGAGATTAAGGAGGTTGTGATTTTAGCCATTCTTATTGTGATGAGATAAAAGTTTTGCTTCAACTCATAATACCTACATCTGCTAAGCACAGTGGTGTTGGAGCACTCAACTGTAGCAGCCAATACCCATCCACTTTGAAATGTGTACTGTGTAACTAAATACTTGTAAGTGGTTGCAAAGTATGATCCTTCTCTCAGGTTGAGTGTGAAAAATTGACATTTATCCAAAAAACTGAAGTTATTTTTGAATTTTGTAGGCACTATCCAATAGGAGTACTCTTTGACCTGTATGGCTCCCATGATGCATTGCCATGGAACATAACAGTTCATTTTGAGGTTTTTAAAATAGATTTTTGACAACTAACTTTTTTTCGCAATAATGCAAGTTTTTTGTGTAAGGTTTTATTTGTACGTTTGCGTTAGGACTTTCCCGAGGATGAATTAATTCATTGTGAAAGCAAAGAGGTTGTTGAATCCTATTTCATGTCCGCTATAAAAGAGGTTGGTGATATTGTGATACATTGTACTGAATCAATGAAACAAACACAAACCTACTGCAATTTTATTTTGAAGGCAGATTCATTGAAACACAAGTCTCAGATCATCAATTCAATGCAAAAGAAAGATCACAAACAATTATGGCTTGGTCTTAATAACGGTGATTGTTATTTTTTCTTTCTTCAACAACTATCTGCAACTAATTCTTGACTTCTGTAATTATGATGCCATATTCACAAATATTAGTCTCTACCATTCAGTGTGCGAATTAACGGTGTGCAATGTGCAATTTGCACATAGTTTTAGCTAAAATGAAAACAATTGCACATCACTTTTTCAAACGATGTGCAAAAATTAGCGGTTTTAACGAAAAACACTGTCGAAAATCGTATGAATTTGTTCACGTTTAAAAATATTAACTTAGCAATTAGCGCTGTATAATAATTAACGTAATATCGATTTGATTATGCCTCTAAAGAGACACTTTTGTCAAAAAAATTGCACATCGTTTTTTTTAACTAATTTGCACACTGCTACCATTATTGATGCCATTAAAAGCCGGTTTTGAAAAAAATCAAATAATAGTGATGTTTGCTGCCATTTCTACAAGATAGCACAAAAGCTTTTGAATAGTGATGTTTGCTGCCATTTCTACAAGATAGCACAAAAGCTTTTGAATAGTGATGTTTGCTGCCATTTCTACAAGATAGCACAAAAGCTTTTGAAAGAAAATATTGCAAAAACACTAAAAAAGCTACAAAGCTAGCTTTGAACATATTTACAACATATTTAAAGGAAGAGAAATTGAATAAACCATCTCAAATTTTTGAAGCTTTTTAAAGTGTTCTACATTGATATTTTTTAATAATATTTCAGTTAGTTAATAATAAAACAATTATTGAATTTGGCTTTCGCATGATATCAAGAATTATTCAGACCTCAGCTTCCCTTTGGCAGACAACATTGGCCTCTAAGTAATTTGTGATATCATGCCGAACCTCATCCAATAATTGTTTATTATACTTCATAAAATTGTTTTTAAATCACATGCGAATTTATATATGAGCACAAAATGCTTTTTTGCAGACAAATTTGAGCAGTTTTGGGGTGTAAACAAAAGACTAATGGAAAGATCTGGTGATGAACTTTTTAGGCATATCCCATTCAGAATTCATCAGGTGTGTGCATGTTTACTGTTGTAACCCTTCAATATCACCTTAGAAAATGACCATTGCAATCTAATTTAAAGTGTTTAATACCAAGAGATGATGTATTCATTTGTGGTGGTGGGAGGGAGGGGAGGGTGCATCATGGTAAAATATCATTGTACCATATATAATGTTACGTTCACCGTAACAAGAAAGATTTAAGAACCGAAGACTTCCACTATTTTTATATTATTATTAAATGAAAGAAAGCTGTTAGAAATAAATAACAGCATAGTATAAACTCATCTGTCTACGACAACAATAAATAGCTTTGCTTCTTTAATTCTTCTCCATCCTCAAAATCCTTACGACCATATGTCCAACAACAAATAGCCAAATATCACGAGCGTTCAGTATCTTTTGTATTACACAATGTTCTTCAATAATCATACTCCTTGCCCTGGCTGTTCACTGCTTATATTTAGTCTGGAAGCTAATTATAAAGTATGACGTAATAAAGTAAATGGTTTGAACCCGTTACATGTTTGTAAATGAAGAAAAATGAAAAAAAACCCAGTCCTTCTCAGGACTATACCAACCTGGACGATCTTCATTTACAAACATGTACGACGTAACGTCCTTTTCATAATTATGGCATAATTGCTATTTACTCTATACGACGTAATGTTACTAAAATTAGGATGTAACTATATAATAGCAACGAGTCAGCATGATAAAGCTAATTAATAAGTCTGGCGTTATCTATACGTCACAATAATATTTTTATTAATGTGCTATTGGATGTCTAAGTTCAGGGAGAGTTATGCACATCTTACAACCCTCCTGGAGTTGTTCTGGTGTAATTTGAGTGGGGTGTATTAAGGTTTACATGTAGTTATGTCTTAGAATGAACACTATTAGGGAGCTTTAGCAATGACTAGGAGTAGGAAGTACGTTGTTTTGGTGTAATTTGAGTGGGGTGTATTAAGGTTTACATGTAGTTATGTCTTAGAATGAACACTATTAGGGAGCTTTAGCAATGACTAGGAGTAGGAAGTACGTTGTTCTGGTGTAATTTGAGTGGGGTGTATTAAGGCTTAAATTGTTTCCTGTTTAGGGGGATGAAATGTTTATTCAAAAGCTTGTGAAACCTATCAACGAAGCAGGTTTGTTTGTGTACGAATTTTAAATGTGTATGACTTTTTATTGAAGTTGACTGGGAGGGCTTTTGACTTTGATGAATATTATGTGTAATATTACGGGCAATATTGCCAGTAAGATGACAGGGGGGTGGGTTTGTATCTCATTATAAAGATTATAGACTAAGAGAGAGATAGATATGACAGGAGGGTGGGTTTGTATCTCATTATGAAGATTATAGACTAAGAGAGAGATATGACAGGTGGGTGGTTTTTGTATCTCAATATAAAGATTATAGAGAAAGAGAAAACTAGATAAGACAGGGGGGTGGTTTTGTATCTTAATATAAAGAGTATAAACAAAGAGAGAAATAGATATGACAGGGGGGTGGGTTTGTATCTCAATATAAAGATTTTAGACTAAGAGAGAGAGAGATATGACAGGGGGGTGGGTTTGTACCTCGATACAAAGGTTATAGACTAAAAGAGAGAGAGAGGGATTTGATAAATTTTACAAAATTAAAGCTAATGGCTTTGTTATTAAAAACGATCTGTTCTCATCTATCTTTTTATTGTAAGTGTTATGTGTATAAAAATGAACATATTTAACTTCAGGTTTTGATTTGAAAATGTTTTGCATAAGAGTTTTTGACCAAAAATATTTTATATGAGAGTTTTTCACTGATAAATATTTTGCACGAGAGTTTTTGACCGAGAAATATTTTGCATGAGAGTAAAGTATGTTATGTGCATGTAAATCAATTTTTTGTTGGAGAATTTTTGACTTTAAAGAATCTTATATGCATGTAAATCAACTATGTTTCAGGAGAGTTGTTAACTTTAAAGAATTATATATGCATGTAAATCAACTATGTTTCAGGAGAGTTGTTAACTTTAAAGAATCTTATATATGCATGTAAATCAACTATGTTTTAGAAGAGTTGTTAACTTTAAAGAATCTTCTATGCATGTAAATCAACTATGTTTCAGGAGAGTTGTTAACTTTAAAGAATCTTATATGCATGTAAATCAACTGTGTTTCAGGAGAGTTGTTAACTTTAAAGAATCTTCTATGCATGTAAATCAACTGTGTTTCAGGAGAGTTGTTAACTTTAAAGAATCTTATATGCATGTAAATCAACTGTGTTTCAGGAGAGTTGTTAACTTTAAAGAATCTTCTATGCATGTAAATCAACTGTGTTTCAGGAGAGTTGTTAACTTTAAAGAGTCTTATGTGCATGTAAATCAACTGTGTTTCAGGAGAGTTGTTAACTTTAAAGTATCTTATGTGCATGTAAATCAACTATGTTTCAGGAGAGTTGTTAACTTTAAAGTATCTTATGTGCATGTAAATCAACTATGTTTCAGGAGAGTTGTTAACTTTAAAGAGTCTTATGCAGCAGGCACTACCGGATACGTTCGCCACAAACGAAGATTTCGAGTCAGCAAAAATTGTTATCCATGGTATTGAACCGCCCACGGATACACCTCTTCAATGGTTGAGTGAACATTTTAGTTATCCTGATAACTTCCTTCACATTGTACTCAGCAAGAATGTTGAAACATAGTGTTTTTTCTATCGTAAACCAGCCCGCCCGCTTTTTTTTCACCTACTCCTAAAATCCAAGTATGCTTGTGTTTAAACACTAGAAAGACAGTTAATGAAATTAATATTTTCCAGAAATTAATAATTTTTCTGGAAAACTTTGCATTGTAGTAGTGCAAGCTGCTGGCTTGCTTCGTCGCATGGTTTTCTTTGTAGAATATTTTAGTATTTTTTCTTACCATTCCTGTACATTTCCACAAGTAAAATACAAGCGTAAGTTAAAAAGATGTTTTTTTTTCTTGTCGTAAATATTTGTATTTTTTACTTTTTCGCGTATGTAATTGTCCAGTTTCTGTCTTTTACTGTCTCGCGCAAAAAAGTCAGTATTGGTTGAAAGTATCGTGGTTAACGGATTGGGAAAAAGATAGTGTTAGGGTTATTCAAGTTCTTTAGGCGGCTGAAAACGGCAATTTTATACATATTTATCCTGCATAAGAGACGACATTAATGACATTTCAAAATGTACTCATGTAATCATATTGTCCTAGTGAGCTGTTTTAACCATTGAACTAAAATACATGGAACACTGCCTGAAGCAAATAACTGAAGCCAAATCTTACAACCAGACACGCGTGTGTGTTTCGAGATTCTCTCGCGGGTGAAAATTGATTGAACTACACACGCGTGTCTGGGTGTAATATTTTGTTTCAAGAAATTATTAGGCTTGTCTACTACAGGTAGCTTTCCATGTATTTTAGTTCATTCTTAGCGTGCATTAGCGTGACCTTGCGTGAAAAAATGTAAAAATTGGTGAAAATGCGTGAATTATAGCCTATGCGTGAAAAAGTAAGAAAATTTGTAAAAACGCATAAATTAAACTCTTTTTGTAATAAAATGAGTAAATTTGTGAAAACGCATGAATTAAACTCTTTTTGTGATAAAATGTGTAAATTTGTGAAAATGCATGAATTAAAGTCTTTGTATGGAAAATTGTAAAATATTGTGAAAATGCCTGAGTTATAGTCTTTGCGTGAAAAAGTGTGAAAATTTGTGAAAATGGATGAATTAAAGTCTTTTTGTAAAAAATATATAAATTTTTGAAAATGCGTGATTTATAGTCTTTGTATGAAAAAGTTTGAAAATTTGTGAAAATGCCAGAATTATAGTCTTTGTGTGAAAATGTGTAAAAATGCACGAATTATAGTCTTTGTATGAAAAAATTTTAAAAATTTCTGAAAATGCATGAATTATAGTCTTTGAGTGATAAAATGTAAAATTTGTGAAAATGCGTGATTTATAGTCTTTGTAAAAAATGTAAAAATTGTGAAAATGCGTAAGTTATAGTCTTTCTATGAAAAAGTTTGAAAATTTGTGAAAATGCCAGAAATATAGTCTTTGTGTGAAAATGTGTGAAAATGCACGAATTATAGTCTTTGTATGAAAAAATAAAATGCAAATTATAGTCTTTGAGTGATAAAATGTAAAATTTGTGAAAATGCGTGAATTATAGTCTTTGAGTGATAAAATGTAAAATTTGTGAAAATGCACGAATTATAGTCTTTGTATGAAAAAATTTTAAAAATTTGTGAAAATGCATGAATTATAGTCTTTGAGTGATAAAATGTAAAATTTGTGAAAATGCATGAATTATAGTCTTTGAGTGATAAAATGTAAAATTTGTGAAAATGCATGAATTATAGTCTACGTGTGAAAAGTAAGAAAATTTGTCAAAACGCATGAATTAAACTCTTTGTGATAAAAGGTGTAAATTTGTGAAAATGCATGAATTAAGGTCTTTGTATGAAAAAAAATGTAAAATATTGTGAAAATGCCTGAATTATAGTCTGCCTGAATGACGTAATGCCTGATTATAGAAACCCGATCGTAGATATGGGATTTCTTTTCTTATGGTATAGCACAAATAAACGCCACACAGTATGATAATGGTCCACAAGAACATCTATTACGATAGATTCGCAGATCAATCTACTCTTTGTGAGACCGTATTAGTATAACACTAAATGTAAAAGTAGGTCCGCAGAGAGTACACGTGGGCAGCAACAAAAATAGTCGGCAAATAGTACGTAATATATAATAAACATCGAAATTTGAAAAATGTTCGACATTAATGAACGAAAATCGGTGGTAAGCCCGAAAGGTCGGTCGGTCGTTCTTTTACTCTTATGCAGTATAACATAGTGGTTAGCTACGCATGCGCGTGACACCCGCAAAATCGGAGTTGCACTTCTGATTTTGCGAGATTTTTCTAGGCAAAAATTTTCAATTTTGCCGACGAGTACATACCTGATTTGGGCTACAAATATAAGGACCCAGGATATCCTGATAAGCTACGAACTCTACAAGTTGTTCTGTAAATGTTTGAATTGTTTTCTTCCATGTCTTCAATTCAGGAAAACCACGACTAAGTTAAATGGAATTCTCCATATTTTCTCCATCCGGGGGCATGCGAACACAATGTGCGAATGTCAAGTGTTTCCGGGAAACTTGGCACACTTTTCGAAAAGATGTTCAAGAATTTAAATTATCTTTCTAAATTAAGCAAACACACAAAAAAAGATTAGCTGCACATCTTTTTCGTAAAGCCTGGTTCTCATATAGTCGTCCAAGTCGTTTCAGTCGTACAAAAATTTCACAGACTACCCGTGCGACTGTATGAGAACATATCGGAGGCGACCGGGATGACCTCAAATGACTCACACGACTGAAACGATCGTTGAGAAATGCAAGCGACCTTTTTTATGGCGCAATGAAAGAATGAAATGTCTTTGTTGGCCTTGAATGTCTTCGGATAGCTACTTAGGAAATTTTATTTTTGTCTGACGATGAAACCAAAAACAGAGAAAAACTTTGCACAATATTTAAAAAATGATCAAACGTTTTTCGAGTTTTTTCCCTGTTTTCATTGGTTCCCTTTTGTTCCCATTGTCATTGCTCCCTGTTGTTCTTGCATGTTGTCCCAGCATTGTCATTACTCCCTGATGTCCCTGTTTTCATAACTAGCCATGTCCCTGTTGACATTGCTCGTTGTTGTTCTTGCATGTTGTCCCTGCATTGTCATTGCTCTCTATTATCCCTATTTTTCCAGTTCTCATTACTCACCGTTGAAAAACAATTACTTCAATTTAACAATATATTTTCAATGTACACCAAACCAATCAGAATAAATAATTATACATCAACTATTTCATATTTTAGCAATAAAGCATCGCCGCCACGATTTTTACAAATTACTTGCCATATTCGATAAAATCAAAGCGAATGAATTGTTCTTTATTGTCCAAAATTTGGTGGAATTTGTGAAGTGCCACTGCCAGAGCGTCTTGAAAAAATTTCCGATAAAGTATTCACCGATAGACCATTATACACAAGCCGACCGTTACCTTTCATTTCTAAGAAACCTGTCATTAAAAAAATTATTTCTGCTTTTAGTTCCGTGATTTCTTTCCAGCGAACGACAAATCTGTCTCAAGATGACCCTGTATTGAAAACAACGACGAAAAAAAGTTAAAACCATAAAAAAAGTTGGGTCTCAAGATCTATAAGGCTTTATCTTGATTATAATGTAGCTCGTCAATGTGAACATATATATAAACCAAAGTAGCAAACAAAACGTTTAACACGTCAAAACAACATTTCTTTTTTTATACACCAATAAACCGAAAATGACCTGCCGTACGAAAGAAAACGTACAGTCATTAGAGGCTTAGCCTACGCATAGACCTATAAATTTCGCATACGTCACTGCAATATTGAATAGCTTGCCCTAGTTTACGTCGCATTCGTTTGAGCTGTAGCATGACGATACTCCCGGGTTCAAACCATTCACTTTATAGGCATACACCCATACGACAAGCATGGGTGTACCACGTTAGGCTATTAAAAGCCACATTAGAGAAATAATGAGTGCCAGTTTGGTAGTATCATCGTGTTTTTTTGCATATCATATGCATTAGATACATTTGAAAAATAAACATTTTGCAAAACGTCGTATAAAGCGCTTCTCCTTTTAACACATGTTAATTGTAAATATAAAAATAAAATCTGACGTTAACTAAATAATGTAAATAAATAATCACTGTCATTTAGGAAAATAAGAATGGACTGCTTAGAACATTTTTCTCTTTATGCAGTTGTCAAAAGAGCAATAAAAGTGGAGAAGGGGGTGGGGGTGGGGTGTAGACAAGACACGAGTAACATGTTTCTCATCTGCACATTGCATGTATTACATACAAGCAAAAAATCGAAGTATATTATGAGAAATGCAAGGCGTTTCATTTTTCGCACGCATACTAAACACAATATGCCTTTCTGACGAAGTAATAATGACATCACTGTAATATAGGAAAAGAAAAATGGGCAGTCTTTGAAGTTTTTCCTCATTCATTGGTAAGGTTAATAACATTTTAGGATAACAAAGAAAATTGCAAGTGAAGTTAGACCTTTAGTAAACATTTTCTTGCATAGTATTTTTGTTTACCAACCTTGATAGCCGCTGCGATAGCGTTGACGTCAAGAAGAAACGTATCATGACCAAATATTGACGGTAGTTCATAATATGTGACCGAATCATTTCCTATTAAGAAAATAATTATTTCGTTTGTGTTGGTTTCTGCAGAGCAGCAAAGCCGAAATTTCAAAGGACAAAAATACACAGGCGGTCAAAAGAACTGCTCACTGGGAAAAAAATGGATTAATAGTGTAAGACATTGGGACAACCTACTAAAACATTAAATAAAAGTTACACAACAAAAATTATAGTATATTTATTTATAAAGTAGTGAATTCTCCTCTTTCTTCAATTGGAGCTTAGCATCAGATAGAAATGCTGTCTGCTAAGTAAACCAATCTTTGATGTGGGTCATAACTGTCCAACATTACTAGACAAAGATCGAGCATTTCTATTTAACTGCCTGTATGTATATAATTTAAATTCTACAGCTGAGGATGACAAGGCTGTACATCAACAAAATGAATTTTCTTCACACAAAACAAAGCAAAAACGTGGTACAAATACAAAAAATATTTTTTACAAAACAAAAAAGATGATTCAACAAAAGATGATTCAAACCGACATGAAATTTAGAAAAAAAATCCCCGCAGTCATTCATATTTAGTAGAGAAGCGTTTCATTGTGCAACGTCACTTGTAAATGTTTTAAGGCATATAAGGCAAGCGCAGTCATTCATACTTAGTAGAGAAGAGTTTCATTGTGCAACGTCACTACATGAGGCAAGCGCAGTCATTCATACTTAGTAGAGAAGAGTTTCATTGTGCAACGTCACTACATGAGGCAAGCTGAAATCGGAAAAAAAACAATCGTTTGCACCTGATTCCTTTAACAGTTCATCTAATTGTCTCTGTTGGTGAACGGGAAAAGAATGTCGGACTGCACACCCATAACCTAGATCAAGATTACATCATTAATTAGCTACATACGCCTGGATAAAATTGGAGCAGAGACTAGCAACACTTGGAAAGTTGTCATCATCGAGTTACCACTTGGCAGAGCAGGAAATGTAGGTAATTCCCCTCCTGGATAGTTTTTCATGATATCTTTTGTGAGTCATTTTGGAGGAAATGGAGGTAACTCCCCTCCTGAATAGTTTTTCATGATATCTCTTGTGAGTCATTTTGGAGGAAATGGAGGTAACTCCTCCTGGATAGTTTTCATGATATCTTTGTGAGTCATTTTGGAGGAAATGTAGGTAATTCCCTCCTGGATAGTTTTTCATGATATCTTTTGTGAGTCATTTTGGAGGAAATGGAGGTAATTCCCTCCTGGATAGTTTTTCATGATATCTTTTGTGAGTCATTTTGGAGGAAATGGAGGTAACTCCCCTACTGAATAGTTTTTCATGATATCTTTTGTGAGTCATTTTGGAGGAAATGGAGGTAATTCCCCTCCTGGATAGTTTTTCATGATATCTCTTGTGAGTCATTTTGGAGGAAATGGAGGTAACTCCCCTCCTGAATAGTTTTACATGATATCTCTTGTGAGTCATTTTGGAGGAAATGGAGGTAACTCCCCTCCTGGATAGTTTTTTCATGACATCTCTAGTGAGTCATTTTGGAGGAAATGGAGGTAATTCCCCTCCTGGATAGTTTTTCATGATATCTTTTGTGAGTAATTTTAAACACATCCGGGAGATAAATTGTCTACGCTTCCTGTATTGACCGAGTGACAAATCAATGGCGTAAAGCATTTGTAGCATTTTACAGTTTAGTTTAGTCGAAAGATGAAAAACATAGGGTCTTCATTTCCTTCAAGAGTGCGTCTAATATTATAACTCTCGAGTATGTGTACGATGACGGATCCAACGTTCGTCGAAAAATTATGGCTGCTCAATTTTGAACTAAAATTAACTTCAGGGCAAAAACACTAATGGATGTAAATTTTTAAAGAACAAAACTACCAATTGGAATTGGAAATGTAAACATATTAAACAATGAACATCAGTGATGTATTATAATGTACCCTAAATATTATATAGTATGTGTCGACTTGAATTGTACTACAATTACCAAGCAAACAATGAACATCAGTGATGTATTATAATGTACCCTAAATACGCTATAGTATGTGTCGACTTGAATTGTACTACAATTACCAAGCAAACAATGAACATCAGTGATGTATTATAATGTACCCTAAATATGCTATAGTATGTGTCCACTTGAATTGTACTACAATAACCAAACAAACAATGAAACAAAAGACACCAAAATCTCCTTTTCTACAATTGATAGCTTTATAAACAGTCTTACCAGTACAGAACATTTTATCCGGGAAACACCATCAACTAAGGAGTCATATCCTTCCGCTAAATCAAAAAGGTCCATTGCCTAGGAATCAGTAATTTCATTCATAAAGTCCAACATACCTTTTTTAATTATACTGAATGTATATTTAATTATTTTACTGTCTATTTTTGAAAATTTCCCATGCTAGATCATTGTAGTGTATGTACATGAAACATAGCTACGTTCAAACTCAATGAAAAAGCGCCACAGTTTTCACACAGCATAAAGTTTAAATATCACGAAGCCTGGATAGCGTTATCCATTTAATAGCAATTTTTTAAAATTTTTATAAAACCTTTTAAAAAGCGAAAAATATAAGATTCAAACTGAGCAATCACTGAAAAAAAATGTTGTTTCGAAGATTACGAGATTTCTTTGTTGTAAGACAAACACAAACACCTTTTTTACAAACTTGCAAATTTGTGCTATCCGACTGACAACGCTATACAGGCTTCATGCAACAGGCCCCAGATTGTAACAACTATAGAAAACATGTGTGGAGTTGAAGACGTAAATGAAAAAGACACGCGTATTATAAAGTCTCAACTATTGAAAGTCAGTTCACAAGCATTATCTTATAAAATAAAACAAACAATCATCAGACAAAAATGATGGTTTTCAAATAAAACCGAAATACTACACTTTTAATGGTTTTGTTTGATAGCTTGAATTTAAGTTTACAAGATGTCCTTTTTCGGATTATGTTTTAGTTCATACCACACGAAATTGTCGTGTGGTCAAAGATGATAGCATTATCTTGGAAACTATTTATCCAGAAAAGGTTGAACGATGCTAACGAGATTGCTGCACATACATACCTTTGAAATATACAACATCGAATTGGGATCATACTTGAGACAAAAGCTTTCGCCCTAGAAATTTTAGAAAACATTTTATTCTATGAAAAGGGAACTGTTTCCAGCAACAATCCCGCATAAACATAAGGCTTTTTTCAATTACAGGGTGACCCAAAAAGATGCGTACCCATGAAAATTTCAATTATGGCTTTAATTAAAAAGCTATTTATTTCAAATTACAACCACACATCATTCAGTTTATGGAAGACTATTCACAAGAGTTTCGGCTATTTCTGTCAATTTTTAGTCAATTTATGGCTTTCCCAAGATGTGTTCCAAATGTCCACCATTTCGTTGCAAGCAAACCTGTACTCGTCTGGCAAAGTTTTGAATCACTTTTATACACTCCTCTTTCGGGATGGCTCTTCTTTTTGCTGTGATGGCAGTTTTAAGTTCTTCAAAAATTAAAGCCACAATTGAAATTTTCATGCGCACGCATCTTTTTGGGTCACCCTGTATATACTAACTTGGTGATCCAGATAGCCTTCGATCAGAAAATCTGCATTAAAAATACAAGGGGGGTTAGAACCATCTGCAGGCTTCTCTATTTTCTTTCTACCAAATCTTTCTTCCCATTCACTGCCACTACGATAGCTAATGGTAGCAAGCGATCTAAAAATGAAAACAACTTGGTGCAAGTGGTACAAAAGCATAAATATGATATTTAACAGGATTGGTCCTGGATAGAAATGGGACTTCAGAGATTGGGTCTAAAAGATTCAAAAGAATAGAACAGATTTCACACGACTGATCTAAGAGAATTCAAGAGGATAGAAATGGGATTTCACGAGACTGATCTAAGAGAATTCAAAAGGATAGAAATGGGATTTTACGGGACTGATCTAAGAGAATTCAAAAGGATAGAAGTGGGATTTTACGGGACTGATCTAAGAGAATTCAAAAGGATAGAAATAGAATTTTACGGGACTGATCTAAAAGAATTCAAAAGGATAGAAATAGGATTTCACAAGACTGTTTTAAGAGGATTCAAGAGGATAGAAATAGGATCTCACAAGACTGATTCTCGACACTCAATTCTTACACATAGAGCGACAATAATCACCCACATTGGAATCGAATTCAATTTCAAAAACATTTACTTCGAACAGAAAGGCGAGAATCTGAAAAGACAGCATTGATGCAAGATATAATTAATAAAAAAACAATAAACTGTCGATAATTACCTGGCATTTTTCATTCCCAGCATGGGAAACGGGCCATCATAATAAAATCCGTCGTTCCAATTGGGATCACTCATCAATATTTGTCTTTGAATGTATCGCATCGCAATGGAGGAAGGATGGGACCGAGCACACGATGAAATGGACACGGCCCTGTAAATTAAAGTACTTTCATATGTACTCAGTTATGCATTGCAATGAAGGAAAGATGGGACCGAGCACACGATGAAATGGACACGGTCCTGTAAATTAAAGTACTTTAATATATACTCAATTATAAGAGATTAAGACTTACAAAATAAACCTTAATGATACATAAATCACTTTGAGAACAAGACCCATAATTTGGTGTAAGTTTTGGCGTTCACCTCATACGATGTAAACATCAGATTTCATAACTGCGAGAATTTTAAACATCAGAATTCATAACAGCTTCATGCTTATGAATAAGCTACAAAACTGAATTTCCATGAACAAAATAGTCTTAGTTTGAACGAAGCTACAGTCTGAACCTTTGGGAGATTAGAATCACCTTCATTGATTTATATGCAAGAGATCAAGTCTTCAAACTACCACTCAGACAACTGTCACTGCTTCATGTACTGGCCGAGTGGCAAATCAATAGCGCATACACAAGCATTACTGGAGATAACTTTCTGTTTGATAGTATTCTGAGCTAATAAACTGCCATGGCTTTCAACAGAAGTCAAGTTATGCGTTTATGTTTTTCTTTACCGTTTCACTTTTTCAGGAAACATTGCAGCAGCCATTAGCGAAGACATGCCACCCAACGATGAGCCTACACTGGCATGAATCTAAATAGAAAGTAACATAAAGTATTGGATAACAAGGCGACAAATAACAAGCAATGAGTACAGGGACAACATGCAAGAACAACAGGGAGCAATGTCAAAAGGGACATGGGTAGTTATGAGAGCAGGAAAAGAGGGACATTAGGGAGCAATGACAATGCAGGGACAACATGCAAGGGCAAAAGGGAGCAATGACAATGCAGGGACAACATGCAAGAGCAACAGGGAGCAATGACAATAGGAACAAAAGAGAACCAATGAAAACAGGGAAAAAACTCGAAAAACGTTTGATCATTTTTTAAATATTGTGCAAAGTTTTTCTCTGTTTTTGGTTTCATCGTCAGACAAAAATAAAATTTCCTAAGTAGCTATCCGAAGACATTTAAGGCCAACAAACACGTTCCATTAAGTCTCGTAGCTCGTGCAGCACGTTTATAAGCTATTACATTATTTATAAGTTGTTGAAAAGCTGGCATTACTGCACTGTAAAAAAGCCCTAATAGTAAACAAAGTTGTCAAAGGAAAACGCTTGTTCGTAAGTGTTATAAATGCCAACTCTTTCGTCAATAAGGAATAATACTCACATACAAAGTTACACGATAAACAAGTCAAAATTTGCGCAGATCTTTCCAAGGCGGGAAGACGTCCATGTAGCATTTTGTTGCGTGACTTTTTCCCCAAAAACATTAGGTCTGAGGACCAATAGGTAATTTTGCCTTACCTTATCAATTCCAAGATGATCCAGTAAAAGGAACTGGGACGTGACGATGTCTTGTACACTTACACAAGGAAAAGTTGTCCCATAGTGCTAGAGAATGATTAAGAAAAACCAACCTTGGTGTGTGAAGGTGAAAATATGTGCGGAATAATGACAGGTAATGTGTACATGTAAAGCGATTTTGTGTCTCTCGCTCAAAAAAGATACCTCAAACAACACAAAATGAGCACACAAGAACTTTTTGCGATAACATTATAACTGCTTACGCTTTGAATTGTGTCTCTCGCTCAAAAAAAATATCCCAAACAACACCAAATGAGCACACAAGACTGTTCGCGATAACATTATTACTGCTTACGCTTTGAATTATTCAAGTAACAAGTTCACATATAACTATTAGCCAAAAAACCACGATCTTGGGTTTGAAATTGGCTTTTTTTCCCGATCGACTTTATCAGTGATCAAGATCACTTTAAATCCGGTAACTATACATACCTTTCCTGTAGTGGGATTTATGGAGGCAGGTCCGCTGTTGATGGAAAGATTGTAAAATAAGTAAAAATGAATGATGCGTCACATACTTGAAGAAGTGATAAAATAATGGCAATAAAATCAATTTACAATAAACAGACAAAAAGATGGCATGATAGATAAATGCTGGATAAGTGAAAAATGTCAAACGATAATTTCAAGCTCACAATACTATACAGCTAAACGTTACTAATTTTTATTCAAATTGACTGACAAGTCAAATGTGGCAAGTGAAAAGCTTGCTACCAGAACTCCAGTATTATGAAAGTTCAAAGTCCAGTCCTACCTCTTAAATCCCATCCTAGCCCCACCTCTCAAGTACCATACAAATAAAAAATGAAAACGCATCACATTTGAAATAAGCATAAAAGTTGATCAAATTTTACAGTCAAAGGTTGGAACAACCCAGACAGAGTGACTTGTATTAGGCTGAATATTGTAATAATCAAATGTTTGTGTCTGGAAAAGATGCACCTGCTGTCAGGGTTTACAGAACATTTAAATCAAATCAGGTGAGAACTTAAACATTGTCGAAATTGACGCACAATTTAAACTTTTGGAGTTTAATTAAATGCAAAACAAATGTTATGTACCTCGAACCATAGCAACCACCAATGACATTAACACATATAACGAAAAACTTGTTTGTATCTAAAGCACATCCCGGACCAATGAAAGCCTCCCACCATCCAGGATTTGTATTCTTCTGTAAATAATATACAAAAGACAAGGGTCTTCAACAAGAAAACCAACAGCAGCAATGGCATAGCTACCCTGCAGATTCAGTATTTGTAATTGGCAAATGATTCCAATTCTCGGTCTATTTAGAAAGATATCGTTACAACATCAGCCATCAACAGTGAAATATTTGCATGGTTTTATGAAAGTTAAGAAGTGAACATGAGTGGCAGGTCTAGTGTAAGTGAAAATACATTCATGTGCTTCATTTTACATTTCAAACACTACAGTAATAGTAATAATTCTGCTGGTTAAAAATTTCTGAAAAATAATTTGAAGTCAAAAATTTATCAATAGTATTGTCCATAAAGCTAGATTTAAATGTAATATTAAATGTATCTGACTTTTCCTAGATCACCAACTGCTGAATATGTAAATGCTTACTGTATGGTTAAAGTTGAACAAGTTATATCCTCCTAAAATATATTGTTACATAAAAAAAATTCTGAGCATCTGGCATGGAACCCAAACCAATTTTGATTAAAGGGGCTGTAAAGTTGTGTGCAAGTAAGGGATTAGCGGTAAAATTTCAAAAATTCAAAACAGAGCAAAATTTTTGAGGGGACCATGCTCACCCACCCCAACTCTAGGTCCAAGCCTGTGCCCAAAGTTGATCAATTACCTGGTGACTTCTAGCATGAGAAGAAGGTGAAAGTCCAGTAAACAATAAAATCACGTTGTCTTTTCTTTCATTAAGTTCACCCCATGTTTCATAAGCCAAAACAAGATCAGGAATTTGTCCACCAAGGTGAAATGAAAAATTGGTGTTTGAGCGGAAAACTTGATATCCTGAATTCACTTTGTCGTACATTGGTTCTGGTCCATCATCCACTTTCAACCAACTACAGATAATATTCTATTAGTAAAGTATGATGTAAATGGTGTACATGACCAATTTCAAACTTAAAAATATAGAAAATTTTCAGCAAACAGATTCATTAATCGTCATAACTTTAGAGTCTTAATGTAATGGACTTATTATGTCCATTTGTAACAATCTAGGGCAACAAATGGACAAGTTATACTAAAGTCACAGGCAGCTCTTACAATCAGTTTTAACATTTATAAATTTCATACAAAAGAATTTTCCATCATGGAAATTTTGTTTGTGGCTTTTCATTTAAGTTTATTATTTATTTAGAATTCAGGAGTCAACTTGCATCTTCCATTCCTAAGGTAAAAGCTCTATCAAACATGAACGCATAACCTAGGTGACATGTTATGAAGTTGACATGCTTCATTTGACTAGTAAACTTTAACAACTGACAAGACTTTGGTCATCCAGCAAAGTGGGACAATTATACTAAGGAGTGGAAGATGAACTTTGCACCCTGAATTCTGCCATTTCCCTACCTAGCATCAGGTAATTTACATGTTGGGTTGCAAGGGAAAAAATGCTTCCTACAAGTATTTGCAAAACAAAATTCACATTTAGGCTTTGAATTCACCAATGTGTGTAAAGAGCCCAGCACTAAAAACAAATTTCCATTTAAGTAAATTTTATATTACTTCGTACAAATAAATAATGAGAAAGAGTCATTAAATTACAACCTTCGTCACGAATTAATCAAAAAAGCAAAAATACATGTACAAAAGTAATGCATGAACGCCAATAAATAATAATATTACATCCTACCGAATTGATGTAGTTATTCTTCGACTGCGTTGCGAGATTCTGCCAATACAATTGTACCCTTTGAATCCTTTGTGCCGTAATTTGCAGATGGATTCGTTTTTCAGATACTTGAAAATGCTGCAACAAAAAGTGGGCGAAAATTGCACGGAACGCATAACTTACAATGGTTTGTTCACCATTACAATGTAGTGAACTGTGAAATTACAATCCAATTTGAGAAATTTACATTATTCATAAATTCAGTCATGGGGAAATTTTCTTTGACAAATGACATGTGACAAATAAATTTTGTCCGTGTGAATGAACAATTTGTTACAAATTTTTTATGACAAATGAATTTGTTCAAAAGCTGGGTTGTTAGCTTTTTTTTGTCGTATAAAATTTGTCAATAATCAAATTTGTCCGTCTGGACGACCATCACATCAAATGTGTCAAATTTTATCAAACAACATGGCGACGACGCAAGGAGCGAGGACAACGAAACATGTGATTTCTTGGACTGACAGCAGTATTTCTTTACTTCTCGATGCCCTTAAGACAAGAGAGAGTTTGTGGAACTCTAAGCTGACATCGTACCGAGATAGAAATATAAAGAAGAGAGAATATCAAGAAATAGTTACCATTTTAAGCGCCGAAATTCCCGAAATGGATTTATCAGCTGTAAAAGGTAACAGTATTCAAAATGTAATTGTTTAAATTTGTGTTACACTTTGATAGCTCTTAAACATTTGAAACGATGCACAGTGCCCTTCAGTAATTGGGTTGATGAATATTGTCTGGTCACTATAAGGGAATTTCTCAATTAGTATCAATATTCAGCAGGAAACAGAAACTGCTGCAAGTTGTCTGTAATATTGTTGTGAAGTATTTATTTTTGCTACAGCTAAGATTCAAGGACTTCGAACGACCTTTCGTGAAGAAATAAGAAAAATTAAAAAAAGTGAGCATACTGGTTGTGGATCAGCTGAAATATATGTCCCAAAATGGAAGTTTTTCAATGATTGCTTCTTTCTTGAAGATGTTGTTGCATTAAATAGACTAACATGCAGTAACATTGAAGATGAAATAGACATTTCCAATACAGGTGGCAATGAGCATGAAATTTGGGGAATGGATGGAAATTCTGAAACTGGCAGCACATGCAGTGATACATCATTTGGTATGCATCCAAAAAAAAGAAAAAGAAGCTCAGAAGAAAATGAATGGATGAAGACTGCAGCAAGTGCACTTACCAAGTTGTCCCAAGATAATGACGATCAACAGGATGAATGGGATGTGTTTGGGGTGGATGTTGCTAATTCCCTTAGAGCCATCAACAGCCCAGAGTGGCAAAGACGAGCTAAGTTTGCTGTGCAGTCTGCCATTTTCCAAGCTGCAGAAAAAGCTCGATGCACAGTTTCTAACTCTACATTACGTACAGATAGTACCATCCCAGTTATTGATTCATTTTTTAAAAATTTTAACAACTGAATATTTTCATTTTTAGAATTGATTTTTGAATACACTGCCTCTTACTTAATTAATTAAGAATGTTGATATTACAGTTTTTTAAAGTGATGTACTTTTCTTCTAACAATTAATCTCTTCTATAGTGATTGTTTGTTTTTTATTTTGTAATATGTGAAGAAACACTAAACATACATTTTTCATCCATGATCCATCAAGCAAAATGATTTTTTGAATTAAAAAATTCCAAAAATAAAAATTTTCTTGATTATATGATCACAAACGTGTGTGTTTATGGGTTCTAAAAAACTGAATTTAATTAAATGTAAATAGCTAGCTTTAACATAATCATTCAGTCATCTTCCATTGAAATGGAACAGCACCTTCTTCAAAAAAGTAATCTTTCATGTCATCACGAACAGCTCTAGCTTGCAATGTAGAAGACCGTTCACTTGGATAACTGCATAAATCAGTGATTGTGCATGTATTGTCAACTTCCTTTCTCCATGCACCATGCATTACAATACAATTTTCATCTTCATCATCCAAATATCCAGCAGGAGCATAATTTGTATCATTTCTTGATATAAGGTAATTATGAAGGGCTAGGCATGCACGAACCACTTCTATAACGTTTTCAACATTTAATTCCAATGTCTTTAAAAGAACTCTAAACCTGGCACAGAGAATACCAAAAGCATTCTCGACAATTCGCCTAGCCCTCGATAAACGATAATTAAACACCTTTTCATCCCCCATTGCCGACCTATGAGGATAAGGTTTCATTAAATTAACATTTAATGCAAAAGCCTCGTCACCTAAAAGAAAATATGGGACATTGTTGGGTCTTTTTCCCAATTTCGAGGGCATTGGAAAAACATTGCTTTTGCATATACATTCAAGGAAACCATGTTTAAAGATTCCACCATCTGACATACTTCCTGGTGCACCAAGGTCAAATGATACAAACCTTGCCTTTGCATCAGCAATAGCAAGCAAAACAATACTTGAGTACTTCTTGTAATTAAAATATTCTGAACCCGTATTGGGTGGTGCTTTTATATTAATGTGCTTTCCATCTATGGCACCAACTGCATGAGGAAACTGCCACAAATCCGAAAATTCTTCTGCTAATTGTTTCCACTGTGCATGCGTTGTAGGGGGCTGTAAGAAGTCTGGATTCTCAGGTTAGCAGTCCGATAGATGCATGAGTCGGAATCGTATAGATTATAAGTAAATAATTTTTTATTCGATCTAGTAAATAATGATATAGTATAAATAACAAATGTGCAGTTTAACAGTATACCAAACGTAAATACATGAACTCACTTCTTTGCCGGGTCCTCACGATCTACATTAATTTCAATACAGGTTAGCCAATATAATAAAGTAATACAATGATGAAGCTTTCGCCCAGGTTAGCATGTGGTAACTGTCAGCTGCACTATAGACTCAAATCCTTTTTATCCCAATGAATATTGCGCGTCAAATTACGCGTCAGTTAAAACATGCATAAATTAAACTCCAGTGCTAAATAATTATATCTGTGCAGTTTGTCAGCAATCCAAAGTCTTTTTTCAAAACATTATTGATTACTTTGCACACAATTGGAACAAATGTTGATATTGTAGAAGTTGACATTCTGAATGAGTAAGAAAGATCTTTATATGATGCTCCAGTTGCAAGAAATCGCAGAGTTACACATAGTTTCTCAAATGGTGAAATAGCATCCCTCATGTTGGTATTCTTTTTCAAAAGAAAAACATTGACCTGATCATACAATTCATCAAACAATGTCGGTTCCATTCTAAAGAAATACACAAATGATAAAATAAAATGGTGTCTACGGTATTAAATAAAAACAAAGTGTGCTCACCTTAAAAAGTTTCCAAAACTTGCGATATCTGTGCGTCTTAACTCTGGAATCAAATTGAATGCAATACCTTGTGATTCTCTTCGTTCTTGTGTGGCCCATGGTCGCACCCACCATCTACGTTTTCGCATTTTTTTACCTTTACGTATTATCTTCATTAAAATAAAAACAGCCAAACTAATACATAAACGTTTCTTTTTCTTTAAAGTCTTGTAACGAGTCATCTTGCGATTGTCAAAAGTTGATATTTGTAGGACGTAATATCTCGATAAGATAAAGTAGCGACGTATTTTCCTTTTCTGCTAACCAAATGTATCGAAGGCAATCTAGTGACAGTGCAATGTAACCAAAAATTTGATAGCCGTTCACATGAACTTATGCATTTGTCATATATCATTTGTCAAAGAAAATTTCCCCGTGTGAACGGGGCTTTAACGTGGAAAGACTTTTCTGCGGGAGATATAAGGCGTTATTTTGGTCGGTGTGACAAAAAATATAACTGTGGCAAAAGAGAGTAAACAATTTTGAACTAAAGTAAACAATATTGAAGAAAAATAAGAAAATTTATGCTTAAGTCCGAATTGTGGCTCTTCAGACACACTCAACAATTCAATTTCTCAAATATTTCACCAGTTTTTAAAATTTTCTTTTTCTCACCCGAAGTGGAAACTATTTTTGCTCTAAACATCTTTTATTTTATTTTCATTCATTCATAATTTTCAAAATGTAATGCTGCAACATGTTTAGGGGTAGAGCATTTTCATCAATTACCCAGCTCCCACAGTTTTATCATTTTTCATATCTTCAGAAATTGAATTCTTCATAGTGAGCAAACACATATAATTACCCAATAGGACTAAATGATCGAGCAGGCTTTGCTATTCACATCATCAATAGTGGTTTTAGCCAGTTGTAATAAAATCATGCTAACACATCCAATCTTTCAAATGTTGTTTCAACTGTTGACTTGTTTATGTAAATGATTGTGGCAAACCCATATAGACCAACAGTGGCAGCTCTCTTGTCTTCTGGTAATTTTAAACAAAAGAATACTATCTGTTGATAAAACTCATCTTAAGATTAAAAAGAATATACAAACATAAAAAAAACATGATTGGCAACAATGGAGAACTACGACATTGCTGATCAATCCTGTGGATAGGATGAAAAAGTTGCGATAAAGTTGAAAAGCATTTCTTTTACTATGAACTATCTAAAATACTATTTTCTGCATAATGAATAATATGAGAAGGATTTACAATACATCCAAAATTAGTTACACTATTAAATAAATAGACTTTGAATTCTGAACATTTTACAAATTATTGACATTGGAATCTTTGAAAAATCATACAATATGGTTCTGTACACACACATTCTTAAAATTACGACTGTCAAAAGCATTTTAATAAAACACAAAACAAATGACACTCAGTAAAAAGTTAACACTATTTATTCTATTTCCACAAGTATTACAAGTCATAAATCATTAAAATAAATGTTTACCTCAATGGAATGTCAACTGTTTTGTGTTTTACTAATATAAAGTCTTATTTTACAACCTTTATGGCTTTCAAAAGTTGCCTGCTCTATTCTTGTAACCAAAGCTATTGTCCAGAATATGAATTGCATGCTTGTTCATTCAGGATAACTGTACACAAATTCAAACAGACAAGATGCTGAACATTCATGAGACGAAAAGTCAATTCATCTTCCCATTTGGAAAAAAGGAAATTTGGAACAGTGCCCGCCTTTGATTCTGTTAGTCAATTACTCAGAAATACACTACAAATATGAATACAAAATTTCTGTTTAACAACAAACAGAAAAAGGCTATGTACTCCTGCCTTCTCTTCCTGCAAAATTCAACATTTGCAATTCGCTCAGCCCTTGTAGTGCCACCTTTATGTGTGCCTTGATTTTGCTTGAATCTTTGGAAAGCATCTCTGCTTGCTTAGTCAAGTATTCCACTTTTTGGTCTATGAAATTCTCAGCCTCATTAAGAGTAAACTCGACGTAAAATCCGTAACCTACAGCAACTAATATCAATTTGGTATCCTTGACCTCGGCTTGACAATAAAAGTTGCATCCCAAGTCGACTTGCGTTTTCATTTTTCCTCCATCAAAAAATTTAATTTTCTCGATGGTAGTCTTCAGTTGTAAATAATCAGCAATATTGGAATACAGTTTGTCCCTTAATTCGTGGACCTTTCGCAAATCTGCTTTAAGACAATCATTAATAAACTCTTCGTATTTCCTTACCTTGTCGGACACGTTGAATTCGAAATCCAGGTCACCATCGCATTTTAAATCCTCAGTTTTTGCCGCCATCACAGAAGAGCTTATGGTGGTAAATATGAATAATAATTCGTAAATCTTTAAATGCTTCTAAGCTATTGTATTACTCGTGCATTTCGGTCGGAAAGCAAATATACGAAACAAAAAATGAACTCAGTTCAATCCTGGTTCAATCGCAAAATCTAAAATTATTTCCCATATTGAGAAGAGATGAAATCATGAAATCGTGTCGCGGTGCATTTTGGACAGGATTTAAAATGCCTGAGAAAGAAGCGCGGAGCGTAGACATGCGCACTCGGCTGTGGCCGATGTCCGCCAAAATGGCGTAAATTTTTAGCATGAAAGAAAACAGAAAAGAAAGCTATTTCATCGGGTAAATCGGAGAATATTTTCACGAAATCGTAGTTAAAAAGCTTTGCGATAGTATGGCTGGATTTGACGAAGCCGGGCTCACTGGTTCCAAGTATATACGCGAGAGCTTGGCTAACTGTAGTGATGAGCCCACATTGGCTATATTTTTAGAATCTTTTCAGCAAGATAACAGCATTCTGTTGCCTTCCTTACAACAAGCTCTTCCACTATTGGACCTTCACAACATTCCTAGATACGAGTTCCATCATACGGTCATGGAGAATCTTCGCGAGAAACTACAGTCTAGATTTGAAGTTATCGGAAACGAAAAACTGTTGTTGTTATTGGAACAGGCCTTTTCTTTCATAAAAGTTCCTTCGTTGAGACCAGTCGTCATGGATATGCTGAGGAGAGTCACAACTGTACCGCCTAAGTTCATCGATGCGCTTGCAAAAGATCCCGAATTGTACAATGATTGTTCAATGGAGGTGAAAAGACAAATCTGGATTCAGCATCAACCGTTATTTGGGGATGCAGTTGGTCCCTTACTAAATGAATACTTGAAAGACAAAAACAGTGTAATATTTGATACAGAAGACTTTGCATGTCATGATTTTTTGACTATACAACCGAAGGTTCGACGACAACACACTGTTGTTCAACGACTATCGGTAATGATAGGGAAATCCTTACAACTTTATAACTTAGCATTACAGTTTCTTCGAACTCTGTTTCTCCGAACAAAGGAGGCTCACTACTGCACTCTGCGAGCCGAACTTCTTATGGCTATCCACGATTTGGATGTGAAAGAGATCAAGGATGTTGATCCATGTCACAAGTTTATATGGAGTTTGGATGCCTGTGTGAGAAGGCAATTGATTGACTCGAGCAAGATTAAAGACTTGCGAGGTTACATGAAGGCAGCCAAGACAATTGATGAACAAGTGTTAGGGTAAGTGTGCCATAAAAATACACATTATTTATAACAACCATGTCTTTAGAAGACCTCTTGTTAACTTTTTTGAGTCTCTGACAATGTTGCATTCTGAGGGAAGGCAAGTGTGCAAACATGCTTTTAATTTGCCAAAATTTTGTGTTGTAGTGATATAGCCATGGTTCTTTGTGATCCTTTTGCTATCAATGTTGTTGGTAAAAGTATCATCAAAGTACTACATCATCTTACAACCAATGAAGCTTTGCCTAGGGTAAGTTCATCTTAAGTTTATCTTAACACACTCTCTGTCTTTCAAACTGCAAAATTTTCAATTAAAAAGCTCGGTAATATAAAGTTGCCCTTCATTTAGAAATGTATTTTTGCATTTAGACTAGTCAAGATTTGACTTTTCTTTTGAGCCTCCTACATTTGGGTTTAGGAGCATGGAGAATGATCGAGAGTCAGGTTTTCAAAGAAAATTTCCTGGTATGTCATCAATGATCCTGCTTACAATGTATCAGCATTTCTTTTCTTTTTGGAATTTTCAAATGATTTTTTCATTTAGAGTAATGATCTTGTTGTAAGGTTTATACCTGTTGTCATGGCATTGACGGTTGAAGATTCAGTTCACTCCATTGAACAAAAACTTCCAAACAAAAATGACACAAATTTCGAAATCCATCACTCATTTGAGCAATCGCTGTCCGAGTACAGTATATGCTTCACAATTGCATTTTATCTTGCTTTGCACATGGCAAAACATAAAAATCAGTATGTAATAGTTTGATTTACTATAGTATTTAGCAATACACTATGATCCAGTATGATGTACTATATTTTACAATACTTCACACTGATCATAATGTTTGTCAGTATAATGAAAACTGAAGGTAATCTTTCTTAATGAAACAAGTTAAAAAAAAATTTAACCATCGACTTGTTTTTCATTTCACTTTAGACATGCACTTAGATTTCTCTTACCTCCAATTGCTTCGTCATATGGTAATCACATCTTTCATGATGCTCATCTCCACTCCTTGGTCACCGTATGGGCTTCTTCTCCAGATGAATTTGCCAACATGAAGTTCTGTGACATGGTTTTTGACCACTTTCTTCTTGCAATCTTAAGTGAAGGGGCTGCTCTCAATCAAACTCTGCGACTTCTGAATTTTGTATACTTAAAAATGGAGTATAACAAAGTTGTGGCAATATTGACTGCTACCCAACCTTCACATGAGGTTTGTGTTTGTTCATTAACTACCCCACCTACAAAATCCATAACAATAGTCTACGCCAATATTGCTGAGTTTGATTTAAGTGTTATTTATGCATATAGCAATCATGCTCTTTACACTATACCAGATTGCTATTGGAACAGATTATTTTTTTACGTACTAGAAAGGCATTAGTAACATTTGAAGGCAGAAACAGAAATAGACTATATCTATCATATTAATAAGAGTTTGGTTCTAATTGTCAGTGATTAAAAAACCCCAAAGATCTCTTGAGAAATATGGTATAGTGTAAATGCTGCCTCAGAAAAGAGCATAAAACATTTTTTTGCTCAAGTTCAATTTTCTTGATTTGATGTAATATTTTTAGAATTCTGAGGAGATTCACAGACTTCACAAGTCAATTGTCGATAAATTGGCAGGAACCAATTCTGGATCACAGAGCTGGTCGTCACTTGAACAGCCTATGTCAGCTTCTTCATCAGGAAATTCGGCAGCGTCATCGCCATTAAACTATCTTCCGCCATCGTCCGTATAATTAACATTTTGAAGCAATGAAACTTAATCATAAAATAAATGCAACAAAACTTACATTTTGCTTTCAATGTAAAATATTTTACTGTAAAACGTATTATGAAGTAAATTATATTTGGCCTTATATTTCATAACGTTGACCAAAGATAAGGTACATAAGGGTAGACTATAGAGTAGATGTGGATCTAGGACTACGACTAATGGTGTTAGTGTTCACTGAAGTTCTCTACACTTTAAGCAGTAGTCATCTTCGAAGGTCGAAACGTCAGTCTACACTAACACCCTTATACAGGATTCAACGAACCTGGACGACCCACATCTACAAATATGTAACGATACGCCCGAGTTCAAACCATGTGCTTTTTGAAGCTACCTTAAAAGTTCCAAGAATACTGACCTTCGTCCTGTTATTGCATCCATATTTGTTTGCCATTTAATGTCTAAAAACTCTTCCGTTACCTTGCCTTGGCTAAGCCTGGGTTAATTCAAAATTCTGAAAGCGAAAGATTTTAAAACTCTGACCCATGCAGAGCGTTTGTCGTGTCTTTAACAACCGACTTGTGAACGGCACTTAACACCGTATCAATAGTTTAAAAACCCTTTTTCAACTAAACGTCATGACGTATATCGAATCGCTAAATCGTGTGGGAACTGGCTACAGTCCACCATAGTCGGTAATAATATTCGGTTGAAATTAAATTGGAAGCAAATAAATGATCGACACAATCGATTATCAGATGGAAATGACAATGCCATTAAACGAAATCTGACGAAATCTAAAACGCAAGCTTTGCCAATAACCATTATCTGATCATGTATCAATGATTTCATTCAACGAAATAATTCACTTCGAACCTTCAAGTGTCTTAATTGTTCATGGAAATTGTCGAATAAGAGAAAAACATGCCTCAGCAAAAACTGTCGTAGTCTAGATTGACCATTTAGTATTACAAATGACACATTTATGTGATTTTACAAATAATTTCTCTAGAAAAATAATTTTACTTTATTCCGTCTATTTAAAAATCTGTTTGTACAGCAGTTCTCGTACCTGAAGACGAAGATATCTTGTCTCCGTATTGATTGCTTGTGTCCAAATGAAGCGACTTCAAATCACTGTGTAAATAACCATTTTGTTCGGCAATATATGGACTTGTCTTAGCGCTACCATTTGTGGAATTGTCGTTTAAATCGCCCCAACCGTTTCTTTCCTTCACATGGATTTGAGATCTACCAAAATTTTCTGAAAAGTGTTCTTCTTCAGAAGACTCCGAGTTGGAATCATCGTGTCCAATTCCGGGTGCACATCGTCCTCGTCGTCAAAAGTTTTCCATTTTGTCTCGGTAAAGTTGAGCTATAGTTATTCATATCCTCCAAAGTGACTGAGGGTAAAGGCTTAGATGCAAGGGGATCAAAGTGTCGATCACACTACTCGGTGGTGCAATTATCATTGAGTTCCCAGCAATCCCCTGATGTTCAGGACTGCTACCAATACCATAGCGAGTTGAGTGGTCGACGTTGTTATATTGAAAGGGAGGTGAAAACAGGGAGGGACCCCCGGGGTTAAGAAGGGTTTCCGGTTGCTTTGGTGAGTTAAATGCAGCTGTTAGACCATCATCGCCCGGATTGACTTTTTGTAATCTGTTTGCCAACGTTTGTATAGTTTGTAAGAGTTCGCGATTTTTCTGCAACAAGCACTTTTCTCTCTCCTACGGGTAAATGCAAGCATAGAGAAGATGATCAGATAATCAGATTCTTCGAAACACTAACAAACAACAGTCATCTTTACTGCAGACGTGCATGTCTAAGAATAAACCATTTTCAGATGATGACTCATATTTCACAACAATACGTTGACGGGTACATCGATGTTTGTATTTAAAATGAATTTTTTTTATGCGGCAAAAATTTTACAAGATAAACCGTTACGTAAAAATTGGCCGTAATGTCATTGAAGTTCACCGATAAAGTATTTTATTTAAAAGAATCATTAAATCAATCATCAATACATGTTAGAGGAAAAATTAAACATACGTTCCGCAATATTGTAAACTTAAAAAAAGATGTTAAATAAAAGATGTTTTTCGTGTTGCACAGGCTTATCCAAACCGAGATGTTCGAGAACACTGAAGATCATAGCAGACCCTTAATTGACTGAGCTCATATTGGTTTCCCATTTGATTTCCACAAGCAAATGCAAACTCCTGTGAGAAAACTCAGCTACAGACCAATCAAAGCACGCGTTATATTGTAGAAATATACAAAATGCATTGCTCCATAGAAGTTAATCGTACCTGAGACTGCACACGCGCATTCCTCTCAAGTATCAGTTGATCTTTGAGCAGCTGACTTTCACTTTTGTATCTTTCGACTTCTTGCATGTAATGCTGCACCTGCTGATTGAATAGCACTCTTATCTGTTCCGCTGTCAACTGTGAAAGATTGTTGTCGGCATAAACTGATGGTCGAAGATCGCCGACCAATAGCATATCTTTGTCTTGCTGCAATGAAATAAAATTACTACATGAGTAAGTTGAGAATGGCAGATGCGAATCCTGCCAAGAAAAGAATATCCTTGTGATTTGTTGTTCACAAGTGAGTATTACATCTGATTTATTAACATTTCAGGGGGGTCATATAAATAATTTGAGCATGACAGATGTAAATCCTGCCAAGTAAAGTGTATTATTGTGATTTGCAGTTCACGAGTGCATATTTCACCTGATTTATCAACATTTCCAGGGGTGTCAAACGATTGAGTAATATACAACTTACTTTTTCTTTCTGTTCATCCTCAACAGCCTTCAGATCCAAGTTAACATCGTCAATATCTGTTCCTTCGTCAGCCAAAATATTCTCATCCACAACTGCAACACAAATATTATCCATTGTAAAAAACACCCTTTAAAGTCTCTCATTAAGCTTCGATTTATCAAATAGACTGAATTGTGTAAGCGACCTTTTTTAACTGGAGCATCTTTCTTTTCTTCAGCAGATTCTTGCTGTAGACGATGACATACTTCGAAAGCTTGACCGATTGTCCGAACGACGAACAACGCTCTAGACTATACAAAAAACAAAGATGACTGCATGTGAGAATAAAAAAAACAGAAAAAAAATCAAAATGAGAAACTCTTCCCATTTAAACGCTAGACGAAACACCACAACTTCATCATTTTATAATTAGATAGATGCACAAATCCTATCCTCCCTCACGCAAGCCTGGCAATTTGGGGGGCCCTTTATACTGCACTTACCAATACTATAGAGCATAAAATACGTCATTTTGTACTGTTCACCAGCTAAAAGTTTGTCTCATACTGGTCCTAATCTATTGGTAATTTTCGTTCAAGTATAACTGAATCCGAACGAACAACTCCACTGGTAAACCAATATCAATATATCGAAAAAAATATTGATATTTTTTTCGATATTTATAGTGTTGCTTCTAATGACTCGTAGCTAGATCAAATTGAAACTCAGCCATCAATTGCCGCGCACATGTGATTGGGTGAAGATTGTCTAATACTAGCACTTCCAAATGTCTCTCGTCGTTACAACGAGAGTCATTTTTAACACTACGATTTGGATATAACGTGGATAATCAAGACAGGAGTCTAACTTTCCATTGAAAATAAAAACTAACACAATTTGAAACGTAATACACGTAATCACGTCAGTGAACTAGACCCAGTAACAGTACCTCACGGTCAAAAACGAAAAAAGCCAGCTTTGAGGCCGAAAAAGACAAGGAAGATCAAATTTTCGTCTTATAAAATATATTAGGGACCTTACGATGCGACAACGGCAACTGCGACGGCACCGGAGTTTGATCCCTTTTTTTAACTGAGCATGCGCACGCACCATCTGTACGTTGTTTACACGTTTTGAAAAGACGGAACCGACGTGAAAACAACAACTTTGGCGTCGCTTCAGAACGGCAGAGAAAAAAAATCAAAAATCTTGCAAAAATCATTCGATTGTCAAATGGCGAGGTGAGTTTTGTTATCTTTGGCTTAATATATGTAAATGAGGTTATGGTTGACTCAGCCTTTATGCTTAAATGGCTACTTATGGCTTAAAATGCTTACATATTTTTCTGAATATCTCTTTGTAGCACTACTGTTGCTTCACGTGCATCTATGAAATGGTCCTCAAGCCATGATATAGCTTTATCACGAGAAATCTTGCTATTTAGACCATGGATTCACAGAAGAGGATCAACTGAAAGAGGCCAAATTTGGGAAAACATTGCTAAATCGCTCAATGCTTTGGAAATGCCAAAATTCCATGTATCTCAGAGATCTGTTCGCGATCGATATCAACTGCTCGAAAAGAAATACAAAAGAAAACAATTAGAAGAAGAAAGAGCCAGTGGTATTTCACCCGAAGAGAGTGAACTTGACGAGGCTATGGAGGACATCATAGCTCAGTTTGAGGAAGCTGATCATTTAAATGAACAACTCACGTTCGAGAAAAAACAGAGAGCTCAGGCAGAAGTTGAAAAGGCTGTAGAAATGCGTCGCTGCTCAATGGAAACGTTCAAAGAAACGAAAAAGAGGAATGGCAAGGAAGAAAATAACGAGCCATCTGCTAAAAAGAAGAAAAGGACCAGTGGATCGGATGTCATGCGATACCTGCGAGAAAAAGGCGAAATTGATATAAAAATGAAAGCTGATGAAGTCGAGCTGAGAACAACGGAAAGTGAACGACATTACGAACTTATGCAGGAAGAACTACGCATTAGAAGGCTTGAAGCTGAACGCCAAAAAAGAGCAGAATGAGCAACAAGTTATGCAGTTAACTAATTCCCAAATGATGCAACAACAACAGATGAAACAGCTATTTGAAGTGACTCAAGGTATGATGTTACAGCAGCAGCAGCAAAGTGCTTCTTTGTAGCTATATTTGAAAAGTTTGCAACAAAATTCAACTAAAACCGTAACAATCATTGTTTTTATTTGATTTTTGTTTGCATATCATTGTTCTGTTGAAAGACAGTGTTTATAAGACATTTAATATTTCTAAACATAAACATAAATAAGAATAATGAAGGATTAGGACTAATTTTTGGTCTAACTTACATTGTTATTTGTATTGTTTGTATTAAATATTGTTGTTTTAGTTATTGTTTTGGTCTATTCATTCTGTACTCTGTTAAAACATGTCAAACGTTTATGTAAACATTGCAGCACAATACAGCATTTATAATACCTCTTTTCATTCATTGTCAAAAAAATATTCATCTAAAGCAGGTGGATCAAGCTGAAAATAAGTGGAGGTTGTTGACTGATATAGGCAAGTGCGTGCATTATGAATTAAGGCAGAACAAACATACATTTTCCCCACTGCACTCAAGTGAACTTTAAGATTTTTCTTAAAGTCTACAAATTTAAAATAGTTAACAACATCACCAAACACCCACTCTACTGCCACCCTGACAGAGCTCATAGATTTGTTCCATGCAAGTTGGTCTGCTGTTAGCCCAGCCCCTTTGTATGGAGCTTGGAGATGTGGTCTAAGAGGGTAAACTGGATCCCCATACACACAAAGTATATCTCCTTCAGGATTCATTGAGTATTGCTGCATTTGATTCAAGATACCAGACATTGCCAGCATGGCACTGTCATGTCGTTTTCCTTCGACTGGGCCATACAAATTAGCAATTAGTCCATTAGGGGCTGCTATAGACTGAAACTTTATGGCGTGTACTCGTTTATGACCGTTGTAAAGTACACGTTGATTTTTTTCTGGTCTAGTCACAGGTCTGACTGTACCATCTATGAACCCCCAGCAGTTTGCCAATGGAGCACCTTGGCTGTGTACTGCATCAGCAAATATTTGTAAATTGGAGGGAGAAAGCCAGGGTTGATTTAAAGAAGACAACAAATGTCTCCATCGCTCATATGTGAAGTTGATAACTTCGTTTGTTATCATGCATAGCTGTGGAATGGGTCTTCCAAATGTTGGCACCAGATCTGCAAAGCGGCAAGGATAAGCAAAGCTCATCAAAAATATACAAAGCGCCTCAATGCCGTCGACTTGAACACCATTATAACAAGTTACCTCTAGAGGTAGCTGCATTACGTCGCGTAGGTGGTATATATCGTTGCGATAAAATCGAAAATTGTTTTGCACTCATCGTCAGAAAACTTGTGAATGGAAAACTTGTCGTACTTTCTGTAACACATATTCGGGTTTTTTGGTTTATATATTTCGTATAGCAACATGCAGTCATCTACACCAAGAAAACCATCACCATGAGAAAGTAACAGAGCGTCTCTGATGCACGGCATCATGGAAAATATATAAATATGGAAGCTAGCTGTTTAGCGAAAAACTTTTTATCAACATAAAGATTTCCCGCGCTTTTTACGAACGTCGCCTTATCGTAAGGACAAATTAGCTACAACGAGAACGGCAACGGCAACTAGTCGATCCAGTCCCTTCAGAGTAGATTGAGGTTGCCGTCGCAGTTGCCGTTGTCGCATCGTAAGGTCCCTATTGCAAATGTTCCTAAAACGGTCAACTCTATCCAAATAGATAATTTCGCTAAGGTTGATAAAGGCACTTTAAATAAGAAAATCTTGACATTGATAACTTACTTTCTTATAAGCTTTGAACACACTGCATCGGAAGAGGTTATCAAAGTTGTCTTTCGTGATGTAGCTGAATATTTTTAGATCCATGGAGTCATGGGAAACATAAAAGATCCTACAGAAAAAAAGTAAACATCGTCGGGAAATCGTTGAAACTTTTATTCATAATTTATAACTTTTCTTAAGCGCCATTTTACCAATAATTAACAGCACAACTTTAACTAAAGCAGAAAAGTTTACAAACCTTCCAATTGCATGCTCATGTAGGATAACAGGTTCATCGTCAAGAAGGTATTCTTTTCGCTGAAACATAAACGTCACATTACTTTTCAATTGATCGTGAAGTAAAAAGCAAAGAATGATTAAACTAGCTCACCAATCTTCGACGACGTTTACGTAACGTCACTTTGATTCCATCGACAGAAATCGTCAGAAAAATACGCCGTTTTTCGATGGCTTTAATCTTGAATTCGTACTAAATTCATCAGGAACAATGTTTTTTTTAACATGTACACATCGCCATCAAATGAGAGTCAATCTCGGCATAATTACACGTTATTTTGTAGCAAACATGTTTATTTCGACAATGATCAAAACCAACTTTCAACAATCACGTGAGTATCGTTCAACCAATAAAAACGGGTATTGAAAACTCACCCTAACTTTTCTCATTGCTGTAACTATTTCCGATCTACATGTTGGTCGCGTGATTTCCAGAGTACCAACGTACTATGAGAACAAGAACAAGTCAAATAAATAACATCCATTGTTCAAACTGAATCAATTAACAATGCAAAGCTTTCGTAGGTAACTAAAGGAAGTATTAGATCAAGGAAGAGAAAGAACATAACTTTACATGATAACTTCATCTTTAAATGGTTTTTGCTTTGTCCTTTCAAAGCATAGTTAAACATATTGAGCTCATCACACTGATAACACAGTTTCATAGAGCAAAAGCTTAATATTTCAACCCACAATCGCCCCAGTCCCCAATGGCATCTGCATTTGACTTCTTTGGGTTCAACTGGGTACAACTGGTGATCACACATCATTAACAAGCGAGCAACGGCGAAGCCAGCCCGCTCTTATCATGCAAATTTTCATAAGGGGTAAAATTCATTTCTTTGGAAAAATTAATTCCCTTAAACACAAATATACTTGCATTCTTGGAGTTGAAATCTGGCTGGCTTCGTTATTGCAAGCAAGTGGTTACGTATAAACTTCTCTAGGTAATTGCAAATTGACACGTGCCCAATTAGTTGAATAACGTCAAAACGAAAGGAACAATTGCATAAAGATATTACGACACAATTGCCGGAAAAACGACCGCAGATAAGACAAGCGATTGCAGTCACACGTTTTCCTTATACGTGCGACTTGCAAATGGTGTTCACAAACACCACGAACTCTTGAATAAGTGCTTAGATTATAACAAACTCCCATTTTTTAATGGATTATCGTTCCGTTAACTTAGATCGTTTTGAAATAGTGTCTTTACACCTAGATCATTCCTGGATGGTTATAAACTCTACAAGCACTAAGGACAAAAAACTTGAGAAATGTTTCAATCGAAGGGTTAAATATGCAAATATATGAGAAATTCGACGATAAATTTATCACGCGAAAGTTGCCATAACTATATTGATTTTATTAAAATTACAATACATCAAATTCCTGAGCAAGACTAGCCATACAAAGTGACAATATATCAAATTCCTATGCGAGAGTTAGCGCAAAACGATCACCGCAAATTTCTACTTCAAATGTAGAAATACAAATACATTATAATCAACAAGAACGACTCTTAAAACCACCATTCAAGAGCAATTAAGTCATTTCCTCAACAAGACGAAATTCAGCAATATCTAACATTTCAATGTAAACACAATTTTCATAAATCGATATTTTACTGACAGGCAACAAATACATGAACCCACTTACAATCACTTCATCAAATACATTGTACGCGGTTTACATAATTTTCGGCAAATTCAAACATAGCGTGAGCTTAACAGGGATTCAATTGTCAACAACATAATCATACCATCCAACATGAAAGTTGCGTGAACTGACCTTCGCTTTGAATGTAATACCAGCTTGAAATGCCTCTCGATCGAATATGGGAACCTTTGATAGGCCATCTTGTCGATCCTCGACCAGCCTGTAAGCCCATTTATTGAAATTCACGACATGCATCATCGCTCTTCTGAATGTAGCAATAAAATTCTTGCTTCTAAAAGTGTAACAGATAACCTTCTTACAACACTGCCCAACGCAAACTCCATCTACCAAACACGTATATAAGATGTAATTTGAGCGCATGGAGAATCGTTGCCGTGATTCGCCATAAATTCATTTGATACTCTTTTGCAAGAAGCCGTGAGTGTTTTATATTCGCACAAATGATCTGGCGCTCATTGGCTACTTTACGTAAATTTTTGTAGTTTCAAACACTAATTTACGTATAGGTTATCATAGGCAATATACATACTAATGTATTGAGCAACGTGGGATGTAACTAGTCGTTATTGAAGCAAAACAATCCGTAAAAATATTTGAAATTCTATACAAGTCTAAATTGAGAATTCTTGTCTAGATTATTGTTGACGAAATCAAAGACGCATGTCAAGGCATAGATAACAAATGAAACAAATCGTAAGAAACAAAGACTAGTTTACGTTATCAGAAAAATAATCGCTCAGATCTGGGTCACAAGTCTGGGTTTATTATAAAGTTACAACGACAAATAAGACGCCAACTTCTGATCGCTCTTCCCAATTTTCTTAGACAATATTAGAGCTACTGGTTGGGTGCATTAATAGATTGTAAAAAAATGAAATTAAAGTCACTCTCCTGGAAGCGTTTGGATTGAAAGAACTCCAGTTGAGACGTTCAACTTCGAGAAACCAATACAAGTTAGTATAAAACACAGTCCTAAGTCTAGCACATTGGTTTTATTGATCGTCTCAATCAAAACTTTTTAGAATTGGAGTAACTTAGAAATGGATATTATTTCACATGGAGAGTAATTATGATGCGTGGCTAACAAACCGCATATTAGAGTGATCCCTTCTTACTAATACTGTACAAAATTAGATTCAGTCTATATACAGCCATGGAATTAATAGTTTAAATCAAATAAACATTAATCAGACAATCTATCCATCACTAGGCAAACACTTTTTATCAATGCTATAAAAATTATTGTCTTTTCTATCTAAAATTATATTGTCTTTTAATGTAAAATTATATCCTTTTAGCTTTGAAAGGATGTAGTTGACTTCAGTTGAAATTGACGTGGGAAACTAAATAAATCTGCTCACGTCCATCCTATCAAGCCTTACGAACAAAAAAAATTACTTACGATAAGAACAGAATAAACATAGTGATAGGAACATTGCAGAAATGTAAATGCAATGTCATTACTAGAGCTCATGAATTCCAATTTTAACAAGGTAGGCAAGCAGTGTTGCTGCTAGTTGGGTTTTTTTGGGTGGGGGGAGAGTGTTGAGAAAAGGCCAATCCTACAAAACTTGATCTCACAAACCAGTTTGGATATTGCAGTCACTTGAAAAAATGAAGACTATACTTAAAAATATTGTTGGGCAATGTCACAGGAGGAGGAAAAGTTGTTCCCATAGCAAACACCAATGTAGTTAAGCAAGGGTAAATTTTGGCATATCTGGAAATGAATCAATCAAAATTTAGCAAAATTTTGCTCATTTAACTCTTGCTGCAAAGTCATTTTAAGACCAGACACATTTTGTCATATTAACTAAAACTTTGGATTTGTGAACTACAAAATTTTATGATTGAAGCTGGCAGTCTTCTACAGGCATCCTCACCATAGTGTTGACGAAAGTTAACTACGAGAGTGAAAGAGTTAATGTGCAAGGCGCACACCATTATTTCCAATAGTTTAGCAGTTTTATCATATCGCAACAACAGAGAACAAAAAAAATGAAAAATGCATACAAGAATAGTGTCACAGTACTGTTTACAAACATTTTGAAATCATGTCATTTTAGGCATATCCTACCTGATACTTGTGCACCAATCTTTTCACCATCATGTGAGTTGGTGTCCAAGTTAGCTAAAATGAACAAGACAAAATGAAGAATTTACAACATGATCAAAAAACACATGTGAATTATATGCATTGTACTAAAATAAATCAGACTCTTAGGAACTCACCTACCAAACACAAAAATAATTCTACTTCTTAAGGTCTGACAAAACGTTCCTTATTCATCTTAACAATTGCAGATCATGTCTAAATAAATTTCTGCATAAAGCCATTTTGACAATGGCTAATCTTTTCACTGTGAAATTTACCAATACCAAAATTACCAATCCAATCAACTGAAATCCTAATTTAAGCTTTCAGTACTGCAAATCAAATGTTAGATCATTTAACATATAAAAGATAAATTATATTATCAGCTATTTAACCATTACAGTTAAATTCAGTGTTCTGTTTCAAGTTATATGAATAGAGACATTGGACTTTTGATCACCCAACTGTTCTTAGTCTGAAAACAAATTATTGCAATATTTGCTCTACTGCAACATCTTGTGACTAGTTTACGACCAAATTTAACAATTTGTGCTTCTTGTTCTTACCAATCTAAAGTTTATAAAATTTTCAAACAAAGTTTAGTACTAACAGGAGATTTTTTTAAAATTAATCAGATGAACAGGCAAAATAGTTAGCGACAGAAAACCTGATTGGACTCTAAATTCTCCTATTTTGGTGGAAAGAGATGACAATATCTTGTCAACCAAACAAACAGGTTTGAAATGTTAACATAAAAGAACATTTCAATGATAAAGCAGCATAACTAAAAGATAATGAAATGACTCAGGAAGTCATTTGTAAATCAGGCATTTGTAGCCTAGATATCTATCACTTTTTATAAAATTTATCAACCTTAGAAGATTCCTCAAATGAGTTTAATAACCACGTTATATTACATGACCTTAAAATGAAACTATAATACTAAAAGCTTAAACAACTACAAGCAAAGTTTGATTTTATAGAGGTCCGCCCTTGCCAAGTACTAAATGAATCCAAATCTTGTAATGTCTGCTTCAATTTCTTAGACTTCAGCCTTAGCTAGGTGAAATGATCTCTTAAGTATTAAGCCAACAACGGCTCACTTAAACCTAAAGTATCAAAAATAAAACAGTTCTGTAAGAAACAATAGATTCAATGTTTAAAGTGATTCACATCAATAAAACTTGGTGAAACTTAATACCAGTTGACCTACAAAAACTAAGGCCAAACATACTTACTGTTCAAAATTGTTTTAATAAGGATTGCCTCGTCCACCTCTTCCTCTACTCCTGCCACCACGAGATGGTCCAAAACCAGAAGCCTGCTGGGCATATTGACCAAACATACCGCCACCATAGCCTCCTCCATAACCACCACCATAACCACCAAAACCAGAATCAAATCCAAATCCACCAGCATTGAATGCTCCACCATTGAAACCACCACCCCAGCCTCCGGCACCACCACCAAACTGTCCAGAGTTTCGACCACCTCCTCGGCCTCCACCACCACCAGAGCCACCTTTAGGTTCAGCTTTCTTTAATTCCACTTGCTTATTGGCAACTTGAAAGTGCTTAACGATTACAACTTTATCAGCATCGGCGTTGGAGTCCATGTCCAAGAAAGCAAATCCACGAGAAACCGGGGGGTCGATACCGTCTTCTTTCTTCGTTTTGATGATTTCGATTTTAGTCACTTTCGCATTCAAGCGCTCGCCGCATTCTAGAACATAACTTTCGATACCATCTTTGATGTCGTCTTCGGTAGCTTCCTTAGGCAATCCCCCAACGAAAACCTTGTTCGTTCGGCTGTGATTAACGGGCAATTTTTCGTCTCTTGGTATGGCATGTTTCACTTCGACTTCTTTGCCTCCAATGTTGTGAGGACCATTTGCCAGACAGCTATCGGTATCAGCCAGGCGGTTGTACGTAACAAAACCAAATCCCCGAGACTGTTGATCTTTGTCTTTGATGACAACGCAGTCGTCGAGCGCTTCGTCTTCCGTGAATTGAAGAAAGTAATTGCCGAGTTCCTCGTCCGTGATAGCACGCGGTAATCCGCCGATGAAGAGCTTGCAAAGTGCTTTTAGCTCCTTGTCTTCCACTTGTTCACCCATCTGCGTTGAAAAACAGAAAAGTTAGATATTAGAAACTAAAACGGTACAAAAAACTTCATGATGACCAACCGTTCTAAAGAGAAAATTTGAACAAAAACGCGTATGCCAATACAGAAGTTAAAAGCACTGTGCACAAATAACGTTGAGCCGAGCGAAACGTGTTCCCACCTGTGTTGTTAACTTACTTTTGATTGGTTAATTCTGGCGTGAAACGCCCGTGATTGGATAAACTCGCAGGAGAAAACGCTTCATTTATTTTACTAGTCATGTACCCAGCTTGATACTCAACTGACTTGAACAGCAGACATCTTACCATAATATTAAGTTCAACAAAACACAACTTTTACTTGGTAAAACTTATTACTAAATTGCAAAACGTTGTGTATTCATTCCGCATTAAATATGAACAGAGTTTCATTTATAACTACGCAGTAATTCAATGACAATGGTTCAAAGAAATGTTGTCAGTTGTGAATTGCCAATCTTCATTATATTAACTAGAAATGGCTAACATAACGACAAAACATATTTATTAACGGAATTCGTACTTTCTAAATAAGAAAGTGAGTTCTTCTCAGAGCCTTGTTTGGAAAGTAGGAAGCAGAGTAATTGGTTTGTTTTGGCAAAAAATTCTTTATGAAAGGTGTTTGGCAATTGTCCAAGAATGACACATCATCATAAAATATAATTATGGAATTTCAATTTTTTCTTAAATTAAATGGTATTTTTCCCTAATGTCATTGGTCTTTAACTTTGCTCTTATCAACACTAAACTGATAGCAAGTAACATTAAACTGATAGAACAAGTATATGAAAGTACAATCATCAACTTCCTAGAATCGCAATGATTGAATGTCCAAAGTCCAACAAATCCTCAATCAGTTTCAGCATAAAACTTGGCCTACAGGCTATGGTCCTATTTCCTTAATGTTCAACCAAGATTGCTAAGGATCTAAAGCATCAAAAAAGGAAAATATTTAGATTTTACTCCCACAAAAATCATTAGTCTTGTGGCAATATTTCTGTCAGACTAAAAAATTTACAAGTCTTAAGTTTACAACATTGTTTGCACAGGACAAAATATGTAACCAACACTGAACTGGTCATGGCATTTTCACAAGTTTAAAGATGCAGTCTACATTTCTTGAAGAGAACATTTCAAAACTTGAACTTGTCTTTTTGATTATATATTATAACAGACCTCTTTTTCTTAATTAATTTGATATGTAGATGATTGGGAAATGATGGTAAAAAGTTTTCAAAATGTTCATCTTCGAGAAATTGTCTGCAAGACAAGCATGCAGGTTCCTTTTCCTTTGATTTCATCTATTTTGTACCAGCAAATGTCACTATCGAAAAAATTCTATTGGTTGAATACTTATAAGGCACAAGAACAGTGTTAAACTTACATGTTAAAGCGTGAAGCCTGAAACTTTTTGTTCATAATGACAGAAAGAAATATGTTGTAAATCCATATCAACTTCTGAGGAAAATGTTATGCCTTTATGGCATAGACAACACCCATAAGTCCAACCAACTGCATTTTTAACAACCTGACTGATTTCCAAGCAAACTCTTTCTCTGACAGCACCATTTTAAAATTTCAATGATAGTGTTTACTTCAAGTCCACACATTTGCCAATATTTTACAATCAAATCTTTCTCATCTCAGAAGCCATGTCAGGAAAAGCTAACCCAAGTCAGATGAGTGAGCAGTTTCTTTGCCCTACAATGTTCTTAGATTTGTCAGCACAATATTGAACTTTGAAGCTCACATTAATGGCAAAGTGAATTTCAACCGCACTTTTAACATTTAAAACTATTATATGGGCAAGCCTATAACAACGACATCTTTGGTTTGACTTTATTATTACAAACGACATCTTCGACTTCGAGTCTGCTGTCTGCAATGGCTATTTCACAAATAAAGTTTGTGCTACTGCTTCCATAGCGCTCTCCGTACAAGAAAGAGTAGAAAAACGGCACTTGACTGTCTTGAGTGTGCAGCACATTAGTGAGCTCAGAAAACTCACATCTTCCATAAAACAAGATAAAGTGTTGCAGAATCCGACAAGGCAAGCCCGACATTCACATCAATAATGAATAAAATCAAGTTATCTGATCAATCACTGAATCACATTACATACAGGTTAAATTCCTATCACGTGATTGTCTTAACGATTTTAATTGGTCCATCAAGTAGATGTCACATTCCCTGGTTTATTCCTGTTTCATTTATTTCCGATTCCGAACATCGTTGAAATGATCAATGGAAGTGTATCGCAAAAGGTTTAGTTAATTGCTGTTTTATGTCACCTCGCAGTCTCATTTAACACTTTTCGCATGTGCTTTATTTTAACGCAACTATCGTTAATCTGTATGTTCAGAATTGACAAGTTCCAAGCTATCTGTTTTGGAGAAAAAGACATTGACTTCGAGCAGTTTCGTTTCCTTTGCTTCCACGGTATGTAGACTTTATTGAATGAAAAATGTTGTTCATATGGGCAGCCATGAATTGTGCTGGAATGTTTAGTTTAATTTCCACCCTATAAAAATTTGCGAAAAGTGTAAACTTGATAATCACAACACAACATTAGAATTGAAGTTCATTCGTGGTTATCCAAAAGTTGGACAATAATAGCACACCTAAAACTTTACATTCCAATATTCTGTAGTTGTATTGTACTTTGAACAGTTCGCATTCTTTCATGCCCCCAAATAACCTATTATATCCCTTTGTAAACAATGTTGCAACAATGTATCACTTCAATGCCATGATTGACAATATGAAGATTATAAATTCAAAGGCTTATTGTTGATATAGAAGAGTAATTGAGCCCAGTTTTATTCCCATGCAGGTATTTCTGACGAAAAAGGAGTGCGTTCGCTTTGTTGGAAAGTATGGAATTATTTCCTGACTGTGGATTTTATAATTATGTGACAAGCACAGGCATGGACAGTTGGCATGATTTAGTCTTGTTATTTAAGTTTCAGTTCATTATCATGATTTATTCATTTAGAAATCAAATATTTTAATCCAATGTTTTTGCAATAAGTGAACCTAGATAGCTGAAGTGGCATAGCAAGCCCGCAAGTTTGTTCATGCTATGTAATATTTTGGAGTCCACTCTATGTAAAACAAATTAATTTCTAAAGAAATAGATAATGCAAATGATGAAAAATTTACATAGCATGAACAAACTTGCAGGTTGGCTACGCTATTAGATAGCAGGAGCAAACGGGGCAGGTAGGCTATGCCACTGGCAATGGGAAAGGATTTTTCCTATTCATTAAGGAATAAGACATTATGTTATAATTACCTTCTTTTCTTAGGTCTTGTTAAATTATTTGCCTACAGAGAAAAGTAAATGGTCTGCATTCCTTCAAAAACAAAGGTATTCACCTTTGAATGGTGCGAAATGAGTCTTAAGATTGACATCTTGCAAACAGTGTAAAAGCTGCTAACAAAACAAAGCAATTAATTTGCATCATTTAGAAACAACTATGAACAATATGTGAACGAATTTATTGTTGAACCATTTAAAGGAAAAGACATTAGCAAGGCAGATGACGTCATTGATCACGTGAGTATATAAAACAACACCCTTAGACACATAAAGCTTGTATCACCCCCTCCCTTCTAGAAATTTTTTTCAAGTAATGAAGTTGACTCAATTTTTTTCAAAAATTGGATTTGGCAAATGGTGTTTCCGTGTTATTTTCCGTGTAAGTGTAACTGCCTAAAAACAGAGCTGAAAGTTTTATTTTTTAGCCACTAAATCCAAATCCCTCAAGTTACTGGAGTGTATATTTTAAAGAAAATGAAATTTTATTTCAAATAGACAAAGATTGCAGGTACAAATCGTCCATTAAACTTCGCTTTCAAAACACGTGACAAATTCATTGATTATTTAACGATAGGAGACTCCTTCCAGATATATCTTTTTTTCAAATTCCTACTGAATATCCAAAGAAAGAGTTGATAGGTAGAGTGAGTATATTATACTTGATTTCTTTCGAAGTAAACAAAGTCAAACTATTTGTGTTGGCAAGTAGCGCGCGTCATTTTAAAAACTTTTCTTTCAGCTACTTTACTTAATAAGCACGCGTTTTTTCCGCTCTTGATCAGCGGCAAAAACCAAACTCGATTTAATTGAACGACGTGAAAATGCCTCCAAACCACAAACATCCAGTAAAGACGGGCGCAACGTTCTTTCAAACTTGATGACGAAGTCGTACCAATCATACTTATGTATTACAGGCGATGACAAAGATTTTCCAACATTACGTAAAAGAGTCCAGACGACCTATTTAGAAGCAAACCATGTCAAAACGAACCGAATGGGAATAAAAATGTACAGTTTCAAGATTTTAAACTCTTCATCATTGTCCAAGATCTTGTTGTTACTTTTTTCGTTTATAGATAAGCGTGGCAAAACGTCGTCAAAATGATGAATATGCAATTCTTCTGGATGAAGATCAAGAAGCACATTGGGAAGTAAGAAGCGATTATGTACATATTTAAAACCAAATTCACACTACAAGGTTTAGCTATGATTTTCCTTGAGGCAAAATTGATAGTTTAGTTTGAAAATTTTTTGAAAGGATTGTCGTTAAAGATCGCCTTTTAAATATTATTGCAGGTCGTTGAAAGAATTTTGTTCATTTACGCAAAACTCAACCCAGGAACGTCTTATGTTCAGGTTATTTCTTTGACATGGAATTTAAGAGTCGATAATTGGGGATAGAAGGGGATCATATTCATAAATACATGCTATAAACGGTTGAAAACAATGAATTTCAGTGAAATTAATTCTGCATATCACGCATATATGAATTTCAGCCCCCTCAATTATCGATTTTCCTACGTCCATGGTATTTGGAATTGAGATATTTTCCTCTTAAAAGCTCCACACTCCCTATCCTACTTTCAACCTACTCCACCCCATTCCCCACCCTCATCCTACTCCCCCCACTCTCACCCTAATTTTTCTAAAAATTGTAATTGGTCAACTCTACAGGGAATGAACGAAATAATTGGACCTTTATACTATATCTTCGCGTCTGACCCCGACGACAAATGGCGAGGTAAAGTCAAAGTACAAGCTACGTTACACGTTGCAAAATTTTCTTTCAACCTTCATAGCAAAAAACTTCCAGCTGCACTTATGAAGGTCGATTACAACGTGCTGACGACACTCTAAGTTTGCAATGAAAAGAGCATTTTTCAATATAATTGCCCAACATAAAACTTTTAATAAAGCCACATGAAAGATATTTCGTATATAATTAGTAGGTATGCGATGTATACAAACTTTATATGTAATTCACTAACACAATCAATAAATATTTTATCTTTGGCTTTATTAAAGGTTGTAGGTAGTTTGGCTAATAACATTTATACTAAAATGTTTTCCGCCTGAGAAATCCATAGTTATTTTATAGCGATATAACGGAATCTGCCTGTCATAAAACACGCGGCAATTGAAGTTCATAAAATTATAGGACACAAATCCGGTCGCACTCTCGTCTCATAAACTACTGCCACAAAAATATTTTAATACTGCAATGCATGTTGCAAGAAGAGCTACTACAACATTACATATCCAATCTCTCAGTTGTCCAACCAACGTGTCGATGTGAGGTAAGAACGCCATCTTGAAAGGTAGTAAAAAGCAACACTCAAAATAATAAAAAAGAAAGTTGAGAAAATCAATCTTTTGAAAAATCAGGAAAAGCAGATGTTACTCGTAAATATTGTCATTTTGCCACCTTTCAAGATGGCGTCTTGCCGCATAGTATTTCAGCCGAGTCAGGCATCAAGTAGACTGGGTTCTAGGTCGTTAAACATACCCCGTATAAAATACGGCTCCAATTCATGACGATGGCTTCTTCCTTTGGTTACAGAATTTGCAGAGCCAGACTCCTTCTACTGTTTCATGCATCTGATGTCTGAAATTCGAGATTTCTTCATCAAAACATTGGATGAATCAGCTGTGGGAATAGGTTGGTTCGACAAATGCCAAATTAAATTGAACACGTGGTGCATACGTGCTCACGAGATGAGATACCAAAATCACAATGTTGTTTTAATGTACAGGAAGCAGTATGAGAGAGTTAATGAACGTTTTACGGGATCGTGATTTCGACCTATGGAAATCATTGGTATGTGTAAGCAAAGAAGTACGGCAATAATGCGTACTGACGAAAAATTTAAGTTATACTGATGGGTCTGCTGTGCTCAAAATAAATGCCCGGTACCAGTCCCCTTGCAGCTCTAAACGTTTCCCTTATATATTACATGGTGATCTTAAATCAATCCAGAAGTGTTGATGACGAAAATAGAAGAAGAAATTCTCCCCGAAACCTCGTTCACGACGAACTATACATTTCCTTTTATTTTGTCATCATAGGACGACCAAGAATTAGAACCACAATTTTACAGTTTTCGTTGGATCACAGTGCTTTTAAGCCAAGAGTTTCCCCTTCCAGGTGAGTATTAATCAGCTGTAGCTTATGAACAAGCGAGCAGCGCCGTGCTTAAGTAATTAGCAATGCCTACCAGCACATACCCCTACCAATCCAAAGTCAATTTGCGTCATGTGTGTTTCCCGATTTAGATGTGATTCGACTGTGGGATTCGTTATTTGCCGATCCGCAGAGATTTCAGTTTTTGATGTACGTCTGTTGCGCAATGTTAATGTAAGTGTTGTGGTATCCACTGTCTTATTTCATTGGACATGTCACGTGAACTTTTGATAACTTCCAGGGTCATCAGAGATCAATTGTTGGAAGGGGATTTTGCAAAAAGCATGAGACTTGTTCAGGTAATTAGATGCGATCACGTGGTGTTTTATCTAACTAGCTTGACGACATCCTTATGATACTTTCTACCTAGTTAGAAACCTCTACGAATAATAATGTTCGTAGAAAAATTTTACCATCTATCTTCTGCGAATGGTAATACGTCTTTTAAGAACTTCGTGCATATTCTAAGAAAAGCTTTCTTTATTCTTAGTGTAGTTTTCCACTAACTACATGAGTATTTTTATAGAACTATCCTCTCACAGACATCCACGTTGTGTTGAACAAGGCAAAGGAATTACACGATCCGTTCAAAATGCTCCCTTAGCGGCAAAGCTCACGAAAATGATCATCCAAGGCCAGGGAATTAATTTTATATTTGTATTTGAGAAGTACATTCTTCACTGCTTTAAAAGACACCGAAAAAACAATAATGGCGAACAAGATATCAAGTTGAGATGTCGATCAACCATGCATACACTGTACAATGTCGTTTTTAAACCTTACCATGCTTTTCCTGTATTATCTTAGTAAACATCCTTGGTTTCTGATGATAAAAATGGAACTGACTTAGAGACAAAAAATAGTCTAAAGTCGAGATACACATCTCGATATTTAAACAACGAGATTTCGTTCGATTCTGGTGGTCAGAAAATAAGCATATTTGCTAAAATTCGGTACAATGAAAAGTAAAGTGGAAAATGCTCTTTAAATGTATTGAAAGAATCATGTGTTAACTTTTAAGTTTAATCATACGTCAAAAAAGCATTTAAAATTCACCAAGTGCCCTTCCAACTAATGTAATAAGCCAGGTTATAGCCAAGAAAAACGTACAGTTTGATCTTTAAACCACATCGAGCTGTATGTTTATGTACCAAGTAGTACATACTTATTGTTACAAGTTTGACCCCGCCCATGCGTCAAAGTCTCAATCCTGTATTCCAAAAGTTCACTCATACTGTGGCTTCAAAATCACCTCGTATTTAACTGTCCCAAAACGGTATTTTCATGTAATCCACTTGTTGCTCTTGCTTTGAAATATTTTAGCAAAGTTCTTGACAACGATAGAAAAAAATTGAGATCGACAATGATTTGAGGGAGCCAGATTTCTAAATCGCACTCGTGCGAGTGAGCTTTTAGCATACAGCACGTGAAATGATAATTTCATCCCGCACGTATTTTCGCATAAATTAACATACCAAAAGTTACATTAATTCAGAGATCATTCTGTCCAGAGAACCTATTTTTACATACGCTCAGTTTTATCATAGAAAGGGGGAAAATGATACGCAAATTTATAAACCAGTGAAATCATTTATGTATTTAAATACAGTTTTTTAACGAAAATTCAAGCTTCAATGAACCGTGAAGTACATGATTAGATGATCAAGTCGTCCTGACAGTTATACATGCTAAAAATCACACATCGCTGCCAAAAATCATTTTCCGTGCAATAACTAAGATATTGCGTTTCGTAAGAATATTCATTTCTACATCGCAAGGAAAATTCACAGCAAGCAAAAGTCAGTCGAATGTCGTTGTAGAAGTAAAGTTTCAGGTAATTTTAGTTGCTCTATAGGCAAACTGTCAAACTCAGACGCAGTCTACGACAGGTATAGTCGGGTGATATGAATTCGGTGAATGCAAATAAAAAATCATGTTAAAGTCAATTGAGTCCATACGGCTCGTCAAATATGAGATAAACTCGCTAAAACATCTCAAATCAATCACGTGTAAGTCTTAGTTCAATATATTTTTAAAATTCAGTTCAATATCCAGAAAGCAATTCGTCAATATCTAAGTGGGAAAAGTTTGCAATAAGACCTGTAATGTCTAAAAATGGCTCACAAGATCATGAAAATGTAGTCACAACCGGGGCGGCTCCCAATGCAGGTCGTATGCACTGTTTTTTTATAGAATGTTTAAATACATTTAAAGAAATCATGTAGGGGGATAAACTACCTCAGTTGATTAATTATGATACGTCACTTCTTGTAAAGAGAGGCATATGGAGTGGATTTCGCAGTCTTTGGTCGTGTAATCTTTTATACGAACGCATCATTATGGAAGTGTTATGGCGAGCAATTGCCCTGTACAATGTACAAATACCATGTGCATTGTTTAGAATTACTCTTTTCTTTCAGAGTAAATGTGAAATGTTATCTCAAACGTCGGTACGAGCTATATAATTAACAAAAGTTGAAATGAAACTAATAAATGAGCAGTTTCAAAGTTTTATCGATGAACAACAGACTTGATTATTTTACAGGTACGCGTACGTATTTCCCATAGTCTTCAACCGAGGAATGCCAATCACAGTGTAATTGTGAAAACATGAAAATACAATATAAACATGACCACTACAACGAAGCCAGAACAATCGTGTTTTTTATAAGTGTTCTGATGATAATCACGGGCTCGGAAATACTATTGTTTTTTCGTGCGCGCTGTGTTCTACATCCAAAAACATGGCAGCAAATTCTCAAGTCTAGAAGAGACTTCTTGAACAGAAGCATCCACAATTGGAAACAGAACCACAAAAAGAATATTCAAAGCCATCGTTATGGCAAAATAATGGAAATACTATCGGTTAAACGTACAACAAAGTACTACGACAGGCAATAGAAACATGCATGATACACATGAAACGGTAGTAACTTTATGTCTCGTGTTATACATTTTTGATAAATTTAGATGAATGAACTCGTCTGTAATATAGCTGTAATTACTTTTTGCAAGGATACATTGCATTGCAATACAACAGTTCACGTTTGCATAAATTTTTTCCTAACAACTTCGAAATTATATGTTAATATGAAGTATTGAACAATGATGAGCCACAAGTTGCTATTTCTTATCTTATATACTCTTTTGAGAATTATATCGTTTATTGTTTCACTTGACAAATATATCATGTAATTTAATATTAATTTATTTTATATATATTATGTATATTCAATCGCCATGTAAAAAAATTTCTGTCTCAAGCGTTGAAACAGTTACTTCGCAGGCTGCAAAAAGACGTACGCGTTCTATTTGGCTGCCTACAAAGAAACGAAATGCGAAGGTTCGCATTTAACATAAAGGCTACCTTTAACTTCTGGCCATAGTTGTAGTTGGTAAAAAAAAACACAGTATTTTCATAGGCGGAAGAAAAATTCGGACTGGCTTCGCAAATGATAAAGAGATTTAACTAAGAGCCCTGCAAGCGATATGCACTTCAATATAAAATATATTTCACACAAACCTTTTCAGTAAATCAACGTTGTTGATGACGTGTGATAATTCATGATCCGCAAGGGAGAAAGTTCGGGTCTAGGTAGTTATAACCGTGGGATGTTTCGCCCAGTTTCACGTAATCTCCGTCAATATATTCCGCACATTCAATCGACTCCATTTTATGCCATATAGAATGCACGTCAAAACGACAGTCGTTTTGCCTGCAAAAGAAGAAAAAATTCACCGAGTTGTAAACGCAATAAGACCCAGGTTTCATCAACGCGGCGCGATTACCTATTAACACAACTGTTGCAAAAATTGACCATATTTTCGTCAGGACATTCGATGCAATGCCAGCGAACGCCCGTTATGGGAGATATTCCACACAAAATACACTGTAAAGTAATATAGAAACGATGATGCAAGAGTTCTGCTTCAAGTGTACACCAGGGGGTGGGTGGGGTGGGAAGGGATGATGTCATGGATAGTTGCAAACCACAACGATAGGAATTATTAGGCTACGTAGTATAAACCATTTGAGCTGAAAACCTTAAATACGTCACAAAATATAGTTTTGAAACTTTTAAACATATACTTCCTGGAGAAGTTTGGTCGAATCTTCCACCAAAAAGGAAAATGGGGTAAGAGGATGTTAATATTAAAAACTTATCAAAGATATTTATCATTTAGAGTTTTTACCGTATATCCAATGTGTTCGATTGCATCTTTATTTTGCTGAAAAAGAATAACCGTGTGAATGTGAAGATGAGAAAGAATGATGTGAAAAAAGTGAAGATGAGTGAAAGGATGAGGTGGAGGGTGAAGAAGAGTGAGAGTGAAAGAGGAGTGGAAGGAAGGTGAAGAAGGAAGAGGAAGGTGAGGTGCAAAAACATTTTAATTTACCATTTTTTTCTCCGCCCGTTTTTTCTTTAGTTTCTTTAGTTGCATGATCTCAAAATATTCTTTGGTATTTCTCAATTCTTTCGGAATGGATTCGTCATCCTTAACAAACAATGGGAGGGCGTAAGCGACTGAATCGAATGGTTTTCATCGCATTATCATGATGTGACACAGTTCGTGGCCTCTATCCCAGTCCTTTCCATGTAATGCCCCACCCCCCGTAATCCCGTAATCGCGTCAATAAATTTTCATGTGAAGTAAAGCTGTTCAGAATAAAAGGCGGTGTAGACACGTGTCGGGGTGCAATTTATTGACAAAAAATAATCATCAAATAAACTTCAAGATTTCATAAGTGTCGTTCTTAGTTCAGAATAATAGTTCGTTCAGACGGAGTACCCCGGCACGGTGCTCAGGGACGGGCACCAATACGAACACAATATTTTGACGGTGCCTGAGTCGAGAGATCACGAAAAGAGGTAGAACCCGAGTACGGTGCTCGGGCACAAATGTGAAAGAGGAAGCTAGTGGGTACTACGTAGTGTGACCGAACAAGGGTATCGAACTCCTGCACCCAGTCTGAACGCGCTATAAGGCGCAAGGATGATAGGTATTGAACAGCATACGTCATATGGGTGGCTCCAAGTCTCGTTTCATGTCAAAAGCAAAATTAAAATTATTACAAGTACCGAAATATCATCAAGATCGTCAGAGGAGGCCATACTGACGGCATCAGATTTCTCATTGTCATCCATATACACGCGTGGTTTGTATGAAGGGAAAAAGGTTGAATTGCGCAGACTCACGGCTTGCTGTTGAGTATTCCGGTATCGACAAGCCTGCTTTCACGACCAAAAAAAAACAAATTTTTTTACAACCATGAACTATGAATCAAAGCTCGGAAAAATCATTTCGAGTTGCATCTTGAGCCTTGATAAATTTAGCTAAATATGTAACTAATTAATTAATTAATAAATTTAATAGTTCACTAATTAAAATAAATCATCAATTCGATTTAGTACTTCAGACGTTTAATCAACACGCTTTATACGCTTTTTCATGCAGGTCAAATTTTTTTAATTAACAAGGTTTACGCATGCGCTACTGAAGATTCTTTCGGTGTTTTTCACAGTCAACATGCTATTCAAGAAATTGCCAAAGTGCTTTCATTAACAGGTTTTCATAGTTCCTTAATATATTGATTTCTATAAACTATTAATTTGACCGTAAACAGGCTGTAAACCACCAGTAATAAAAAGACCAAGAACTTTAAAAACAACATTGACAAACCTTGAGACGATTTAAATTGGGTTCACGTCCTGGTATAGGTAAACCAGACTTTGCCAATTTTATAAAATACTTCTGGACGCGACTCGCCACCTTAAGTAATATATGAATACGCGATAGATGATTAAGTCGATACATGTTTATAGCATTGATATAGATATTACATGGATCGCGCATCACTAATTGAATTTGAAGCCGCCATATTGAACAGTCCCACTTCATGAGATTGACATACAATGTATGCTAATTTCTGCAATGAAAAATTGCGAGAATCGTCTCTCTTATGATGCTTTGACAAAACTGCTACTTATTAGCTTTAACAAGATTAAGTGTAGTAAGCAGTTGTACTATTAAGAAAGGATTTAATCCAAAATTTGCGTGACACCATTTGAGAGATACTATCGCAAGAGAATGCTTCTAGCTTCACGTTGAAAGATTTTTTGGTTTTTTATGCACATGCGCAGCGGCTACCCACAAAAACCTAAGCATGCACTCAAAATCATCCTGGATCAATCCATGATTTATAACCATGGAAAACTCCAAAATTTTCAGATGGGAAAAATTTTCAAAAAACAACAAACAATAATATGTATGTTTCATTTATATCCTGCAAGCAATGGCAAGTAAAACCGACAACGTTTAGTGAAATAACCTGCTTGGGTGTCCTGTTTCCAAGTGCCTTGGCAATTTTCAACCACCGTTTGGATTCAATTGGTTCTTGAGGATAAAGCTGAAGAAGTCGCTCTAATTTTCTCTACACAAAATAGAAATGCAATTTCCTTTAGAATTAAGAACACCAAAATAAAACAACGGATGATATAAAATATTAAATATATATTTAAATATCTAAACATTCAGCACTAAGTCAAATATCAACATGAAATAAATTTTTGAAGCAAAATGATCTTCTCCTAAACAAACCACTCTTCAACAACAAAAAGAGCTATGATTTGGTGGAAAAAACCCAAAATAAATATTGCAAAAAATGTTTTCGGGAACCACTGACTATCTAAATATAATACATAACAAAAGTAACTCCAAATAGTTTAAGCATTTTGATTCAACGTTTTGACTTTATTTAGCAAATAGTAATCATCAGGAAGGGATGACTAAATAAAAACGAAACGGTGAATCAAAATGCTTACGTACATTATGTGAAGTTACCGTTGTTCGATATTGGTAGGTGAATATGAATTTCTATGGCAATGTATGCAAAGGATTCTCGAAAAAAGCAGCATTTGCCAACGTTTCAAAGGAAGTGTTATCTCGTTGCGAAATAATAATGAAAACGTTATGATTGGAACCTGTTCTTCCACAGTCCACGGTTGATTGAATGTCAGCGGTTTATCGCTCGTTGCCAGTTTTCCTCGAACATAACGGGAATTGTCTGAACAACTTGAAAATCTACAGGTGTTAACATAAGCATTGTGAAAGATATATTTAGATATACTTAAAACTTACAGGTTTTACAAACGCAAGCACCGAACAAGATATACTTAAAAAATCCACTGGTATTATAAAGCAAGCACCGTCTAAGACATAGGTATTAATTTTATAAAATGTACAGGTACATATAAACACAAGCACTTCAAAAATAAAATTACAAAATTCAAGCATTCATGTAAGCATTGGCTATGGCAAAATTATAAAACCTACGAATTTTAACGCAAGAACTGTCCAAGATAAACCAAATTCTACAGGTATTGAAGTAAACACTTTCCAAGACATACTCATAAAACATGCAGGTATTAACGCAAGCACTTTCCAAGATAAAATTATAAAACATATTAACACAAAAGATGTCCAAGAAAAACCAAAATCTACAGGTATTAACTCAAGCACTGTCCAAGATACACTTATAAAACCTATTAACACAAGCACTGTATAAGATATATTTATAAAACCTACAGGTATTGACAACTTTCCAAGACATGCTTAAAAAATCACCGGTATTAACGCAAGCACTATCCCAGATAAACTTATAGAATGTATGATCCATACCAATAGTAAAACACACCTTGACATACTTTCATAAGAGCATGGCTCACCAAGCGACCCATTTGATGTTGTTGACTGTTCCTCCCATCTTTGATTTGCTGGAAAAATAATGGTAAAAAAAGTTTGAAATCTTCAGACGAAATAATTCTTCAATTCTATAGCTCGTAATAATAACTCTGCTTCATCCTTCTCAATACATTCAAGAGCTACAATACAAATTGTGGTATAATATTTTGGGCAATGTTCATATAATCATTTAATGCATCACGTAGAAAGACAAAGAGAACTAATTTGAAAATACATTGAGAGAGAGGGCGATATTGAGCGAGAGCAATATACGTAGAGGGAGAGGGTGAAATTGAGGGAGAGGGTGATGTTGAGTGGGAGGGTGATGTTGAGGAACAGGGTGAATTGAGGAGAGGAGAGGGAGAGGTGATGGAGGGAGGTGATGTTGAGGGTGATGTTGAGGGAGGGTGATGTTGAGGAATATTGAGGGAATGATGAAAAGAGGGTGGATATTGAGGAGAGGGTGATAAATTTGTGGAATTAATCATGAAGCAATTTAGTAGGAATAGGTATTTAGCTAGGTACTTAAACTGATGGACAAAACATTTCCAGGAAATTGATTAAATAGGCCAATGTTTTTATTTTATTATAGCAAGGTATGAATTATGGACAATTGCAACCATGAAGCAGAACAGTGTTATATGCATATTCTTAAACAGTAAAAAACTTGTCATAATTCACAATCCTATCTTATGCTCAAACAACAAGAGTGCCAAACCTTTTTCTATAAGGTTAACATTGCTGCCTGACGCATGTCTAGTGTTGTGTTGATGGAGCAAACCAAAATGAGAAAAATCCTCAACACCAGAATATGCTTCCCAGTTGATGTGAGGAAGTTTAATAATGCTCTGACGAGATGGTATGTCCAGCCATTCCTGAAATATGTTCATTGGTAATTTGAAAACCAATAACTTCCTTTAGTGAATGCATAGAAAGTTTTTTCTGCACAGATCATTTAAGCATTTTTAAGGGCCACACAGCTTTGGCTATGGCTGCCAAAGGTTAATTACTATCAGGCCTAGGAAATTAATGGCTTGCTATTCAAATATCATACATTATTTTGAAGTTTCTCCACAAACTTTATTGGTTCGGCTAATGCATCTTTTTGCAACCTGATCAACTTTTCATAATCCTGAGAAAAAACATAATCAATGAGTATGACTTCAAATATTGCAAATTGGCTTAAATAATTAGTTCTCATAGTTGCAATGTAGCAACCAATATTGTTTTTGATAATATCAACATCAATTTACCTTGATTGCTTGTTTTCTTTGGGCTTCGAGGGCAACCAAAGTTTGCAAAAGAAGTCTATAACTGAAGTTTAAAAATCTTAAGCAACAATAATGAACTACACTGCAGGAATATTTCAAAATTCTTTTAACAAATAATGGTCATGTAAACTACACTTAACTTTTCAAAATGAAAGGAATTGTGAAAAACGAACTAGAAAGATTTTATTAATCAATCTTTATATACTACAACAGCAAATGTCTTCTTTGCATCAAGAAATTTGCCCCAAAATGAAAAATTTAAGCTTTTCAAGACCAAATATTGTGAACAGATTTGACTCTCTTGCATTGTACAACCTAAGGTTGGGAGGGAGTTCTATCTCACACTTTTTCTACTGGCGAGCACTTGAACATAATGAGGATATGTTCAAGTGCTATTTTACTGGTCCCCCCTTATGAAAAGATTCCACAGTTCTCGTATTAGTGAAATAGTTTGCTATAAAAATGAGGTATTGTTAACCAGAGCATATTCCATACAGTGTACATCATTTTCCATACAATATACATCATTTTCCATACAACGGAAATCATTTTCCACACAATGCACATCATTTTCACAAGGACTATGCTAGAATGGAAATTTTGTAAACTTCATGCCCAAAATTTTGATATTTGCATGCATAATAGCCAAGTTTTCTCAAAATTGGCCACCCGACATCTCAGGTGACCAGTACAAACTTTCCAGTCTGTAGAGCATGTCCTTGATCCATACATACTCTGCATTTTCCTTCAATGCAAGATGATCTGATTCAAAGTAGAACCTCTTATAGACATCAGTCTCATCGGGTTCTCCGTCATCTACGCTGGTGAACTGCACCTTGTCTAAAACATTCACATCTGGGACACCAACCATAGTATTTTTATTGTCAACTGAACCTCCGTCGTTTATGACATTCGAAGCTGCTTGCCTGATTTCTACATTAACTCCAATATCTGTTTCATTAGTTCTTGTTTTATTGTTCGTAATTTCTTCATTCAAAGAAAAATTTGCGACTACGTCCAAAGGTGTGGGATCGCTGATAACATCAATTTCTTCCGTCTCGGATTCGGCTGCGACAGAATTCACTTCAATATGTTCAGTGAAAATTTCAGCCTCCATTTTCTAAACATTAAAATTACGTTAGTGGCGTCCTTTCAAATGCACATAAGGACGAAATTTGCGGTTGGAAACTACTACACGTGAATCCGCCATACTGATTATGCAAATAAAGATGACAACACTTACACTAATTTCCATCTGTCAAAAATAGCCTGTCTCCTCTCACCCCACATCATCCTTTTCTCTAATCATGACATGAACAAACCACCACAGCCTCGTTTTTCTTTTACTTCCTCGAATGAGCTCATTCCTGACCTTGTCCTTCTTAAGTCACTCCAACCAAGTGCTTGTCTGAACAATTTTAATTCTGCTAGTTGGTCTAACAACACTTTCAAAAATCTTTCCTGTCACTTCACCGGATACAATTTCTTATTATACAGCACTTCAGTTACTGTCTTCCAGCTTTACTTGACTTTTCATCTTTGAAATACAACAGCGCGGTGTCATAATTGCTTTATTAACTCGAATGACGCAAATGAGAACTGATCCGTGCCAAGAACAAGAGCTTTTTCGATGTTTTCTTACAAAAAGAGAGAAATGCAAATTCTTGCGAAACAAATTTTGAAACAAATGGACTGCACGCGATGCAAGTTTACAGTCTTTGTCATTCTGTATATTTCATAGATAAATGGAAAATCGTCTTCAGGGGTCAGGAAGTTTTATGAAATAAATGATTCTTTCGATCGCAAGCCTTCATTGACAACAAAGATAGGGAAAAAGAGAAGACCAGGAGCGATAACCATTTGTAATATTTTAGTTTGGGACATATTGCTCATCTTTTGGGAATGTTCGCTGCAGCTGTGTCCCATGTGCTCATTGGCTTATAGTCTTACAATCACATGTTACTTCAACCTTAAAATTCGCATGAATTTTGTTAGTTATCACCTCTCAAAATGCATCTCTGTTTCACTGATGTCAACAAAACACTTTGAGATGACTTTTAGAGTTTTGATATCAATTTTACTAAAAAAGTATGCACGAACCACATGTGTTTGCCAACGCAAACCAAACCTCGCAGTCAGGGGCAAAAGTGCAGTTTCCTACGTGCGCTGTGCGTTCGGGCAAGAGGAATGTTGTATCCTACAGATAGGGAAACGGGAAGAACAGGTATTTGTGTTACACGTTTCCGTCGAAAATCAATATTGTTTAGACTGTACGCGTCAATATTGCCGAGTAAAACACATCCCAGAACTTTCAGATGTGCTTAAAAAACATCATCTCTTTAATCTTGTGTCGTGTAAATCCTATCTATCCCTATGGATAGTTTTAAATGAATATTTCTCCAAATTGTCTGGTTTTGTACTAAACATTTTTGAGATGAAATGTCGAGAAGAGGAAGTAATTGTACGCCGTCAAATTATTTCAACAAATCAACAAGTTTTTGAGCAGACTCGATTTCAATTTGTATTCCAACTATCAACTGGACTCATATTGGACTCTATTTGACCCAGGCAAAAAAAGGTATTTTTTGCTAGTCTGTTGACCCAATGAAACCTTCCCACATTTTAACAAAACGTAATGCATCAAATCAACCAATATGAACTATATGAACCAATGAGAAAATTTTCATTACGTTTTTTTGGCGAAAATATACTGCAAAAGTCGCTTTTCAGGCGCACAAAAATAGTAAAGCGAAAGTCAGGCGCGCAAAATTTTTTATAAAATTTGATCTCGGGTGAGTAGTTTACAAACTTTCTAGTCTGGCTCACCACTAAATTTCATTAGTAATGAAAACAAACCTTAAAAATGGATTAAACGGTTCAGGAAGCAAATAAAAAATTGATCTTTTTTCAATGTGAGATAAACTTATTTTCACGGCAAATTACGTTGTTCATAAGTAAGAAGGATTAACTCGTTATGATATGAGATTGCGTAGCAAAAAAAACCCTTTGCGAAAAGACGCAGTGGTCGATTATTTTCGACTTGTGAGCAAAATTAGACAATCAGCAACAAAAAATTTGCGGCTTCGTTACAAGATAACGTAGGATGAATCGGGGGAATATTGTTACAAACAACGACCTGGAGAAAACCTGCTTTATTACATGTTATTTTGTACTGGGATATTTATCAAACTACCATGTTGTCAAGATTTTCCAATGAGAGTTAAGAAAATCCAAATAGGCCTCTTATGAAAGCAATGACCTTTTACCAGATAAAAGAGCTTCCCTCCAAGAACGCTGATCCATGAGCCGAAATCCAGTTTTTATTTAAGAACATGAAGCTCGATATGACGTTGTCGAAAGAATGATATAGCAATCGCAAACTCAAGATCATATATAAACAAGATCTACGACCACACAGCGGGTTTTCATTGGTCAATCGTATTTCCTGCGGTCGCCTGTTTATATACAGGCCAGAACCTCCTGTCAATGATTCTTCAGGGGTGACACATTCGACGTCTGGTTGTGTCTTGTAAAGAACATTTATGAAAATATGACGCCTGTCCTTCTGATCGCGCTTTTGTTGTTTACATGCCAGTTGTGTACGGAGGCAAGAAGGAAAATCACCAAGGAGAATCGCTGTGAAAAAATCGAGGTTGCAGTTTGTTCTAAACTTGGCTATGCCAGAACAAAGTTTCCAAACCCCTTCACTAACATAACAACTCAAGCAGCGACGAATAATTTGACGCGTTTTCTTCCCATATTGTTCCAACTAAATTGCACAAGAAGAAACGCCATTCCCTTCCTCTGTTCTGTATATGTACCGAGATGTTCTACCAAACGACCGCTCTCGCCACCGTGTCGGGAGTTCTGCGAGAGATCAGTGGGTTCTTGTCCTGCGTTGGCAGCCCGTTTTGGCATCATATGGCCGGCGCCTCTCATGTGCTCGAATTATCCGTCAAAGAATGGCGAAGAAAAATGCTTTGACGGCAAATTGAAAACAAGAAGAAAAAACAACAAAGGAAAAAAAGGTACTGGCTTACAAGAGAGAATGCATGGCAGTTATTATTAACTGATAAAAACCTCTAATGTTTTAGAGTTAGGTTACGGTTAGGGAGAGACGTTTGTCCGGAATCAACTGATGATCGCTTCAGAACACGCCACGCTTTTTAACAATAAACTACAGCGCACTATAAAACCAAACCAACACCGTTAGCTTAGAAAAGGAAATGATTGATTTTTACCGTGAAAAAATATTCAAGATTGCATTCCTTGTGTTTTGATACCGGAAAGCGACAAGTAAATACATTATAAACGGCGTCTTTACATAATAAAAATAAATTTGATAATAACGGGGGACCAAAGCAGCTGCATATCACATCAGCGTTAGCATATCTTGCTCTCCAGATGTTTTACAAAGAAATTCTGTCCGCTGACGCGTGCGCAATGCGTTTTCATTTTTTCTTGCTTGAAAAGACGAGAAGACGTTTCATCGACTTAGGACGTCTAATAACGATGGTCAAAGTCAACAACATATCTATTGAATGCGCCACAAGAGATCGCAGATTAACATCTTGGTTTGACGTATTTCCTAATAAATAGACTCAACTACCTGTATTGTGTAAAGATTAAAGCATGTTTTTGTGAAAAGATTACCGATGATTTAATAACAGCTTTTTTGGTGGCCACAGATCACAAATATCGGTCATACCGTTATACGAAAATCTAAAAATGTAACGGTATATATTTAGTCTGTTTGCAGCGGTCGAGGTATTGTTATGATTAAACAGGTCCGGTTGGTTTTCTCTGTGAACATACAGAGTTCTTGCCAATATTTTCTTTTACGATTGTACATGTTTAGCCTTAGCAGAGCAAACACATAGCGTGATTGATATATTATCTACACTATGCCAGATGACAACGCCATATTAGTCAATTTTATGTTGATTCAACCAAATTACTATAAAAAGTAGCCCGTGCTAAGGGTATTAATAAATGCAGGCTCAGATTACGGTTAAAACCATTAAAACACTTTAAGGTTTAGGTCAGCGGTTAACAAATACCGAAATAAAGCATGACGCAATCCCGCAACGGTGAATGCCAGTTTTAAGCTCGCCTCACACGTCAAACTTTTTATGAGCTCAAAGCATTTAAAATATAAGACAATAATGAATTTTATCTTATTTTCCTTAGTCTGGATCTTATCTCATTATCACATAAAAAGTTCGACGCTTGAAACAGACATTACAGCCAGTAAATTTTGCAGGAATTTGATCCACATTCAATTCTGTATCGTTTCCATTTCTTACAGGAAAGAGGGTAGCCAACGCGTCCAAGTGCTGTAGAGTCGGTGAATCACTTGCGAGGTCAAATCCGACATGCAATATTCCCGATAGCATAACAGGCAAGTCTAGAAGAAAGTTGAAGAAAGGAATAGAATTGTGCAAAAAATTCAAAGGCAAACTGATCGAATGCTGTAAGACACGGGCGGCAAAGAAGAAACTAAGGAAGAACAAAAAGCCAAACAGGAAGATCAAGAAATTGCACAAAAATCTGCGAAGGTTCTCGAAGAAACTGCAACGCCAACAAAAGCGCAAAGAGAAGAAAAAGCAAAACAGGAAGAACAAGAATAGGGGACAAAACTAGGAGAACTCAGAACACATCTATTATACTCAAAATTTCACGTGTTTTACTTGTATATTAGGATAGCTTATGTAGTATGTGGTTTGTTTTAAGGGATAACACTATATATTTTGTTAAGTTCTTTCATAGGTATGAAATTGGGTAAACTAAATTTTAGATAAAATATGGTAGTTTTGCATCTGATACGTAGAACAATACATGTACTCGAAATTTGAATAAGAAGCGCTTTTCGTTTATTGTTTGTTAAAAGATTCTAATCATTGATAAGATTAATTTTAGCTTGATGCAGCGTTGCAAAACAATCGCATTTGAAGTCCTTAAACAAAGATAAGCAAAAATATACGAATCAATTAAATGAGAAAATGCTTACAAGCAAAACGTCACGAGCAGGCAATGTTGAGCAAGATGTACCCGTGTTAGATCGTGAAGTGGAAATAATTTTTTGACGCGCAAAGGTCGGTTATTAATTATTTGGATATAACACTATTTCGGTAGCGTTGACAGTCATTTGACATTTAAATTCAATTTGCGTTGGCTGTACGAACTAGAAACCTCTATTCTGGACTATAGACAGCTGACCCCAAGATTTGATTAACTTTAATGGAGTTAAGACGAATCGCTCATGACTACGATGTACAAAATGTGACAGTGTGAAATGTTATGGTTTAAGTAGTTGATTTGGTTCGCAGCCAAATATTTTTAGCTCACAAGTGGTACAAGCCAGTGCAGTGTTAAAAACGTAAGTGAAACATAGGTGATAGCGCTAGAAACAGAATGAGATCACCAGCAAACAGATCAAATGTTCACAGGAATGCACTGAAACACACATCAAAAAATTCATGAGACAAGTGAATTGGAAATGTTACGTGTGGAAAGCCACAAAATCACAAGAAATCAAAATGGAAGGAAAAAAGATAGGGTTTTGGATAATCTTTTTTTCACATTGCCGGCACAACAAAGTAAAGTTAAAGTATCATACACAACGAAGCTTCTTTACAAGTTAGCACTCTATTAAGGTCATTGGATTTTGTAAGGTGCTAAATTCATAAAATTTGCTTACACCTGTCGGCAAGGAAGTTGGGATGAAAATGTACCTTATAAAGACAATTTTGTTAGCAAAATGACCTTGGACTACCATGAATGCAGCAATGAAATTTGTAATTTTTTTCTCAGTTTTAATTCGTTCAGGGTGAAAACTTGTATCGCATTGGAAGAAGGTATAGAATTGGTAAGAGAGGACCCACACAGTGTCAGTTGAACATCAAAGACAAATATAAATGCTCTGCTATTTCATCGGATCAAATTATGTGAAAGCATTGACAAATAGTATCGCATTCCAATGTTAGATAGTAATGAAATATGTTGAAATACGAGAAATGTTTAATACGAGCTTTGTGAACAACTTAGTAATACACAATTCGTACGGCTGTGTTTGTGAGCGTTAAACTCGGATAAAAAGATGATCGGACAAGATCAAGCAATCACATTAAAATAGTTAAAGGCAAAATAGATTTCGGTGCGACACAGCCCTTAGCAAAATTTCACATTCATGATATTTAGTACGCGGAATTGTAATTTCATGAATGAAATGAAAAATTCATAAGTACTAAATTCATCCTTTAAGGTAGCAATAAAAGAGGCATTGAATATATGCCAAACTGTGAACAGTAAACAGAGCCTGCCACACCAATTCTGACTCCGTCTAAGAGACTTTTCACGTGAGCCCGGTAGCCGGGATTTATCGAAGCTTTAAAAATCATTTTGGCAAATGAAAAAGATTTACGACTTTACAGCAAAAAACTTATTTGTACAATTTTGTCTCTGCTCTGTCTTTGCAAATTCATAAAACCTTTAAAATAACAACAAATAATTTAGCCTGATTTGAAAATTACGACTAAAATATGACTTATGATGCTGTAGAAAAAGTTGTAAGTTTTGCTCTTAAAGTTGTTACTCTTTCAATTACTCATGTGAACAGCCCCTAAGGGCCCCATATTTTTACTCTACATCACTAGATTTAGTGCATCTCATGCAATTCATTGTAACTTTCGAATAGGTAGATGGCGAACCAATAAAAGATAAGAGTCTATTCATGACTTCCTACCTTTGTAGCTCGAGTGATCTTTGAGTCATGAAATTGATTCATGAAATTTTTAACTATTTTAACTACTATTTCAATTATTCATGAAACTTTTCATTCATGAAATTTATAATGAGTTCGGCGTTTTGGACTGAATCCAACGTTAGACAAGAGTGCTGTTGCAATTTTCATTTTGTAATAACAGGATGCGAATATAAGCCTGAAAGAAGAATAAATATGTTCTTATAAATTCAGTTTTTGCCTCAGACGGAGAATCTGTACAGAAGAACAACGAGAAAGAAAACACAAATATATTTCATGCCTAAAATGGGAGGAGATTTAACATATATCACATGCAGAAAAGAGCATGCTTTTAAATATTTGTTTGTCAAGAGACAATACAGTACTCATTATTAGCTGTAACCATCATTATAAGTACAGGTAATAGTATAGTTTCGAGTGTAATTACGGATAGACAAGTCATTTTTAAAGAATGCAGCGAAATGGGGTGAGTCTGAAGGACAAGTGCATGTTTAGCCGAAATTTCACGGAACTATACTAGTACTTAATAATAATATACTTGGAGATATTTCTTGACTGTACCGTCTAACTCTGTCTCACTTCGTTACTCTAAACCGCTTCAGAAAGCCTCGATACGCTGCCTAACACATAACTATTAAAAACAAAATATTCACGCAAAAAACTATAAGTGTACTTGTTGTTTGGTTTTTACTCTTTGCATTCTTTTGTAATTATTGAACTTCAAACGATTACAATTGTGGAAATCTTTGTTCACTTACAACTGCCGCCATGTTTTTTTTTTTGAATTGAAAAGAAGTTTGTTTGGCTTTCACTGCTTTTCAGCCAATCAGGTTACGGAGTTTACAGCGTAATTACACTTTTCTACAGTGCAATTACATATTTTTACAGTGTAATTACCATTACATGCAGAGAAAGAGAAATCAGAACGTTGTGCCGGAAGAAAACGACGTTCAGCAATATTTTTTTTCCATGTTGACTTTTGCTTTAAATGAATAAACTTTTCATTAATATATCCATTAGAATCATTGGTGTTTTTGCTGTTGATTGATATTTAAAAGCCATATCAACGCTACATAAACCTTACTTTTAATTATCTTTGAATTTTATTATATGTAAGGTATAAAAAATTTGAATGCCTTCATCGAAGTAATTAATATAGCTGGCTTAAGAAGAACAATATTATAACTTTCTCGTTACTTTCAATGCTTGTGAGGCTGTTAGCTGGTCACATTGCAATTAGTAGTGAAGCTCGCATTGTTCATGACTTTTAATTGTAAACACACCAGGCTTTGTTGTCAGATCGTGAACAAAGTTAATAGATTTGTGACTTTTTGCTCTCTTCAGGAACATTTCATGAACATTAAAATTTTGTGAACTTTTTGTGAACTTTTCTAAATATTATGCATTTTTGTATTTTCATCATTTTTATAAAGAATGTATAAATAAATCATAGTTTAATGAAAAGAAAATCTTCATAGCTCGACAGTTCTTTCAAAACAACGACGATTTTAAGATAATCTGATGTTTTCTGAATACTTCCGAGAGTTTTCAGAAATTTCCGAGTTAATCCGTTAACTTCCGATCTTAAAAATTAGATGTAATATGAACTTTTCGCCATTTTTGTGAACTTTTGACGCAAGCGAGCATGAATATTTTAAATTTTTTTCTGGCAACACTGATTAAAGGAATAAAACAAAACTAACCACGAGCCAGTGAACTCCACAACAACTGGAAGTCTAACTTGGCCTCCATCTTTGAAGCCTGCATGATCCCCGCCATTGAGGGTACGGAGGCGAAATACATCACTTCGAAATTGCCGGACTTTTTGCACAAAACAGTGCTCTTCGAGCCAGCTTAATGTCTAAAAACCTTAAACAAAGTTTGAACTTTAATATAAAACAAGTTTGAACGACATTTGTTAATGTTTAAGCTTCTTTTTAGGAGGATGAAAGCAAACTTTGTTTTGGCACGTGAAAACATGCCTTATAAATTGAGTAGAAAACTGACACCCCTCGTTTTTTTTCATTAAAAGGATGTAAAATACACTTGACTATCCTTATAATATTGTTTGAATCTTTGAAAATGAAGCTGTCGGGGCAAAAAACGCTCTTTTTTGGTAATTTTTGTGTTTCCGAGCAAAATTCGCTCGCCCCAGTCCTTTTTGAAAGTTCAGAGCGTAAACAAAAAGAAAAACACTTTGCAAAATATTTCAAAAAGTCGGCAAAAAATATTTTGAGTTCGTTTTAAAAAAACTGTTATGCCATATTATTGTGTTATTATTAATTGCACCATTAAGGAGTCAAAAGGTTTAATACCCACTTAAAAAAAAGACAAAAACACGAATGACACTCCATATTCATAACTTTTGAAACACTTAAGCAAATATTGTAATGCAATACAAATATGAAAAGGATTATTAGTCTAATATTATAGAATCATCATATATTTTCACAAATATGACTAAACATTTTAAACACACATCCTGAAATATAATATATTACCTATACATTTATCATCCTCTGTATTATAAGAAAAAACTAATTTTACAATCAATATGATATACTATAAAATTTTGATACTTGATATTGCTTTGCTTGCTTTATAATCATTTTAAAACCATGGTTCAAACCTCTGAGGATGAGGGTTGCTTTTTGGCATTTATGTAGAGCTGGTTATATTAGCAATACATGTCATGTTGTACACTTGGCTATTTAATTATACCATGAACTTGCTTATAAAATGCTCAATACACAAATATGGATGCGTGTTCAAATCTTCCACCAGTTCTTAAGAAGTGGGAGAAATAAATGACAAGAACCAACAATCACCCAAAGTTCAAAATTTCAAATCATCACTTTCACACATTACAAAAAGAGCATGTGAATATCTTACAAAGCAAGTCTAACTTTAAAAGCAATAAAATTGTTAAGAAACATGTTATGTTAAGTGGATTGTGTGTATTTTGCACAGCATTCAAAGATACAGACTACCTGTTATCAGTTTTATCTTAAATTTTTGGTCTTTCGACGACAAATGAGAAATTCATATTTCGAAGTTCTCCCTTTTATGTTTTATATAATACAGCGTTACGTATACAAAACATGTCTTGGAACGTCCACAATACATCTTAACACATTAATAACCAAATTTTGCTAACGGTTTTTAAAAAAATAAAGCATTTAGGCTAGCATTCTATTTCCAAGTTAGCAGTTTTTGCAAAACAATCCGTCACGCAAACAAAACAGTCTACGCGAGATACACGCGAAGCGGCAAATCAGCTTCTAAGTGCCTTCAGACCAATGAACTCTACAAGAATTAGAGTTCATTGCTTCAGACAAGTCAAACAGTATATATACACTTTGTATATATATATATATATATATGGAATGGTAACGACAATACATTTTATAGATATAAAATTGAAGCCAAAGTCCTAGTCTCTTGCGCGGCTTGTACGTCAGTTTCATTCCCCTGAGTGCCAAACATACACGGCCAATATAAATTTGAATACAAATTGCAAAAGCATAAACATATTAACAACATCACCACAAACAGCACACGAGGCCAACTCTTCGCAAAAAGTTATTTTTTACAGCTGAAACTTTACTACAGTGAGTTCGTTGTAACTTACAACTTGTAACGAGGAAAAGCCAACTGAAAATTACACTGTATGCTAAAAAGACGATACAATAAGAAATTATGACGAGAAAATATTCAAGCAAAAATTTTTCTTACATCGGAAGGCAAATTTTCAAACGGTGTCAGACAGTGTTTGTCTTTTTTTGTCATTTCTGTGGATTTAAAGATCTGTTTTTCCGAAAAAAATAGAAACTTGAATATCCAGTTTCATAAAAAATATTGATTCTATAACTCGCATTTTTAATTTTACAGAGCGATTGTATTTTCCATCGATTTTGATAGTGCTTGAAATACCAAATGGTTGTCATCTCGACATCAGTAATTGAATATCCTTAAAGACTTTGATATGTATTAAAGGGAAACCGCAGCGTAAGAGCAGATCGACTAAGTTCACTTCACCTTGCTTCTCGATTTATCACTTTGATTCACTTTCCATGAACCTTTTGATTCCAAAAATTTCGTTATTTTTACGCTCTGATCAAGATCCGAACTCTACCATTACCAAGGGACATATGATTTTAAAAAATTAAAATGAACATGCGAGAGACTAGAGCCTGACGTGTGATGACGAATGATAACGACAAATATTTTTTTGGCTTCGGTTATCATTCCAGTTATTCAAATGTCGAGTTCACTGGTCTAGGCATGTATATATTGAGTTAGCCTTCCAGTTGTATTAGAGTTCATTGACCACGAACATTTCATGAAACATTTTCATGAAAGGTTGGTCTAGGCTTAATTGAAAGCAAAGTTTTAAATGTCGACCTTGAAACTTTCCAGGTAGAGAGCAAAATAAAAACCGACTAATCAAACGACAATATCACGTTAAACTTTTGAGTTAAGGTCAATTGGACATTGCATTAATTTCAACAAGAGTTAATAGTAAAACAGTGACATGAAAGCTTGAATGCATCACTCACCTTCTTTATCTTTTAACTTTGTTAACAAATATTCCATAAGAGCTATATATCATTTCGGATTACGTTATAGTCTTTTATTTTAAATGAAATTAACATGTTTTTTTGTTGGTTTCGTCGTGCCACACAAAAAATCATGCCATGGTTTATTTCAACGGTTCCCGAGAGAAAAGTTAGCTTATTCGCCATCATTAATTTTTGCTTCTTTTCATGCATTGTGCAATGGCTTTTTTCGCCACAATGCTATAATTTGTGTACTTGTTGCTTTATAAAAATGAATAATTACTCTTTTTTGGATATTTACGGTTTGACTTATTGTATATGTTTTCTGTAATTGATTTTCATATTACATTTCAAAAAGACTCAAATTTGCATAGGTTTGATAAATAAAAACAATTAATATTGTATGCAAATCACTAAGTAACCTTTTTGTGGTGTTCTGAAGTGGAACTGCATCAAATACTTGTAAAGTTGTAGCACATTTTGATTTTGTTGTATTGATATATGAATTGGGGAAAATGTAAATAATTATCAAAACACTTCTGCCTGCAATGGTTTTTATAAATCAATTGTGTAAATTCAATACTTCTACTTGTCCTTTTCTCATTGTTTTGTCTTTCCTATATTTGAGATGTAAGTGCACAATTTGAGTGATTAATACAGTTTGACCTCAATTAATTTCACAAGCAGTTGCAGGTGGATTTTCCCTCTAAGTATCCACATGTTGTGTTCATTCAAGAATAATGATATGCATGTGATATGTTATAGCAAGGCCATAAAACCAAATGAATGAAACACATTTTGTGTACTTTTATGCTAGAGGTACTTTTTACTTATATGTACATTTCTCTATTTTCATCATCTATCGACTGCAAATTTCTTTAAATTCACGAAAGAACTAAGAGGGAGGAATGGGGAGTCCGTAAATTGTGGCAACTAAAAATGGTTTACTATGCGGTTTAATAATTTCAATGGAAATTGCTTCTAAATTTGATGAGACGAGGTCATTTCTTATTTTATAGTTTATGGTATTGCGGCACATGCTAAATTGATATTACGAATAAAACTCAAGGTAAGAAACTTTGAATATTTTTGATGGCAATCAGTAAAGTTGTTTTAAATTTTGAGGTGTGATCGTGTCAGTTATATAGCTGGTGATTAAAACCTGCGAAAATCAAAGATGTCAATATTTAACGTTTTTTAAAAACACCACTCACCTTAACTACAAATGTTGGTAAATATTTTCTTTTAACTGCCTATCTTGATTAAATTGATTAGTTATAATTTAAAATTTGAGCAAATACTTGTTATCAAACGGCTCATGAGAGGTTTTTATAAACTAAAACCATTGTTCTCACGATATAACTTACTTTGAGTGCGAGCACTAAAGTGAACTATAATGCAAACAAAAAACAGGGGCCTTTAACGGATATTAGCCTCAAGAAACCAATAAACTTAATCTATACTTTTTTTAGATTTATTAAGTGAATAACATTTTCATGCAATATACTGCTTTTTTGTAAACAACTATTTGGTGAAAATTGTGAATTTCTGCAAAAAGGTAAAATCAATCCATATAATATGTATGTATTAAATGTTATGTCAATGTTGGTGTGTATCTTATTATAGCAGGATGCTGTTAAAGCAGTTGTACCAAGTACATTCAAAGGAAATTGAAAAAGAAAATGAGCTTGCCATGGTAGAAATGAATCCAATATATATTAAAAGAAATATGCAGAAAGATAAATAAGATAAACTGTAATGTCCAATAAAATATAATTAGCAGATTAACTTTGTGTTTTGACGAACTACATTAATTTGCCTTTAAATTGGCAACTGCTAAAAACATTTGTTACTCTTTTTTGAGAAGACAAAATTTTCCTGCCTAAAATAGGGCACATTTGTTTAACATGCCCTTTTCTTTTGCAATAGCAACATATCATTCCTAAAAAATATTAATGTTTCAGATTTTTATATTAAAAACACAAGTCTATACTACAAAAATGTGAACTTACTTGCTCTGCACTCAGTTATGTGGTGCCCAAAAAGACCACACTTCTGACATCTGCCAAAGTATTTAACAATTTATGATATTATGTACCGTATCATGGAAATTTGTTTCTTCTATCTGTAATGTAATAAAGGTAATACAATGTTAAAATATTATTAATCAAGTAGGGTCAAAAAAATTTTTACATTTCAAAATATTTTAAAAATTTTGTAGAAATTGAAATCAGAGTTTTGGCTGGGCCACCACCTCTCTCCGTAATTGCATGTTCTTCTTCATGTCCTGCAATTGGGAAATATTGTCTATTAAAATAGAAGTTATTACAACAAAGTCTTTAATGAATTGAATATTTTACACCATACCATTAAATTTGTTTCCTCTTTCTGTAAAATAATAGAAGTATCACAATAATATAAATCAAGTAGGGTTAAAAATATTCTGTAGAAAAAGATTAAAGTCATACTTTTGGATGGATCACCACCAGTCCCAACCACACTAGTAGTGTCTTTTTCTTCATATGCTGCAATTGGAAAATATTGTATATTGAATTAGAAGTTATTACAACAAAGTCTTTAATGAATCGCAATATATTACACCATACCATTAAATTTGTTTCTTCCATATGTAAAATAATAAAAGTATTACAATAATATAAATCAAGTAGGTTAAAAAAAATTTGTTGTATTTCATTTCCAATTTCAATATAATTGTACTGGCACTACTGGAAGTTTTTTTAGTGGAATGAGAATTGGTAGAGATACCATAGGATGACCACATGATTTTTTCTTTTTGTGGCCTCTTTCGATGGTCTGTAGTAGCATCCTCCACTTCTGCAAGTATATTAAGTGTAAGAACAACAAATACTTAAGCTGAAAATTCTGACTCCCATAACATACCCATTACACTTCCTTTTTTGCTTCTTCAGCCTTAAATTTCAGTGCAACAAATGCATCTTGAGTGAATCCTGGATCACCATCAATTGGATTATTCCCATTGCGGATTGGGCTTGGATGAGGCAATGCTAAATTAAACTTTTCACGTACATAGTCATAAGCTTTCCTGGAATAAAACTGCAATGTAAGAGCAAATAATCTTAGCTCAGTAGGGTAGGAAACATGTGTTTTATCTTCATGTGTTAACTTATTCAATATATCCCTAGACACTCTTGAAAGGGTATTTCAGCCTGATCAACATTAACAAAACCTTCCTCTGTTAAACTAGAAACAACAGAAGACATATCATTGACTTTCATTCTCAGTCTACCATTTCGCATCCTGTTGTTCTTAAGTTTTTTCTTAAGTGACTCAGCTTTCTCAATGACCTCCTCTAACTGATGCTTCAGTCAAAAGGAGATTGACAACTGTATGTATTGATCATGCAATAAACAGTTGAAATTGATCACCTGATTATCATGTTCTTCAATAGTACAGTAATCCTGAGTCAAATTTATTTGATTATCATCCATGACTAAATTTGGCATGGGCACCAGGCTTATTCCAAATTTAACCCCCTCACTTAAAATAGATTTTCCAATACATATTTCATTCCCAGGAATATTGAGTTGTGTTTGTATATAATTAGCAGCATCTATTAAACCTCTAGCCCCTTCATCACTGTAGTCTACATTGTTCAAAAACAAGAAGCTTTAAGGACACATTTTAAATTTAGATACTTCTATTGTATGATACATACCACAGCATTTTTGAATATAGTTGGCACCGCATTCAGCTTTAACACAACTCTATTCCCGACTTTTCCCTTCATATGGTCAGAAAAATGTTCTGAACAAATCAGACTCCATTTCTTTTGGGCAAACTCATTCATTCTTTGTGAGTTTTGCTTAATGCTAGACACCCACATGTTTTGGAGATGTGGGTGTTTTGCTGCGTCTGGAAAGCTATAATTAGCAGAGAGTTTGAGATAAATACAATTTAAATCAAAGTTTATGTTTTAAAAAATAAATTACACAAGAAATGGTATCACGCCATCACACGACAAAATTACAAAAACGAGGTACTTTTTTTATTGAGCAATAAACATTATTTTGCCTACCGGTGCCATGAAAAGTTTCCATTTCTTGTACTATTTCCACAACCATACACCACATAAGTTATAAGCATATTTGCGGATAAAGTTGAAAAATAAGTTTGGAAAAGAAAGGTATAGTATATCGCCAATTTAATTGCAATTGTAATCACTATAGTAATCGCAATCCGGGTGGGCAAAAAAATTTTTATTTCATGAGCCTGCGTGTTTCCGCTGACTTTGACAACCAAAATCAGGGAGCATGTCAAATACCTTTTTCTCTTTCATCATCTCAAGTAACTCTGACACTTTCGTTGCTTCTGGGAGTTCGTGCTCTTGACGAAAACATGCGAATTTTTTTTTGCTCAACTTTCAGAATCTCTTCGTCGATTTCATAAAATTCAGCTACAGTGGCAAAGCTCGTGTTCATTGGAATTTGACCGTGGCAGACATCTCCACGAGCATACAATATTTCCTTATCCTTCTTCCTAAATCTGTATTCAAGCTCAGAGAGTACCTTGTCAATGGACTGGTAGTACATATTAACTCGATGGTGCCGGGATTCCGGATTACCTGAATATGACCTTCTGCTGACTCACCCAAAAGGTCTTGTAGGCTTCACGGAGGTATTTGCCGTGGTGACCTGGCTTCTCGAAACTCAAAGGGAGAATCAACCAGCCAAGTTTCCATCTTTAATCTCATCAATGATGCCATCTGCCACACAAAGCCAAACTGCCGCTAACTCCTGCATTGTCGAAGTGTCTCCATGGTCATGTTGGCGATTCTTCTTGCTGAAAGGACATCAACATTCTTTCCTTGGAGATACTGACACAAACTATGTGTGTTGCTGAGGATGACTTTCACCACGCACAGTCCAGTTACGAAATCCATATCACAAACAGCTATCAGTAGTGCCCTGCTATCTGAATAGGTCTTCGCATCATTGTAGGAAGACAATTTAAGAAGAGCTTTCACTATGCGTTCGATTTGGCCGTGGACTGTATTCACTGCTTCACATCGGCATGACCACCTGGTTATACTTAATAACTTAAGCGTTTGTTTAAAGCCTTCATTTTTTGATTCAATGGCATGGCGCTTGGGGCTGGCTTCCAGAAAGTTGTAAAGAGCTTGGATGTTGCCCAAAGCGTTCCGCGATGCGGCAATGGCTCAATTTCTTTCATGGCATCCAGAAGAGCAAGGTTTAGAAGGTGTCTATACTCTATAGCAATAAAAATAGATGCCACAAGGAGAAAATTCTTTCATTCTGAACAAAAGGTCGTTATGAATGCCATTCATATTTGCGGCTCAATCAAATGCCTTTAAAAAGAACCTCGCCTGTTGTGAATTCGACTAGCATAGAAGCCGACAAATGCTTCTTTCTTTCTTTCATTTATACAAAAACTTAGGCAAAGTAACACTTGCTTTGTCTTGCTGATGTCAGAAGTCTCATGAAGAATGATGCCATACCATTCGCTAGCTCAAACATCAGTAACAATGCGTTCTCGAACGCTTTCGCAAATTATGTACGTCACTATACTCTAAGTGCTATTTGATTGTGTTTGAGAGCATGCAGACTCAAATATTCAACTAAAAGACTCAACACGAACAAATATTAAAATATAAAATCTTTGCCATTTGCTGCCAAAAATACGGCGTCTTACCAAATTTTGGGGGGCTGCCCGTACGCCTGTGATTGCCGGTAATACTCTTCTATGATGAAATACACATTCTTGGGTCGTGTTTTTAAATCTGGTAAATGTTCAAGAGTAGGCTTTTCACTTGGACGGCGTGCGCAATGTTCGCTCTCACGAAAAAAAAAACACATTTTTGTTGCCTGTACGTTGTTAATCGGGTCCAAAAGAACTAGTCTCAAAGTTTTAAATTTGGGCTAGAAAAATGAATTGAAGCAGAATAGTTATTTCCACAGTTATAATATACAGTTAATGAATTTACCTTTGGGGGAAAAGCAATACTGATCAAAACGAAACCTTGAAAGGGGGGTCGTTTTACAGTCTATTAGGGAATAAAGTAATTGAGGAGCATTCTTGATGTTTCTTATGTGGCCATAACACCTGACTTGTCAATTGTCACAATGACTGTAGACAACATACAGGGCCAAATTTAATGTCCTCTTAGGGGGCGCAACAAGGCCTAAAAATGTATAGTTTTTTGCCTATTTCAATCAATTTTCTTGGCTTTCTCCCACAGACAGGAATCGTTACTGGCATTGCATCTTATTATTAATCCAAGCTTAATAATATTTTCTTTATTCAAGAAGAAAATATCTTACAGTCATAAATTTGAACGTACAATTTATATGTTAAAATTGTTTGGATGATAGCTCTCTTTAATTGCATGTATGCAGTTCTCAAACATCTGCGACGGTAAGAATTTTTAATGAGCTTCTCCATATATACTTGAAACAAAAAACGCTGGAATAAAATGTTTCGTAATAATGTTTTTGAAAACATGCAGTAAGTTTTTTGCATAGAAGACGGTAGGAGAGTTTTTATCTACTCTTAATTGCCAATGATTGTCAGCTCGCGAGCAAATATCTTTCTTGAATTCATGATGCAGTTCTAATTTTTTCCATTCTTTTTCGACTTTTGTGCTCAGGTAAATTGCACAATGTCTTTGTTTGCGTGTCGCCTTTTGTCTATATGTTTTTCACCTCATAAAGTTCGAAAATATTCTTATATATATTTATTTATTATTTGAAATTTGATAAGGTTGTCGAAATGTCAGTCAACATCAACAGCAACAGTCCTTTACACGACTCTACTAACCTGGACGATCTACATCAAAAAACATGCAGCTATACTCCCGAATTTAAACCATTTACTTTATTTAAAATATCTTTGCTTTAATCGAATGCATGGACTTTTATTTGTTTTATCAACGTCGAAACGAGAGAATATGTAAAGAAAAATGTTGTCTTTCAACACATTTTTTTTTAATATTTTCACTTAACTGAGTTAATAATGCCACACACGCTAAGATGTGATTTTTTCTTGTTTTGTGTGTGGGGAAGATAAGGGGTTAAAACTAAATGGGATGGTTTAAAGCGATCAAATTTTTAGATAACACCAAAAACAACACCATAACTTTACCCTACGGCAGAAGATACACAGACGATGTAAAGGTATTCTTCCTCACACTTTAGTATTATTCAACATAAAGGATTGCTTATTGATCATTGATGCAATGTCCATACGAAAACAAACTTTCCTGGAATTTTAATGAATGAATTTGTAATAAATATTGCTCTATCTTATTTTGTTCTCTTTTTTCTCTTAAATATCGAGCTGAAGATTGATTTATTTTCGGAGTTTGTTTACTTTTATATTTTCCGAAATGAAATTCCTCAACAATCCTAACATTCGTTTCCAGGCTACAGAGGGAGATTCTAAATCTTAAACTTCCTCATTTAAAATTTCAATTATAATCCTGAAGAAATCCGTACTTTCTCAAAATGAACTGAGCAAACTATCGCAAGCCCTCGTCTAAGTTTGATTTCCCTACACTTTAGTCAAAATATTTTCCAGCAATGCGACCCAATGACAGAGCTTTTACCAAAATTCATGAAATTACTGGTTTTTGCGCAAAATGCAAAATTGATCGGGGTTGGCTGACAGGAGTCTAAAGCAAATGACGTCATTAGAATCATGCAGCTGAATAAAAACCTCAACTGGAATGAAGCATTTTTCTCGGTTTTTGTAGAAATGCTGCAGCCCTTTCTTCAAGTAATACGAAAAAAATACATATAGAGATAAAAAAAAACTTTATTGCTACATACATATACTGAATATTTTCATATGAGCCATGATTTTTCTAAGAATCTAATTGACAAAAATTTAAAATAATTATATTCATGAAAAACTAAAACTGAGTTTGCATTAGACTGTGTATAGCAGTGCAAGCAGATCTGAGCTCAATTAATTCAATATTGAAGAGAATTTGCTTTTCAATGATGAATACAAGTTAGATGAAAAAGATTTGTTACAAATTTATCTGTTTCTCAATATTGTTATTTTATAGAAGAAACAAGAAACGTTTTTCGTGTTTATACACTACCTTCTACAATTTTTGGAGACGTTTGTGGGAACTCTCGAGCAGTTGATTCAGGCTTGCCCTGATCTTTTTTCAAGTTCTCCTGAATGTCTGTTTGGTTTGCATGTACTTGTGCAAACACAGTAGCCATTTTTTATTTCTTAATAAATAATCATGCGATTAATGTTATTGCCTTGAGTCTAATTGCCATTGTTTCGTTTTTTTCGACTTAAATCATCGTTACCAGTGTATAAGGTCTAAAATTATTTTAAAAACTGCAGATCCAATTTTATGACTATATATGTTCTTCTCTTTTTTCAGGATTACTTCATTGTGATCATCGTTGAACATTTCTTCCCAAATTATTTGGTGCCCGAATCGAAAAACTTAAACAGTTACCAGATTATTCAATAGCACTCTTATACATTTGGAAACGCTATATTTTTTATGATTTGGAAGTAAATATCTTAAGCGATAATCCTCAATATGAAAATGTCATCTTATTTATTTGTGTGGATTCCCTTTACTTAGATACAAAAGCAAAGCTAACTTTTTTTATCAATTCTATACAATCTTTCATATAATGCGTAAGTGTTTGTCATCCACATTTTTTCTACAGTCATTCGAACATCAATGAATGGAATGGAATTTTTTAAAGAAATGAATAATAATTGTGCTGAAAATTTTGTATTCTAGATGTATAAGTTCAAGCACATTTTGCTGTAATTAGTCATCGCTTTTCACATTTCAATTGCATGCAGCTCTCAAACATTTGGTGACTAAAAAGCCATTGTATGCTTTGATTAAGAGCTGAGATAGTTTGTCTGTCTTTGTTAGCATAACTTCTATATTTTCTTGTTATTTCATCCCATCAATAATGAAGGTAATCTTCAAAAAGTCATTAACCCTTAAAAAATCTGTTTGCTTCAGCTATGGTGCATGAACTTTTTCTTCTTTTATACAGCAACGTTAAAATGAGACAGTATTTAGCTAATAAAACATTTTTCATTCGACACATTTCTTTTCAATATTATCACTTTATTTTACATAAGCACAGACTACGGAAGATAAAGAAAGGCCACTCATGTCGGAACCTTTGATGTTTTTGTCCTCACGCATGTTGTGCCGCACATATCGGCTGCCATTAATTGGGCAAGACATTTAGGGTTTTTCACTTGCTCCCAACCACTAAAACGACCCGGCGTCATTTCTTAAGTTGAAATATTTTTAATTTCATTACGAAGAAACGATGTCATATAATTGCTGTGGTTGGAAACAAGTGAAAAACCCAAAGTATTTTGCTCGAATAATGGCGGCCATGAGGACGCTGTGCACACTTAAGTGACCCTAAGTATAATCACTATTCTTTGACACAAGCAAGAGGACTAAAGCTATGATTATTCTTTCTAGTGCGTATTCTCTTCTTAACTTCAGGTAAAGAAATAATGCTTGCCAGAGCAGTTTGTCATCATGAGCACAAAACGACAGTGTGTGAAGAAAAAACTGAATCGAACTTCAATATGCTATTGTGCATTTGATATTGTGTTTTACGCTTGAACAAACGATTAACTTAGCTTTCCCTAGTTGTTTTTTATTTCATGCATGATAATAAAAAAATGACCAAGTACTCCTCACAAAATGATTGCAAGTAAAAATTGAGTTTTTTCACCTTTGGGCATTGAGAGCAGCAAGGCTTCGCTGCCATTTCAAAAACAATGAATGGCAAGTTTATCCCTGGGTTGTGTCATACGCTAAACAATGTTCAATGATTTATTTAATTTAATGAGTGTCGAAATTTTAGTTTTGCTATTAATTTTCGAATGGAATGAGAATAATATCTTAATTTTAATTAATAAAAAAAACTTTTCAAAAGCTGATATCGAAGAAAATATGTAATACTCAGCATGCATTTGCAAATAAATTTTCTTTAAATCTCAACTAAAATTGTTCCTTGTTTGAGTTGGAGAAAGGAAAACCTCTAACAGATGAAGCGAAAGCATTAAATAAAGTTCTCTTCAAATCGACTAAAATCATAAGTCATACAGTCTAAATGAGAATCATAATTCCGAGATCACAAAAAACTAATTTGTTATCATGCATCACTGGAAATATTTAATGGCTAAATCTTTTGCTTTAGCTATTTAGTCAATTTTCAACTATAGGTACATTTGCTAGCGCGCTTTTTGACTAAAGATACGAGCCGAGAATGCATGTTTGGAAGTTTTCAAGTGTAAAATATGATCTCTACGAGTTTTCCGTGTTCCTTTTCTTCATATTATCAGCCTAGTACTTTATTTTTTTTAAAAAAATATTGCTGATCTTCCTTTAAAACAACGCAAAAAATTATAGAGCAACATTTATTTTTGTAAATTTATTGCTTCAACTATACATTGCATCTCTTAACTAAAACAATGACTGTTTTAAATATGTCTATATGACAGTATGTTCTAACTAAAAATATTCAGCAATTGGGTTAATGTTAATATCTGGAGCCTAGTTACCATAACTGAGTCTTTTGTTACGACACAAAGACATAGAACCAGTGCATTTATGTATAGCAAAGGGCTTATGCTCTCTTTTATTTTTCAAGATTACTTCGTTGTTATCGCCGTGGAACAAATCGTCCCAAATCCTTTGATGTGCTTCCAAACATTCTCCATGGACAACAAGAGTGAGGAAAATAACCACCAAAAGTTTTTGCAATGCTGTCATTGTCGTAATTTTCTTGTGAACAATGATACCGAAAAACTTGGCTTTATTCTCGTTAAAACTGAAAGTCTTTCTTGCCTTTGTATATAGATACGAGGTTTGAACAGTTGGAGGAGAAAAAGCATAATGTTTTAAAAGGTCTCTTAAACACTAAAAATGTTTTTTCATTTTAACAGGTGTTTTAGGGCTGATATATGCCGAACAGTCCATTTTCCTTTTCGGAAAATATTCATAACGTTTTTCTTAATGAATTCGTGGTAGATATAGTAATTAAAGTTGCAACTAAAAGTCTTTATTTCAGAGCAATAGGAGACGTTGCTAAATTGCAAAGATGTTTTGAAAATTCTCTTAAACAACTAAAGTTAAAAAGTTGGAGGAGAAAAAGCATAATGTTTTAAAAGGTCTTTTAAACACTAAAAACGTTTTTCCATTTTAACAGGTGTTTTAGGGCTGATATATGCCGAACAGTCCATTTTCCTTTTCGGAAAATATTCATAACGTTTTTCTTGATGAATTCGTGGTAGATATAGTAATTAAAGTTGTAACTAAAAGTCTTTATTTCAGAGCAATAGGAGACGTTGCTAAATTGCAAAGATATTTTGAAAATTCTCTTAAACAACTAAAGTTAAAAATTTTTCTTTCGCATGAAAAATGAAGTAGAGAAGATATCGTAAACTGCTTAAAACTGACCAGTTTGTCCTTCATTTGTTAAAATAGCTTTTCTCGTCTCATCATGATAGCCTAATATATGCTTTTCGTTTTTTCTTTCGCTTTCCATAAATTGTTTTCTTTGAAAATATCGATTATTTCTGTATTCGAGCTTCTGGTTGCCTTCACGTCGTGCCTTTCATGTTCTCCGCTTTCCAAGTTTATTTTTATGTCATGTTTTCATTGATGATAGTCTTTTCTAAGATTATTTTCTTTATTTTTGTTGAAAATTTTTGCGAAAGTGGAGAACTAAAAATATTTAGTCAGAAAATACCTCAAGGTCATTAACAGGAAAATATCAATTCAATTTTATATGCTGAAATTTAGTTGGATAATAACGCCTTTAATTAGTCATCGATTTATTCATTATAATATAGTATGCAGCTCACAAACATCTGGAGATCGATCTTTTGAAATTTCTCTATACTCAAATTAAACAAAAAGACATTAATTGTAATATCCCCTAAATCATAACAAGCAATTTTTGAGGTGCTGTAGAAGTGTTTTAATTTTGATGAAAGTTAAATTTTCATTAAACATGAAATGCATTGTTTAGTGTTCAAGAGTATAACAATGCGTTTTATGTTTAATGATACTTTCTTTTCCACCATGCGTTGTTCTTGGTTCTTCCTTTTTTTCCCTTAATATTTGTGCTTTATGTTTCTTTCTTAGATAGAATATTGTATTCTTTACTAATGCTCTTCATCTCATTGAAGTCGAAAATGTTCTTGTTTCTTCGACAAGTATTTAAAACCTCTATATCTAATAGATTGGGATAGTTTATCAACCAAAGTATTAAATCTCTTTAAGAATCATTTCGAGAAAGCGTTGATGGCTAAGATAAATGTGGCGATCTACGCTTGTTCAGGTCTTTGCCACCCTCATGTCTTCTGGATTTGCATCGTCCTTAAAACAATTTCTCTTGATATTTTAATTCAACCATGCATGCTTGTTATAATTCTGATATTATCATATTTAAAATACTTGCTGTAAAAGCTACACAATTTTGGTGGACATTGCATTGCACAAGGCCACGCTAGCTAGATCATTGGAGGGCCAACATTCATATGTGTTCTAATTCAGTAGTTTTTCATTGAAATAAATTGTGACAATGGCTTAACAAAAATTAAATTAAAAAAAAACGAATATATAAATGAGCCACGCGTTGTATACTATTGCACTTTAGATCTCTTCTTCAACATAAATGCTGGAATGAATAAAACGTATGAGCATTTCATTATTATCAAAGAAATGAAACAGTTGTACAAGTTTGGGATTGGTTTGAGCTTTAAGATATAAATATAAGCCGTTTAATATAGAAGCCGTTTACATCGCACATATTACATATATACATGGACCATGGCAAAATTATAGTGCCTCAAGTGCACTTCCAATGATGAATGTTGCTAACAAAATAAATTAGTAGTGAAATTAATATCTATGACATAAACAAGAATTGTTAAAATGAAGAAATGCGAGAAATAACAGTTGAATTTGGTAGAGCCATCCATCATTTAGACTTCAACAAAATGCGGTAGAAACGTACGCTGAAGAACGAGAATGACTTACGTAAATACTCTACATATTTGTAGTCATAGTTTTCTTGCTATGCTTCGCTGAAGGAACACGATTTTTTTTTAAACGGAAAAACAAGTGAAGTAAACTTTTGCGATAATCTTTCAGACGAAGTGAATAAACTAATGGATTGGCGACAAAATTGATCATGGCAATGGGCTCGTAGTAATATGGAAGTTTAACCTTCAAATCATCAGATCCACCATTTAATCTGTGTATGTACTCAACCTGTTTGGCAATAAAGTATGGAAGGGCTGTAACAATAAGAATAGCATTGAGTAGGATAACAGTTTTGGCAACTTCTCTTTGCTGCTTGTTTCTGGTGTCGTTTGTCATCATTTCTCTAGGTGAGAGAATTTCTTTTATTATGAATGTTTTCATTATGATCTGAATGATTGTTGCCAACTCCAAAACAGAAATGGTTGCCACGAAAAAATACCATCTTTTATCTTTAGAAATGTCGTCAATTTCAGGTAGAGCAAGCGCCAACGACATAACCCACACAATCCCAATGATAAGTGAAACTCTTCTTCTTGTCATGACAAGGCGGCTTCTTATGGGATATTTAACTATCATGAAAGTTTGGACTGTGAGGAGCGTAAGAAAAAAGAATGAGCCAACTACACCAAATTGCCAGAAGAACTCTGTATAAATTTTGGACTTGTTGTTTACTTCAATATCCCACCATTTTACGATAATTGAAGATGCCACTCTTGCTGAGCAAGCCATTGTGTCGGACAAAGAAAGATTAAGGATTGTTATCCATGCTCCACGATGAAGGATCTTCATGGGATCACGAAGCATTACCAAAACCAGTAAAGTGTTTAAAATAATTCCAACTGGTCCCACAGCTATAATCGCTAAATGAACCTTTCCGTAAGTCCTTTCCCATTCATTCTGAATTTCGAAAGAAAAAGAACGTTGTGAGTAGTTTTTAAGACAAAATCGAAAATTGAGTGATATAGACTAGACTTCGTTAATGCTCATTCGCAAGACAATTATTTTTGTACGAGTACTCAAAATGTAAATCATTGATCAAAGATCGCATGAACATCAGCGATACTGCATATAGTATAAACATACCTAAATCTTTATGTTTGTTCATACGATACATTGAAATGATTGCCGAGCTTGGGTGAGGGCGTGGACATACTACTTTCTACATAGACCACACAATTATTAGATATAGTTCAGTATCCAACAAAAAAGTATGCTTTTCGGTTCTTTTACCACGCCTCTCCTACTTTTCAACAGGCTATATGCAGTTTCTGTTATGCAAAACCTGAAGGATATGTTCATTGAAAACATTGCACTGAATAAATCATTTTGAAGTTCTTTCTCTGACTTGCTTTGATCGAAAATTTAATAACTGAATCCCTTAAAAACTTAGTGCATATTTATATATGAAAGTCACAGGGTAAATTGTCGAAAAGAACGGACTGATATTATCACTGCAGATAAACAATCACAGACGGATAGCATTTCCGGACGGACGGAGTGAAGAGCTTAGTTCCTATAAACGTGGATTTCAAGAATGTTATAGACGTTGTAAAATATCACTTTCGCGTTATCTCAAGTGTCATCCGTGTTTTACTCGAAATAGTATAAAGCAGTTGTTTAAAATGTGACTTTTACGCTGTTTGTAGACTCACCGTGTCTTAATCGAAAGGGCATAAAGCTGACGTGGTTTAAGATGAGAATTTCATGCTGTTTCTTTGCTCAAACATTTTATGAAAGGAATAGTATCAATAATTTATGATTCATGCTTATGAGTTTTTCTTGAACAATTGATTGAAATGAAAAAGCATGCAAAAAAGTATATTTTAATTTAAATCTCATTTCTTTAATGAATAATTCAAAGTAAAGTTGAACTACACAAATCAACATAAACGACTGACTGACCGATCGAATGACTGAGTTTCATCAATTACATAGATCTATATGCTCAAACTGGATGTAGCATGAACAATGTAATCTTATATAATTCCAAACGATTGTTTCCTTTGCGCGTATAATCCTGTCTCTCTGTTGTCAAAGAATTGAGTCCTCTGCTGGTTCACAACTATTCAATTATCTTTGTTTCAACTTTCATTCATTTTGCAACTACAAGGGGGGTCAGAGGCCTAAGTCAAGTCAACACGATTGAGTTTTTATTGGAATTCAACACATTGTCACTCAACAAATCACTATAAATGCAAGCAATATGTATTTATATAAAAAATATACCTCATTTAGAGTGAGTTAACATCAATTTAAGTTTTTAATATTGTGTATGTCTTCCTTCTCTGGTGAGCTTAGAGTGAACAAGTTTCTAGAGTACTCATGGATTAACACTATTCCATATATCTCGTTAAAAACAATGCGATCAATTCTCAGTCAGATTATAGTTGTAGAGATTAAGACAAAAAAGCCATAATTTTCAGATCTCCTTTTTTAAGTAATTTGAGAAGTGATTTTTGTCATAGATCATTATCTTGCTGCAACACAAAACTTTTCAACACAATTTTATGACGTATCTCTGTATAATTGAATATGGTTTTGTTTTCTGTCCAGATGGTTTGTATTTTTATTGAGATCACCAACACCCTTTTATAGCTACTTAAGCTCCTCAGATCTGAGTATTTCTATACCAACATTTTAGTTATTGGTTTAATGCAAGAAGCGACAATTTTCTCAATTATTCCGACGACTGACATATAAACCAGCCGCTTGTTTCTGCATATTTTGAATTTTTATTCATCCGTAAAAAGAAAATCCCAATCCTTTTAAGGGTAAAATTTATATTTTCGAGCCCATACCCTTCGTGTTATTTTGTTGCAGGCTCTAAGCAATGGTTTCCGAATTAAAACTCGTCCGATCAGACTATATTTATTCACTTATTGACTTTTATGTGTTGTATTTAGTAATAACAGGATGTTATCAGCCTTAACTGGCTATTCCGTTAGGCAAAGAAGTCGTCTCGGAGTTGTGGCTCTATTGGCTTCCAAAATCACTTTATGACAGAGAAAGATCCTGACTCAACTACCTTTTAAAAGTTAGCTGTACTGCACTCTGTGTAATTTTCATCTTCTCTGCAAGTTTTTATTGGGACATACGTTGGTTCTTAAGAGGAATTATTTGAGCTCTTATTTCTTCGCTGAGCTCGTTTGTCATCTTTTTTCCAGGAACACAAAATCACTTTTTGCGCTGGAACATTTTTATCTCACGGCAACTGAGAAGACAGAAAGGGGGAGGCATTGCCAATACAATTTGCATGTTCATCATCACTGTTTGTTCTTTCCTAACTCATAAAACATTATTTACTGTCATTCCTAACAAAATAACTAAGAATTGGGACCCCTCCCACTGTGAATATACACGATACATCACTGTGGTGATTTTATGTGTTAGAATTGATTATTTAGATCATTACATAGTTTGTTTTGAATGTCTAAAAGACTGAAACCATACCAAAATTTCTCGAACGGTCACTCATCCTATCACATGCGAAAACTGAATAAAAAGGGAACGTCTATTTCCAAACAAGTGAAATGCATTTGTATACAACATTCTTTTTTTCACCTCAGCTGTGTAAAAGTAGACATTTGGGTTACGCCATAATTCTCACCGTGACATATTTCGTACTTAAGACAATTGGAGATACTTATGTTAACTTGAACACAATTATCATAACTGCACCTGAGAACTAGCTACTTGAGTAATATGGTTTTCAAACAATTGACTGATTTATGGAATTTAAACTATCTTTGAATAATTCTTGAAAGAAATGACATATTATAAAACGAAATATAATTTTTTGCGAGCTTTTTCAATCATATGTTTAAAGTGCCCGTTCCGTAAAAAGTTTTTTAGCAATATGAAATCTGTCTATGATTTTAAGCTTCTTTAAGAAGGAATTTTTGAATTTTATAAAATCGTTTGTTTTTTGTAAAGTGTCAAATTTTCACAAAATCGTATATTCTTGTGAACCATGTCCGTGACAATGAGGAGTCTGAAACTAGTTAATTTTCTGACGTCATCCAAAGTACTCTTCTTATGTATTCAATTGCTTTCAAGTCATTGCTGAGGCATATTTAAGTCTATAAGCGTCTAATAGCTTTGCTCTTGCCCTAGTAAGAGCAGAAAAATGGTAAATACTTGCGTTGTGGCCAATTGAACGAATATATCAAGCCTTAGCTCTGGTGGAAGTCTTCACACTATATACCTTATTATAATGATAAGATGACTGAGGCTAAGCGAAAGCAGAAAATATGGGTTCGTTCTATTAAATCAAAGAGCGTATTTGAGCCGTCAAGAGTTTCAAGAATTTGTTCAGATCACTTCAGACCAGAGGATTTTGAGCGTCGATTTAGTAGTTTGCCGAATGAAAAGAACGCTAATTTTCCAAGGCTTAAAGAGATAAGCTTGAAATTTGTGTCTTTCCGACCACTCACGCTTTGGGATCAAAATTGCTAAAGTTTTCTTTGCCTGCCGAGCTTTCTATCGCGTATCGCTGTAAAAAGTTTCTGTCACAATCATCTGACGGAACACTGCTGATTAAACTAAATATGCCCTAATTCCGACCACCTGAGATAACATCGAAATACCTTCTAGTGTCAGTTTCTTTCGTATTATAGAAAACAACGGCAATGGACCAAAAATGCACAAACTCAAGACGCCATAAAAGCTTGTTGATTTGACAAAATTCAAAAATTTTTACTCATACAGAGATGACTAAGGGCCTGTTCACACTGGTCGTTTAGATATATATTTTTTACCTTTTAAGTGTGTGCAATTTAATTCACTTTGTGTAACTTACTTACTCAACTAGTTGAAACACATGTCTAAATTAATAAGAAACCTATTTTACATCAGTCACTGTTAAACTCCACAATGGGATCTAAAAATTGTTAGAAGGTGAAAATGTCAGTTGCATAACAGGGAGGCAAAAACCAATTAAGTCAACCTTGACAAAAGCAGTACGTTTTGGTACCTGTATTGATGATCAACAAGAGCTTGGAGAACAATAGAGTAGAATCCTTTTCGATTTTAGTAATCTTGTGCAGAATTTGAAGGTGCTACAATTTGAATATGAGTGCCATCAATGGCTCCAACGCATTGAGGAAGCCCCATGTTGTTAGAAAGGCATCGACGATACTCTGCAGTCGATCGCCCGTTGGCCATTTGATAACAAGACGCAGTAACACGTCAACAATACCTTGGCAAACCTCGTTCACGATTTCACAGGCTGTACTTTTTCCTATAACAAAACGCCAAGCTAAAGAACGCAAATCTTCATTGGTAGCCAAATGCCAAAGACAAATTCCTACTCTTTTTGGCACAGGGTTAGCCTTTCTGAAATTTGTATCTTCTCGCAAAAGAGTGTCATTGATCTTGTCGCAAATGAAATCGAATGTTTAGACATACGAAAATTTTCTAGCCACAACCCATCATCTTTCCACACATCGATCGTTTTTTCCCAGAACAAACCGCTGCCTTTACTTCGCTGCTTTCTCAGTTTCAAACAATATTTCTTTCTTCTTTCACGACGCATTCGCATCTTTTTGTGGTATTCAGATGTAATATTGAAAATGGTTGCGATCACTTCGTCCGCCATATTTGGATTGCAATAATATAAATATTACTTATAAATATTATTTAATAAATAATACTACTTAAAATTACTAATATTACTAATATTACTAATATTACTTAATATTAATTATAAATATTACTTTTGTTGTCAAGGAAACTAGCTCGGCTTACGTGCAGCGTCAGTTAGGTAATATTACTAATATTACTAATATTACTAATATTACTTAATATTACTTATAATATTACTTTTGTTGTCAAGGAAACTAGCTCGGCTTACGTGCAGCGTCAGTTAGGTAATATTACTAATATTACTTAATATTAATTATAAATATTACTTTTGTTGTCAAGGAAACTAGCTCGGCTTACGGGCAGCGTCAGTTAAGTGTGAACACTCACAAAATTGAGCTTGGTCATTCACAAGATCGATCTCAGATCGATCTTATCGGATCGATCTTAAAGTGAGCTAAGTGTGAACAGGCCCTAAATCATAGGCAGATTTCATATTGCGAAAAAATTTGGTGGAAGGGGCACTTTAAGAAATTACTTATAAGAGCAATGAATCATAGCAATTAGAATTATCAAAAAATACTTAAAAAATGAAACAGAAAGAAAGTCACACACACGGACGAGCCTTGAAATTCACGTTTTGTATGCTCATCCGTCCGTAATTGTTCATCCGTATTGATAGTTCCGGCCGTCGTACTCTCGTTTTGCATTACCCTTTGGTCATTTTAGAACTATTGGCTTTTAATTTTGTGCATATATCTCTTCAATTACTAAATTTACCTTACGAATCTCTTTTCTGATATCTATACAGTTTTTTGGTAGTTGTTTGACCGGTATTGAGCAGCTACAGTTTTTAAGTTTGTATTTCCGTTCAAATCTAGTGTTGCAGTTTTCACTTGGTTCAGCAAAATTCACCAATACAAATAAGGCAACGATGCAAATAGTAATCATCATAATCTGCTATGGTATCTCTTTGACGTTCATACAATGAAAACAGGCTGTCTTCTGAAAAAAAAAATATAAACATTATTATTTATGTACGATCGTCGCACATGATGATTACACCAAAATTTGAAAGACAGTTTTTACAATTTAACTAGCTTTCCTAAAAGCTTATTTCCTACATAGCACTTAATTCACTTATGTTTTTTCAATAATCCCATTCACAAAGGCACGATGTTTATCCACCAAACGACGTTCAAGAAGAAATATCTATGCTGACGCTTTGAACGTGACGCCTGTGTCATGTAATACTTGTAAAAAATATAAAACCTTAACACAATAAAACATTTAAGATTCATTTAAGCATTATGTGCTCCCACATTTTGACTAAGATCATTAACAAGCCCTGACCAGATATTTTCACAAGATCCAAAAAAATTGCTCTTGAATCTTCTTGTTTACTTTTGCTGTTCTGTTGACACAGAAAGATCTATTTATTCATTTGAAGAATTCAGTCTGCTGAGTCTAAACATATGATTTACGAGTAAATGGATACCTAATGGAGAAGAGACTCCTTCTTCTTTGAAGATATTTACAGGGGCGGATCTAGAGTATGTCAAATCCGTCGCGCGACTGATGTTTGAAATTCAAAAATTACCTATTCATATTAGTTAAAAATTCATTATTTATTTTTACTTTATTATCGCATTTACTCATTGAGCTCTATAAGACCTCAATTATAGAACTCAATGCATTTACTTCGTGATAAAAATCCAGCTTTATTTATTATTGAAAACTAATGACTAATCCAATGAATATCTCCTTGGTAACCAGATCAGTTGAATTTTAATTGACCTGGAACAGTGAACTCGACATTTGAATAACTGGAATGATAACCGAAGCCAAAAATTGAAGCCAAAAAAATATTTTTCGTCATCATTCGTCATCACACGTCAGGCTCTAGTCTCTCGCGTGTTCATTTAAATTTTTTTAAATCATTTGTCCCTTGGTAATGGTAGAGTTCGGATCTTGATCAGAGCGTAAAAATAACGAACTTTTTGGAATGAAAAGGTTCACGGAAAGTGAATCAAAGTGATAAATCGAGAAGCAAGGTGAGGTGAACTCAGCGAATCATATATAAATATAAATATATATCGTTGAAATGAAATCCATACGTTTATTTTTTTTAACAAAAGGATGCAATATATAATGTGAGAATATAATAGTTACGTCATAATGTAATCACGTGTTCCATAATCTGTAACTCGATAACTTTCCTGTTTTGCTTATATATGGCGCTTTCTACACGTGCCTGCTTTATGTGAAGTTAATACTGTTAAATAAACCTTCTTTGTATAAACCAAAGTTTCGGATTATTTTATCAGGTTATGGGCCCAGAACGGTCGTTGAAGCTTTACTAATTTGTATGTGTATTATTGACACGATAAGGGATAAATTGTGAAGTAAAAGCGCGTGTCAGCCGTATGTTTAAGATGGCCGAGATTACAAAAATAGAGCACCTCGATGGCAAAAATTACCAGTCGTGGAAGTATAATATAAAGCTTGTGTTGATGGAGCGTGGTCTATGGGGATTTGTTGAAGGAACAGAGGTTGCCCCGGATGACACGGCGACAACAACTGTAAGAAATTCATATCGTCTGCGTTCCAACAAAGCATATTCGTTAATCACGCTCAGCGTGCAGAAAGATCTACAAGTCCATATTTTGTCGACAATAGATCCTCGCGCGGCTTGGGAAATCCTACAAAAACAGTTTGAATGTGTTTCGATAACACAAATCGTTCGACTTAATCGTCGATTCTACGCCGCTACTATGAAAGAAGGCACTGATATAATGACACATCTAACGTACATGACGTCTTTGGCAGAGCAATTGCGAGAGTTAAGAGAAGAAATAACGCCACAGAAATTCGCAACCGTAGTGCTTGGAAGTTTGCCAGATTCATACGACAGTTTTATTTCTAGCCTCAACGCTACCAAACCGGATGAACTAAATTGGGACAATGTGAAAGGTTTACTCATCGAAGAATACAAGAAGCGTGAAGAGAAAGAAAGACAGCGCAAATGTGAAAATTCAGGTGACAGAAATGAAAATGAAGCACTATTTTCTAAAAGAGGTAATTGGTCGTCTCGTGGAAGAAATCGACGTGGTCAAGGTGATCGCAATGTTGGCAAGTTCAAAGAGAATCAGCACCACGAAACTGGATCAGGTCAAGGTCCGACGTGTTTCAAATGTAGAAAAGTTGGCCATGTGATGAAGAATTTCCCACTCAATCGTAGAAGTCATCACTTAAGCATTGCAGAGACAGATGGAAAGAAACAACATTTTGATAACATTGCTCTTAATTCCTACTCAAGTGCTAGTAGTAAAGACCAAGACACTAACTGGTTCATTGACAGTGGAGCAACAAAACATATGACTTTTCAAGTCGATCAACTCCTCGACTATAGTGAGTATGGGATGCCATCTAAGATATACCTTGGTGACAATAGTACAATTGATGCATATGGTGAAGGAAAGGTCAAAATTCCCTGTTATGATGGATCTAATGTTATCACTCTTACCCTAAGCAATGTGCTGTATGTGCCTGAAATCTCGAAGAACTTATTATCTGTACCTGCCATGACTAGGCTTGGAGCCGAAGTGTTGTTTGATAAAGGAAGGTGCGTTGTTTCGAAAGATGGCAGAAGTATTACTATTGTACATATCATTGAAGACAAGCTGTATATAATGAATACACATGAATATGCCCAAGTAGCTCGTACTGATATGCCTTCATTGGAGAAATGGCATTGCAGGTATGGTCATATGAACTACTCCTGCTTAAATCAGATGATTAAAGGGAAGCTAGTTGAAGGTTTGAAATGTTCAAGTAATGAATTCAACAAAGAGTGTGAAGCTTGTGCTCAGGGAAAGATGCATTGGCTACCTTTTCCGAAGAAAAGCATCAACAAGACAAGCCAACCACTTCAATTGATTCACAGTGATCTTTGTGGTCCAATGAATGTCGCATCCACGGGTGGAAGCAAGTATGTACTAACGTTCACTGACGACTACACCAAATTCGTCACAGTATATTTCATTAAACGAAAGGCGGAAGTAACGTGCTAGTTCAAAGAATACGTGTCCATGGTTGAGAATGAATCAGGCTATAAAGTGGGGTCAGTTAGAACTGACAATGGAGGAGAGTACACCTCGGAATCATTTCGTCAAGTTTGTGTGGAAAAAGGAATCAAACACCAGCTTACCAATCCCCACACCCCAGAGCAGAACGGCGTATCTGAGAGACTAAACAGAACACTACTAGAAAGTTCTCGCTCAATGCTCTACCATGCCAAATTACCACTCCATTTTTGGGCCGAAGCAATAAATACTGCTGTTTATTTACATAATCGTAGTGCAACAAGTACCCTGAAAAATGAAACGCCATTTGAAAGATGGTTCGGAAAGAAACCAGATGTTTCAAATTTAAAAGTATTCGGATGCGTGTGTTTCGTACATACCCCAGATAGTCTACGAACCAAACTCGAACCCAAAGCTAAGAAAGCAATATTTGTTGGATATCCTCAGGATACTAAGGGATACAAGTTGTATGTATTAGAGGCAGAGCGATTCATCAGAAGCAGAGATGTCCTATTCCATGAAAATAAGTTTCATTCTTTCCAAGACACCAGCTGCTCTAATAGCACCCATTTCTTCATCTGCAAAACAAGAGAAGAGGCAGAGCCTGAAGCCAATCCAGAAAATCCTGGTACACAAGATCCAGTAGAGAATATACCTTCAGTGGGAGATACCTACGAAGAAAATTTTATGCGTCAGGTAAAAGACATTGGTCCTACCAGACAGAGAAGAGCCCCCGTTAGATTCCGTCCAGATGAATGTTTGCTGACCAATTCGTTGACTTCTGAAAATGATGAACCCCAATCTCTAAAAGAAGCAATGGCAAGTGCTAACAAAGAAAAGTGGAAACACGCATTGGAAGCAGAATACAATTCTCTGTTGACGAATGAAACATGGGAATTGGTGCCGCCACCGAAAGATGGCAATATAGTTGGATCAAGATGGGTGATGAACGTCAAGCGCGACGCCAATGGCAATATCGACCGATATAAGGCAAGACTCGTAGAACAAGGCTACTCCCAAACACATGGTAATGACTATGAAGAAGTCTTCTCACCTGTAGCAAGGTATTCCAGCATCAGGACATTGCTCGCTTTGGCAAATTTGCATGATTTAGAGGTACACCAAATGGACGTAAAGACCGCTTTCTTAAACGGAGTAATTGATCATGACATCTACATGACTCAACCCGAAGGCTTTGCTGACGAAGAACACCCCGATTATGTCTGTAAACTCAAGAAAAGTTTGTATGGTTTAAAGCAGTCCGCACGTTGTTGGAACCAAGCCCTCGATAGTTTCCTGGTTTCAAGCGGATACAGAAAGAGTGGTGCAGACAGCTGCATATACACGAAGACTGAACGAAAGGAACATGGTCACATTAGTTTTGTGATACTAGCAATCTACGTTGATGACATAATCCCAGTTTCTAATGACATCGAAATGCTGAATGCTGAGAAGAAAAGGCTTTGGAAAGGATTCGAAATGGTGGATCAAGGAGAAATTCACTTTGTTCACGGGATGTCAATAAGAAGGGATCGAACGACAAAGGAAATAATCATAAATCAGGAAAAATACTTGGAAAGTGTCCTGAATCGGTTTGGAATGGAAAATAGCAATCCAGTCCACACACCAATTGAAACTGGGAAGAAATTTCAAAAGAGATGCGATGGTGAGGAACAATCCGATCAGAGTGTTTACCAGCAGATGATTGGTTGTTTGACATACGTTTCCACGGCCACGAGGCCAGATATAGCTGCATATATCGGAGTCCTGTCACAGTTTATGTCAGATCCCAGCAAAACTCATTTTCAAGGAGTGAAGCGAGTTTTGAGGTACATAAAAGGGACAATGAGTTATGGTTTGAAATTCAGTTGTGATAAAAATGATGAATTACATGGGTACTCGGATGCTGATTACGCCGGTAATTTGGATAATGAGGATGATCGTCGCTCAACCTCAGGATATGTTTTTAAGTTAGCTAACTCAACGATTAGCTGGTCTAGCAAGAAACAAAGTACCGTCGCTAGATCGACAACAGAAGCTGAATACGTTGTCCTAAGCCAAGCTACCCAAGAGGTAATCTGGTTACAACGATTGTTGTCTGACTTGGGATCTAAACCAGTGTCGCCCACTACTGTTCACGAAGACAATCAAGGTGCCATCGAAATCGCACGAAATCCAAAGTTCCATAACAGAACTAAACATATCGATGTTGCTTACCATTTAGTTCGCGAACGAATATTATCTAAAGAAGTAAAAGTTTGCTATTGTCCATCAAAGGATATGATAGCCGATATAATGACCAAAGGATTATCTAAAGATCAATTCCAAAAACTCAGAAATTTATTGAACGTTCAATCTTGTTAAAGAACACTGGAACAATATGTAACTATTAAGTGGGAGTGTTAGAATATAATAGTTACGTCATAATGTAATCATGTGTTCCATAATCTGTAACTCGATAACTTTCCTGTTTTGCTTATATATGGCGCTTTCTACACGTGCCTGCTTTATGTGAAGTTAATACTGTTAAATAAACCTTCTTTGTTTAAACCAAAGTTTCGGATTATTTTATCATATAATGCATGTTTTA